GGCTGGTTGGGCAAGACAAAATAACGCAACGCGCTGGATTGTCAATATTGTAGGCCGGGAAAGGTGTGTGTAGCAAACAATTTTGATGCAAATCGACCCGAGTTTAAATCCGCCTTTTGCCGAACTCGCTCCACTCACTTTTCCCATCGCACATCAGATCGGAAAGGCATTTATTTTCAATAAAAATGTAGAATAGTATAAATAAAGTGTCTAATGTGTGTTTAAAAATATTTTTATTGAGCTTTATTGTTTATTAACAACTTTAATAATAATCATTTACACACTGTTATTACATGCTGTTTAATGTACAACACTGAGGTGCAAATAGTATCTGACAAGTAGCTAACTAGCTAGTATTTACACTAAACGCCAAATCTGTTTGTTTGTTTTTTTTCCTTATTGTAAGAGCACAAATAAATGTCTCTAATAAATGATCATTGAAATAGGTATTGCGGAATAGGTATAGGTATCTCTAAACTCGGTAAACAAACAAACAAAAAAGTCAGGGGAGTGGCCAATGGTTCTGTTTTAGCCAATCAGAAAGCACCTCTGCTTGTCAATCATTGCTGATGTGTCTTTGTAGGGCGTAACCCAGCTGGCTACAATGACTGCACAAATAATCTGTATGAAATTATATATATATATATATATATATATATATATTTACTTTGCACTTTTCCTAAACTTCAATCTATCTCTAATTCTGTTGTCATCACATCAAGCATTTTGGAGAACAATTGCTTTTGTTTGCAATTTTGTAAAAAAAAAATATTTTAAATTCAGTAACAGATAACGTCAATTCTGTACTATTGTACAATCCTGAACTAATTTTTCTTTTAAACAAAGTGACTGCATGCTAGCTAACAATAGCTAACGTTATTGTTATAAAAACCATGGCTTATCTTCTTATTTTCCTCAAAAAACGTTAAAAAGAAAAGTGACATAAAGAAATCCACATTGTCACTTTATACTAATTTCCATGTGATCAAGGCCACTAATTCATAAATATAATTTTTGCAAGACTCAAAGTTGTCAAAAGTGTCCCTAATTTAAAAATCCCCAATGTCGAACTTTACCAATATCAAAAATGGCAGAGTAGCCGAATATAATATAATAGCATTTTTTCAATAAGTTTCCGTTTTAAATCACAAAGAATGGCCCATAAAGATTTAATCTGAAGCAATTTCTTTACATTTTGAATATTATTTCTCATGCACCATAGAGAACACACCTGCGTTGCCATGAATGACAAAAATGCATGCACACAACTTCCCAATGCATGATAAAAAGAGGAAACGGCCCTGTGTGAAAGTCACACACATGACGTCTTGATCAGCACGACTCGGACTCGCGTTATATTTTCTCCCTATAGAATGAATATACGACCCTTCCCTCTCAGGCTTTTATCCCATGTGGAAAAATTATGGACGACTGCAGATCAAAAATGGCACTCACATCGCATGCATGATGCATGTCACACGGGAAATGTCATATATTAAAATAGACGAGGTTGGGGAAATGAAAAATGAATGCCGTGATACTTTAGCTTTAGACCCAACTCAGTGTCAAATCTGTCAGGTGACTGTCAAACATTCCCATTACTTCATACATTTAGCTTGATATTTTTCCGAAAAACTAAAGTCCCATGGTAGTCGACCGGAAGGGCAGGGGCTTAGGCTCTCTATACCCTAATGACCTATTGTGGACCTTTGTTATTTTGTACCCATAGGAACACAATTGTACCTTCACTTTACACCTTTCTATGAAAGAGTATCACCCTAATGACAGCTTTTGTGCCTTTTCTCTGAGTGCAGGTAAAGTTCATCAACTATTCCACTAATGCTTCACAAACAGCGTTTTTTTGTTGCTGAATGCTTTTGGCCTCACAATCACAACACTCACAAAGCACATTTGCTCAAGAAATGTACATATGCTTTTAGTTCTACATAGAAACACATAAGCAGGGAAGAAACGACGGGGATTTAAATCAATTATGCTCCATTCTCGTGTCCATTTTCCAGGCCACTGATCCGTGCCGCCCGTCTCTGACAGTCCTCCACTGCCGACAGGGTAAGCGAGCCGAACACAACCAGCCTGCGCCGAGAGAGGGTAATGATCCGCCCACCACAGTCAAGCACATCTTAACCACTGAAGCTCACTTAAAGGGTTAGTTCACCCAAAAATGAAAATGATGTCATTAATGCTTCACCCTCATGTTGTCCCAAAAAGTTATTTTAGATTTAGTCCGAGAGCTTTCTGTCCCTCCATTGGAAATGTGTGTCCGGTATACTGTCCTTGTCCAGAAAGGAAATAAAGACATCATCAAAGTAGTCATGTGACATCAGTGGGTTAGTTACAATGTTTTGAAGCATCGAAAATACATTTCGGTCCAAAAATAACAAAATCTACGACTTTATTCAGCATTGTATCGTCTTCCGGTTCTGTTGTGGATCCGCGTTCAGTGACGCGGCTGACGTAAGACGCGGCTGACGTGTGTCTTAGGACTGTTGGAACGAATTCCGAAATTCAAATATAATTCGAATATTTAAAAAACCAATACTATTCGAATGCTGAAGTTACTATTCGAATATTGCTTTTATATATATTTTAAAAAATATATACACGAGGCTCACACGCATTTGAAAATAAAATGCTTTTGTTTTGTCTAATGAACAATAAAGTTTTTGAATCGTAACACAATTGTGCACGTAACACAATTGAAACGTAACACAATTGAATCGTAACACAATTGAATCGTAACACAATTGTGCACGACTGTTGGAACGAATTCCGAAATTCGAATATAATTCGAATATTTAAAAAACCAACCAATTTGTTTTGTCTAATGAACAATAAAGTTTTTGAATCGTAACACAATTGTGCACGCAACACAATTGAAACGTAACACAATTGAATCGTAACACAATTGTGCACGACTGTTGGAACGAATTCCGAAATTCGAATATAATTCGAATATTTAAAAAACCAATACTATTCGAATATTGCTTTTATATATATTTAAAAATATATATACACGAGGCTTACACGCATTTGAAAATGAAATGCTTTTGTTTTGTCTAATGAACAATAAAGTTTTTGAATCGTAACACAATTGTGCACGTTATCCAAGCTGTTAGGCTATCATCAGGGTTTCCCATACAGACATCCGGGAAGATCCGGGACTCTCCCGCATATTGATAGCGGTGACCATTTGAGCTTATAAAACTAAAACTTTGTTATTTATTTTTGAAATGGCCGATCGATTCACTTGATAAGACCCTTATTTATCGTCTGGAATCATTTAAAGCCTTTTGAAGCTGCACTGAAACTCTCATTTGGACCTTGAACCGTTTGGACCCCATTGAAGTCCATTATATGGAGAAAATCCTTGAATGTTTTTATCAAAAACCTTAATTTCTTTTCGACTGAAGAAAGAAAGACATGGACATCTTGGATGACATGGGGGTGAGTAAATTATCAGCAAAAGTTTTTTTTTTTTTTTTAAAGTGAACTACTCCTTTAAGAAAATGCTAAAATCTCCTGCTTTATCATTCATAATCCACTTTCTGCATGACTATTACCTCTATCACTAACACAACAGCCAGAATGAGATGTATTTAACTTCCGTAATATTTTTTATTGCCCAAATAGAGATATAATATCCAGCCGGATTTATATCCCTCATTAGCTTTGTGGGATTGCGTCAATACTAAAATGGCCCCAGTAGACTTCAGAAGTGCTTACTTAATATAAAGCACGCCTGTAAATCAACCTAATGAATCAAATGCGATTGCTTTGCTTTACTTAAAGCTGACAATTGATTTTGCAGATTGAGAGATGCATATTTATACAAATATGCATGCACTGCAAAACTTGCGTTTGTGAAAATATCCAGTGTTGAAAGGGGAGTTGCTCACACTACCATGGCAATGTCAGTGTTTACTGCGCTGGCACTGAACTGCTGTCATGACGGAGGAATGTTTTGTGCTACTTTTACACAACCAATTGCCCCACACAGTTCACCGATGAATTTCCACGACATTCCAAGGTGTTTGTGATTACTGGATAAGGATTTTGAATTATTTCATTTATTACACTTACAAAGAAATATCAAGCCAATGAAATATTGTAAAGCTAAGCTATACATACTGTATATACACACTTAGAAGAAAAGGTTCTATATAGAACCTTAAAAGGTTCTATCAGCGCTACGTATTTGGAACCCCTAAAAGGTTCTATACACTCTTAAAAAAGGGTTCCTCTGGGTTCTTTAGAACCCTGGGGTTCCATACTTGGCCAATAGAACCTTTTACCCCCAAAAAATGGTTCTATATAGAACCATTTTGGAGTTCCATATATGAAGCGGCGGATGGAACCATTTCTGGTTCTAAATAGAACCATTTCTTCTAAGAGTAGACATATGAAGAGTTCAGATGCAAAAGCCTCTAAATGCCATTTGAAATGTTCTTCTTTAATGATGATTTTTATCAAACTTGTATATTTAAGTTCAGTAAATTCACTTAAATGGCAATGATAATTACCTATTAATTGTTATTTAAGTGAAATTACTGAACTTAAATATACAAGTTTGATCAAAATCATCATTAAAGAAGAAAATTTCAAATGGCATTTAGAGGCTTTTGCATCTGAACTCTTCATATATAGTTTCTGCATGCTTACATCAATGAGTACAGCTCTAAAACATTCAAATCATCTCCAGACCTCTTATTGCATGCAGTGCTCTGTTAACACGCAGTCAAGTTAATAAGCCTACTGAAGATATCAACCACACCATTACAAAATACAGCGTCAGAACACGTCACACTCGCAGCTCATTTCCACTTCGGTAAGGAAGCATCTGTCGGTGTAAAAAGCACTATTGTCTGTATAAACGTGAGCTTCCGTAGGACTGGTGCTGGCTATTGTGAGCTGAACAGCGGTGTGTATTGAAGAGCAGCATGCGTGCAGGTGTATTGTGTGGGGCATAAAGGAGCGCTTACCTGTTTTCTCCTTGATTTCACAGAGCACGCTGAACAGAGCCGGTTTCATTCTGTGACAGTTCAGCCCATGCTTTCTATCAAAGAAAACACAAGTTATTTAGAAGATCTCCACATCCACACATTGTACTTGGCATTGAAAATCTTCTAAATATATTTTCCTGATTGCAGCTTCATGTGAGTTCTCATTTGGAAACCAACATAAAATATTATTATGTTTCATGCATGTGCATTTATAAAGAGTACTTTTAATGTATTGTTTTAAGGGCAGAGGTTTTTCTAAAAACAGACTGTTGTGGTTAAATCAACACCTGTGTCTCTAAAAGTGGTAGTGTGCAACAAATGAAACTGTATATACTGTATAACCCTAACATTGTTAATATGATTAAACACCAACCAATCTGGTAGAGATGACACATGACTGATTTCATGCTTTGTCCTTTAGTTTGTTCTAAAAACGGATTATTTTTCATATATGTCGGGGTAAGTTGTCACTTAGCCTAAGTTTTATAATTTTTTCTGTAAGTTTTTTATCATAATTTTCTGTAAGCCATATTTATATATATATATCACATATATATTTTATATATATATGGCTGTGCAAAGATTAATCGCGATTAAGCACATCCAAAATAAAAGTTTGTGTTTACATAATATATGTGTGCTGTGTATAATTATTTTGTATATAAATACACACACATGCTTTTATATATTTAAGAAAATGTGTTATTCATATAGAAAATATTTATATTTATATATAATATAGATTATGTATTTTACATGCAAATAATTCTTATACATATTATACATGAATAATTTAGTTTAAATGTATACATATAAATGTATATTTAAACTAAATATATACATGCATGCATATGTATTTAAATAGAAAATAATTATACACAGCACACATATATTATGTAAACACAAACTTTTATTTTGGATGTGATTAATCACAATTAATCTTTGCACAGCCCTAATATATATATAGAGATAAGAGATATATAGCTAGGCTGTTTAATGACAGCTGACCCCATCGTGTGACAACAAGCCCCGCTATAGGATGTGTTAAATTAATGCAACAGCAATGAATATTTTAGTAGGCTACCCAAAATATTTTGGTATTCATTACTGTGAAGATTGGCAGGCTGATAAATATTCACAGCATGGAGTAAAAAGTGTGACATGCGAAGCTGGTTGCGAGTGGGCTACACGTTATTGTTGTCTTTATTAATAAAGTGTATTAACATGGCCAGCAATGTGAAGTGCCCTCGTAATTGTAAAACTAACTTTGCTTGAGCCTCGTCCAGGCTCTGGTCGGTGATGGTCATGATCTGATGCAGAATGTCTCCGATGTCCTGCTTGCTCCTCGCGTCTGCTCCATCATGAGGCACCGGGAGAGCCCCCGGGAGTCCGGTAAGGGTCACGCCGCCCAGGGTGTGCATCAGATGACTCTGCTCCTCCATCCTCAGGCTCAAATGCCTTTCGTTATTTTTTATTTTTTTATTCCACACGATAGAGCTGTTGATGCTGTCCTGGATATATCAGCTACATTAAAATGATGGATGCGTAAAAGTCCCGATGAGTTCGCGAAAACAAAAAAGTGCTTTAATAAAACGATGCTCTGATTTCCAGTTTAGTGCACGTTGATGCTTTGCTTGTTCATCATCTGCCTCGCTCTGTAGTTACACACTATTATTCCATCGAGTCCAGCGGCAGCTTCTGCAAAACTTCAGAAAATCCCACCTCTTTGAATTGATTTCCGTCCTCGAGCGCGAAAGGAAAATAAAAATGTGTTGAATATAAGTTGCAATAAACCCTTGGCGTTCCAGTGTTCTTCCTTCCTCCTGCTGAGCTCAGACAGGTTGTTAAATGCACGTTGTCTTGTGGATGATCTACAGCAGATGTAATGGGTTGTGAGAATATCCGTGTGGATTGCTGTGTGTGTCTCGTGCACAGCAGCTCCTCCTGATGCTGATGATGAAGATGATGTAGCCAGTGTTGCACAACAGCGCGCGGACTCTCGGCTCCGCCCACCCGGGGCTCGCGCTCGCGCTCACAATTACAATATAATACTCTACAGGAGCCTGTTTATTTTAAGATGACCTGCTTGGAAGTTACCTCTTTAATAAATTATCTTAATCAATATGGCTGTATCAATTTACTAAGGCTAAACTAATATATTTGAATAGGTATGTGTCTGATCAGCAGCCTAACTATTGGACTTATACTTTACTATGTGTGTCTGTGAATCAAACAATTTGATTTCCTTCTCCTCCTCCTCATCATCATTATAGTGAAAAATCTGGGTAGGTTTTGGGGTGGGGTTAGGGATCAGGGGGCGGAGATGGGTAGGATTAGGGGTGGGGTTAGGGATCAGGGGGCGGAGATGGGTAGGTTTTGGGGTGGGGTTAGGGATCAGGGGGTGGAGATGGGTAGGATTAGGGGTGGGGTTGGGGATCAGGAGGTGGGTAGGATTAGGGGTGGGGTTAGGGATCAGGAGGTGGGTAGGATTAGGGGTGGGGTTAGGGTTCAGGAGGTGGGTAGGATTAGGGGTGGGGTCAGGGATCAGGGGGTGGAGATGGGTAGGATTAGGGGTGGGGTTAGGGATCTGGGTGTGGAGATGGGTAGGATTAGGGGTGGGGTTAAGGTTCAGGAGGTGGGTAGGATTAGGGGTGGGGTTAGGGATCTGGGTGTGGAGATGGGTAGGATTAGGGGTGGGGTTAGGGATCAGGGGGTGGAGATGGTTAGGATTAGGGGTGGGGTTAGGGATCAGGGGGTGGAGATGGGTAGGATTAGGGGTGGGGTCAGGGATCAGGGGGTGGAGATGGGTAGGATTAGGGGTGGGGTCAGGGATCAGGGGGTGGAGATGGGTAGGATTAGGGGTGGGGTTAGGGATCTGGGTGTGGAGATGGGTAGGATTAGGGGTGGGGTCAGGGATCAGGGGGTGGAGATGGGTAGGATTAGGGGTGGGGTTAGGGATCTGGGTGTGGAGATGGGTAGGATTAGGGGTGGGGTTAAGGTTCAGGAGGTGGGTAGGATTAGGGGTGGGGTTAGGGATCTGGGTGTGGAGATGGGTAGGATTAGGGGTGGGGTTAGGGTTCAGGAGGTGGGTAGGATTAGGGGTGGGGTTAGGGATCAGGAGGTGGAGATGGGTAGGATTAGGGGTGGGGTTAGGGATCAGGGGGTGGAGATGGTTAGGATTAGGGGTGGGGTTAGGGATCAGGGGGTGGAGATGGTTAGGATTAGGGGTGGGGTTAGGGATCAGGGGGTGGAGATGGTTAGGATTAGGGGTGGGGTTAGGGATCAGGAGGTGGAGATGGGTAGGATTTGGTGTTGGATTAGGGATCAGGGGTGGAGATGGGTAGGATTAGGGGTGGGGTCAGGGATCAGGGGGTGGAGATGGGTAGGATTAGGGGTGAGGTTAGGGATCAGGAGGTGGAGATGGGTAGGATTAGGGGTGGGGTTAGGGATCAGGAGGTGGAGATGGGTAGGGTTAGGGATCAGGGGGTGGAGATGGGTAGGGTTAGGGGTGGGGTCAGGGATCAGGGGGTGGAGATGGGTAGGATTAGGGGTGAGGTTAGGGATCAGGAGGTGGAGATGGGTAGGGTTGGGGATCAGGGGGTGGAGATGGGTAGGATTAGGGGTGAGGTTAGGGATCAGGAGGTGGAGATGGGTAGGGTTGGGGATCAGGGGGTGGAGATGGGTAGGGTTAGGGGTGGGGTTAGGGATCAGGGGGCGGATATGGGTAGGATTAGGGGTGGGGTTAGGGATCAGGAGGTGGAGATGGGTAGGATTAGGGGTGGGGAACACACACGCACACACTATACACTTAAGATACAAATGCACAGAATATATTAACACAGTCTCATCCCAAATCGTCATATAACTGACGTTTTGGGACGTATTTTGACCATACGTCAATATCCGCCTTTTTAGGGCCCCCTTAAACGTCGGTAGATGGCGATCCCGGGCCGTCATACAACTGACGCTTTACCTTTAACGTCAGTTAGGTGACGGGTTAGGTTTAGGGTTAAGTTTAGGTATGGGGTAGAGTTAGGATCCCATAACCTCATCTACCGACGTTTAAGGGGGCCCTAAAAAGGCGAATATTGACGTATGGTCAAAAGACGTCCCAAAACGTCAGTTATATGACGATTTGGGATGAGACCGAATATAGAATTTATATCCCCCCATTATACAATGTAAAATACACAATATAATACAATATGAGCTCAAGTCAGCCAGTGAACTAGGATGACTAGTATATAAGTGTCCAGTGTGAGACTGAAGAAGAGCTGAATGTGGGAGATCAAGAGCTCTCTGTGGGGAAGAAGCTGTCGTCTGATGATGCTGAGTCCGGATGAGGATTCTCTGAGCTTTCGTTGATGGTGTTCTGTGTTCTCCTCTCCTGAAGTCCATCACAATCTCTTTGGTCTTGCTAATGCTCTTGGCACCAGCGTGTGAGAGACTGATCCTGGTTTCTCCATTCTGTCATCTGATGAAGTCTCTTTGCCACTGTCGCCTCTGGCTTGCTTGGTTGCATGGGCACACAGTTTTTAGCAATATTATTGATCTGACTGAACTGACACTATTGGACGAGAACTGAGCTGGATGATGACATCATTGACATAATTTTGTGCTGAGCTGCTTTATATATTAAATGAACTAATTTAATATTTGATGATCTTTACAACAGAACTGAATCAACACTGAACTGACTGAAGCTGAACAACAGCCTGAATGTATTTTCCTTTTATCACTGTAAAGCTGCTTTGAAACAATCTGTATCATATAAATTACTATATAAATCTGAAAATCTGATTCATCTTTGTTGTTGTTGTTTATGATCTGAGCAGAAATAGCCCTAAAACGGGCACATTTTCACTACAGTGAAGAATTTGACTGAAGGATTACGTATGTCTCTGTGCAGTTCCTGTGAATCGTTAATGCTGACTTTTGATAAAATAAGATGTACTATTGACACTATTCCCTGCAAAATAACATTGTATTGAGTTAATATGAAGGAGGCTAGTGCATTTATTATGTATTGAAAAAATAAAGACATCAGATCATAAAATATAATTCAGTATAGCAAAAAAAAAAAAAAAAATAGAACTAAAAGCAATTAAACTCTATTTCTGTTTATTTAACAGACTATGGAAATGTTTTGCATCATACGATTTAATATCTATCTATCTATCTATCTATCTATCTATCTATCTATCTATCTATCTATCTATCTATCTATCTATCTATCTATCTATCTATCTATCTATCTATCTATCTATCTATCTATCTATCTATCTATCTATATCTATTGCATCCATCCATCCATCCATCCATCCATCGTTCTATCGTTTTCTCTCTCTCTCTCGATTGGCCGCATGTCTTGTCCATCTTTGGTTCTTGAGGGTGTTTCCCAGAGTGATGTACTTCCGGTATGAGGGGTAAACCCGCAGGAAGTAGCTTACAGGACCACCAACACAGGAACAACAGAGTAAACAACAGACACGTTTATTCTGTTTTTGGGACGATATCTCCACAAGTATGAAATGAGACAGTCCAGTCAGTCCCTCGCTCAGACGGTGTGGCGTGTCGGTGATGTTTTCAGCCGCTGTTATAGGCATGAATGAAGGTAATGATGAGGTGATGTTTGAGGCTTATCGAGCAGATTAGCACGAGCTTTAGCAGGGCCTGACTTGCGCGTTCAGTCAGCTGTTACTTACGTGTGTTTTATCAACAGTATTATTCAAATATAATCGTATTCTTATCAGACAGCAACGTGAGTACTATTGTGATCAGTTCCCCTTTACAACGAACACAATTAATGCGGTTAGAATTTAGAATTCGTTAGCTTTCTGGCTAGTTAGCATTTTAGCTCCATCAGTTCTCGTTTTGTTTACAATGAATGATTTTAAAAACACGGTAACATGTAGTGTAGTTATTTGGTACGGTTGTCCCTGCTTATGTCGTAGTCCTGTTCAGAAGTTTGTTTTTAGGTTTCTGGTGACAGGAGCGATCTTGACAGCTTGTGTCTAGTTAGTGACACACCACCATGTATTTACTTTACTGTGTGTTTAGGTCATAAACATCCTCATAAGAACAAGACTAGAGCCTGGAAGACCGGTTTATCCCTTATACCTGTGTGTACAGTCCTCGTGATTTTTGTCCCAAACTGGTTGAATGGATTTTACAGCTTATTGATCTTTTTATGTTTTAACATGCAGTTTGGTGCTGATGTTGTTGTATTTATATGGCTAAAAATTAGGCTGAAGTTCTGATACCTTATAATGTAAATCAATAACATTATTACATAACCATGATATATCATAGCAGACTAGGCTACTTGCGTAAAATGCATATAAATATCAGCTGACACTCTATATCGCCCAGTCTTAATAAGAGGCTATTTGTGTTTATTAAGTGTTTATCTTTAAATATTACTAACAAAACAAAAGTTATTCTTGCATTTACCTTATAACAATCAGATTTCACAGCATAATGAGCTGTTTTTTTGTTTGTTTTTTTCAATTATACTACTGGTGTAGTATGAACTATCATTAGAAGCCTTGAAGAGTGTGTGTACCACAGGCATTTCAATAAAGTTTTGATCATTTAGAGTCCTTAATTCATATGTTAAATATTACTTAAAGAGATGGATTAATTCTGTCATCATTTAGCTACTCAACCTAACCTGTATGAATGTCTTTCTTCTGCTGAACACAAAAGACGATATTTTGAAGAATATCGGAGCCAAACAGTTGATGGACCACATTGACTTACAGTATTGTTTTCCCCCATACTATGGAAGTCAGACCAGCAAATGTTTGGTTATCCATATTCTTCAAAAAATCCGGTCACACTTTACTTTTTAATAAGGTTCATTAGTTAACATGGTTTAAGAACGAACAATACTTCTTCAGCATTTATTAAATTCATTTGAACATGTACTTATACATTATTAAACATTATTAGTTAATGCACTATGAACAAACAATGAACAGCTGGCTTTTTATTAACTAACATTAACAAAAAATAATAAAACAAATATAACAAATATATTGCTCATTTTTAGTTCATGTTAGTTAATAATGTTAGCTTATTGTAAAGTGTTACCTTAATTTCTTTTGTGTTCAGCAGAAGAACTTGAGGGAGAGAGGAAATGATGACAGAATTTAAATTTTTTGGTGAACTGTCCCTTTAAGTGACATGTGGGAGTGTTGTGGTGGCTTTATGATTAAACCTCTGGGTTGTGTTACCTTGCAGGCAGGCATCCATGTCCCACCATGGAGAGGAGAAAATAACCCCCAAAAGAAGGAAAAGAAGACGCTGCATTGCTGAGGAATCTTCAGCCTCCATCTCCGACTGAGGGTCGGCACATCCGGACAGAGACCCGGAGAGCGACAGAGGGGCTGGTGCGCAGAATGGCTTTCCTCGACAACCCCGCCATCATCCTGGCCCACATCCGGCAGTCCCACGTGACCAGCGATGACACCGGGATGTGCGAGATGGTTCTGATCGATCACGACGTGGATCTGGAGAAGTGCCATCCGTCGGTGGCGTCCGCTGGCGGGGGCTCGTCCGGGGGTTCGTATGGAGACGCCGGCAGTGGAGGAGAAGGCCAGACCTGCGAACTCTCTCAGTCTGTCGACATCACTTCCAGCTGGGACTTTGGCATCCGACGGCGCTCCAACACAGGCAAGTAGCTGTCGGACTCTCACTTCTCTGCTTTCGGGGCCCTGAATCTCCAGCTTTCGGATGTGGTTGGTACAGCTAAAGACGTATCGCATAAAACCTTCTCGCACTTAGTTTTAAGAAAAACGTAAATATTGGCCAGCTTCACTTTATTTTCTGGCAGATTTCATTAGATTTGTGATAAGAGCCATTTGTAAACCTGTTGTCACAGAAACTTAAAAGGCTTCCATTACTTTTTTTTCCCCCAAAATAAAAATTCAAGGTAAATATAGTGAAGCAATTTTAGTTGCGCATAGAACATTTGTCTCGTCTGATCGGCCTTTATAGAGACCACAGATCAAACTATTTAAATTTCGCTAGGCTCTGTACTGTGATGTCGCTTGTGGGCGTTCGTAGTGCCGTCGCTCTGATGTTATTGGTCATCTGGCCATATCTATACAATAGACCATCACAAGTAACATATAATTTTAATTTGACTGGGAATAAATGACTTTTAAGGCTAAAAAGAAACCATATGCTGTTGGGAGAGTGTTTTTATATCTCCACAGCTGTGTTCAGTGGATTACATCATTTACTAGATCAACGAACAAATTAAACTCACTCATACTGTCACAAATTATAAAAACGTCATTCGAATTTGATCAAATTGCTTGTCCCTAATAGTCAACGTAATGCAGGAGAAATTGTAAAATGAACTGCAGCAGTGCTAAACGTGCATCATAAAATTACAACACTCAAACTATAACGTTAAATGTATGAATTAAACTCACTGTCGACAGTTTCTTTTCCATGCATCGTTTTATTATCCATGTATGTGGTTACAGTCAAATCATATAAAACAGTGAAATCGTCCTCAAACTCTTTCTTTCTGTCTTGCCTGGTGACGTGAGCTCCACTGAAAGTCTTCTTTCCTATTGGTTGTCGCTCGCGAAAATCGCTTCTCATTTGCATAAAGTTGAAGATTCTCAACTTTTGTCGCTTGACACGCCCACATTCTGTCGCCAACGGTCACTGTCGCTCGTGTCGCCGGATGTCGCCAGCGCTCCATTGAAATGAATGGGATCTTGTCGCTTTGTCGTTGCGGTGTGAACGGGGCTTAACTATCGATTTGGAGCACCCTTTATTTAGCCAGAAACTGAAAATGTAGCTGAAAATCCAGTTTATCACTACTTTTTACTTAAATTTTCGTCCAATAAATGCAGCTTTGGAGAGAATAAGAGACTTTCTACAACATTAAGGGCCTGTTCACATATCGCGTCTTTTGCGCGCTCAAGTTCGTTATTTCAAATGTAGGCGCGCTCATAATGGAAGCGGCGCGGGCGCTCGTTTTTTCCAAGCCGCATCGAGATAAAAACATCTCAACTTTTCAGAATGCCGCAAGCGCACCATAAGCGCACAGTAGGTCACGTGACAAGAACCAACCGGAGCGCAACCGCCCTAGCGCTTTGGAAAAGGAGAATGCGGCGCCCAGCGTTTTCTACACGTTTTTAGACGCAATATGTGAATTCGGCCTAAAAAATCCAAACTTTGTCTGGTACTTTGTAGTTTTACTCTTTTAATGTTTTGACCGGTAATTGTAATGATTGTTAAATCAAAGTTATAAATTCCAGTATCGCTCAGACCAGTGCGTTCATGCTTAACTTGCTCTATCAGCATTTTTAATATGTGGCTTTGCATTTTGCTGTGGGATCATATATTTGCTCATCATTGTCTTCTTGAAGCTCATTGGTCACTACCAAGGCCACAAGAGTTTGGTAACTGATAATGTCAAACATGCTGAATGTTAAAAACCTGCTAATGGGATGCCGGCCTAAACTGAACCTTTGCACGCTTCTGCACCATTTTGCTCTGCGGTGTCGGCCCATGATTCTTTAGTTATTTCTCTTTCTCTCTGCAATGCATGAAAACGTGAAATCTGTCTGTGTAAGCAGTCAGGTTGATGATGCGGATAAATGCAAGGCATTTAGGTCTCACACAGGACGTACAGCTTGCTTTTAAAGAAGTTAAACAACAAAGTCTTCAGTTAAATAAGTGTGATGTGTTATCTTTACATCAAGACTAGTATTTATTTGGTCATCAACTAAACTGCTCCGTGGCTTGCAGATGGACAGACATCATAGTAGGGATGCACCGATATGAAAATTTTGGCCGATACCGATAATACTTTATATTTGAAAGCTGATAACCGATATATCGGCCGATAAACTTAAATCCTAATTTTGAGAGCCTTATTACAAAAACAAAAGTCTCATAATTAAATCCATGTCCATGTTATAGTGTTGTATAGCACCGATATGACAGATTTGCACTGCACATGCGCTTCAATCATATTTCAAGAAATTCAAAAACATAAACAGTGCTCAACAAGTGTCTCAGCTGAAGGGAATAATACATTATTTATCAGCTTTAATATATCGGCCACATTTTCTTACCAGGCCGATAACGATAACATTAAAAATGAACATATATCGGCCGATGCCGATATGCTCGCCGATATATCGTGCATCCCTACATCATAGCTTATTAGGGCTGGGAATCAAGAACTGGCTCAGGCCTCCAGAAAGTTATCATTGATCTAAAAATACATTTATTCATTTTACAAAATATGGCATCAGAGGAAGTTCTTTGGTTCTCTGAATTTTCATTTTTGTCGAATATCTGAAATCATTTGACACTAAATTGCAATCAAAAGAATTGCTTTCTAAATAGTGTTCATTCTGAGCTGAGAGAATTGTTAATGCCAACCTTGAGGATCCAGACTCTTTAAGTGGAATCTGACTCGTTAGTTTCCTTACTATTCCCATCCCTACTGATTATACAGGCTGAAACCTTGGAGCAAAACAAAGCAGAAAGTCAGTTTTGAGTTCTTGAGTATCCTTTATCTGCTTCATCTATGCAGCGCTACATGTATTATGTGCTTTACTGTACCAGCCACAGAGAATTGAGCAGGAAAAATAATCTGGGGCTCAATAAATGTTTCCATAAATACACAAAAGAAATTTGACTAAGCGTTTTGATCTCAATAGGGACCATTTGATATCAAATGAACTGTTTGTTTGGGGGAATTTGTTATTTTATTATGTGATTTATTTATTTTCGCGATCAAGGTTTAATCTGAATGTGGTTGTTATCTGGGAATGGCAACTGACTGAAATTGATTTGAACTCTTAGACGATCTTGCCTTTGCAAATCTGTTTCTGGGTAAATTGGATGTTTTGTTGTTGGAATCAGCTATCTGATGATTTTCTGAAAATATTAAAATATGGTCTTTCTTGTTTATTAATCATATTCCAAATAATCAGTATAAACACATTTTTTTTTACTATTTCAGAGAATAATCTGTTTGTGTTCAACATATGTGTGTCATGTTTTTTTTTTCAGTAAACACACAATGCCTTACACTCTAACAATTGCTGGGTTGTTTAAACTCAAAGTAGGGTACAATATAGACCAACTATTGGGTTAAATTTAAATATAAGACTTGAAATTTAAATTTTAATGGACAAACCCAATGGTTGGGTTTGTCCATATTTGACCCAAGTTTGGGTTTAAATAACCCAGCATTTTGCTGTTTTATACACTAAAAATGCTGGGTTGTTTCAATATGGGTTGATATGGACAAACCCAAATGTTGGGTTAAAAATGGGTTAAAAAATGCAATAAAAATGGGTTAAATTTTGAAATGATACATTTTAACCCAACATTTGGGTTTGTGCATATTTTACCCAAATTTGGGTTAAAACAACTCAGCATTTTGTACTAAAATGGTTTTGAGTGATGTGATTCTCTAATTAAATAAAATCAGCAATTCCTCAAAACCACCTCTTGTGACTCAGTTTTCACATTACATGTATACTTTTTGCTTTGGAAACAATATGGCAATTATACACTCTAAAAAATACTGGGTTGTTTCAACCCAAATATGGGTCAACTATGGACTAACCCAAATGTTGGGTTAAACATGCACTTAAATGTACAGTTGAAGTTGGGTTAAAATGTGAAATGACATTTTTAACCCAACATTTGTCTATATTTTATCCTAAATTTGGCTTAAAACAACCCAGCATTGTTTAGAGTGTTACTGCAGATTTAGACATAAGTATGTGAGTCTCTAATTACGTTATGCGTGTTTGAACACAAACATTTGTCAAAGGATTGAAATACTGACGCCTGGTTATTATGTCGAGGTTTGCTCTAGGAGTTATTCGGTTTCAGTCAGTTCCTCTTGTCATGGCAAATATTGGAGTATGAATTAATCCCGGGCAACACTAGCACCTTGGCTTTCTAACTTTGATGAAGTGGATGTGGCTTAGCTCTGGTTTTGCAATGCTTTTGTTGGAGAGGGGATCTTTGACATATTCCTCTATTATCAACCATCTGAACAACTTGTCCCCAGGACGACAAGACAGTTTCGTGAGACCTGAGCCTGCTGGTAAGCAAGTGTTCAGGACAGGAAACAGTGCTGAAAATATCAATATGAATCTTATCTATCAATCATATTCCGTTTGAATTTCAGCAATTCATTTTGTGATCTCAAGATATTAATCTTTAATTTGACGGAATATTTTTCCTAATTATTTCATGACTTCAAATGATCTTCATAGTTTTTTTGTTTTTTTTAAAATATAGTTGAAGTTCGACTTGGTCCTCTAGATAGAAACAGATCGATTCAACTTTTTTGGATAGTTATGTGGAATTTGTGGTCCATATAATTACCTTATTGAGTAACACAGTCTCATCCCAAGACGTCATATAACTGGGTGACCATACGTTAACATCCGCTGTTTTAGGGTACCCTTTAACATCAGTTACATGACGATCCTGGGACATCATACAACTGACGCTTTACTTTTAACGTCAGTTAGGTGACGGGGTAGGTTTAGGTCTGGGGTAGGTTTAGGATCTGATAACGTCATCTAGGGTACCCTAAAACGGCGGATGTTAACGTATGGTCGAAAGACGTCCCAAGACATCAGTTATATGACGTCTTGCTGTATTGAGATTGTTATATCACTGTCACGGCTGTTCAGGTGTACTTAATATAGAAATTTAGTCTACTACAAATAGCTAATATTTTTATTTTGCCTAGAAACTAATATCGCAACTAAATACCTGCTCCAGTCAGGCAAGGTAATGTCAAAAGTACACATTGTGAAATAGAAAAGATACTTAATGTGCATTAATGAAGCAACAATCAAGACAACAATAGAGTTTACTTTACAATAGAGATTATGAGTGTTCATAATGCAACGATGGACAAAGTTCACAAATTTGTGAAGAGCATATTTCATGCTTTGTGGTCACTTGTCTATATTGAGTATAAGAGATGTTAGAGCAAAAGTCCTTTAAGGGAAACTTACATCTGCATACTTCAAGTTCGAGCGCTGCATATTTGTACTCGCTCTCAAAATGCAGAATATTTTAGTTTTAAGGACACAAATGGGTACAAAGTGTACAAAAACTACTCTGAATACAATTAGCATTTATGCATCTTGTAGACGAGCTCCATATAGGCACATGTTTGTAAATTAAAAATGATGTAGATCAGTTGTAGACCTCATGAAATAAATGGAAAATGTCACTCCAGAATATTCTACACAGTAATGACATGAATGAAAGACTAAAGTTGATTGTTTTTCAGACCGTGATTGTCTGACTGGCTTACAATGAATGTATTTCCAAGTTTGCTTCAGATGGTATTTCTCTATGCAAAACAGACGAATTTTTCGCAATAGACCTTCGAGTAACTGTGCTTTGTATACTGTGCTATGCATTTTTTCCCTTTGTGTGACATTGCTTTCATGATGTCACTTAATAAAAAAGATTCTTCCGACCGATAAAGGATTTTGAAGGCCGATTCAAATATTTTTTTGGTTTTAAAATCCGATATGCCGATATATCGGCCGATATTTTTTACATTTTTTATTTCAGAAAGGCGCAACAAAACATTAACAGATTTCCCTAACATTAGTCATTTGTAGTTATTTATGAGTTTTAACCAAAATAATATGATAATGCATTTTAAAAAGAAACTTTCTAAAAGTTTATTTTATTGTCACAACAGAACAGACTGATGATAGTGGCATTAGCTAGCTTTATGGTTAGCTAGTCTATGATTAGCCATAATTTAGCAATGGATTACGTCATACTGCAAATTGTAAAACATACATTTTCAATATAACTGGCAAAGGAAACTTCCGCCGGCCACAAATTTTGTCATGCTTATTTGAGTTGAGAGAACTGATGGGGATGATGTTTTAATTGTTATTCAAGCAATGTATGTATCGTGAACAACTCAACGAGTGTTGCCGACAGGAACGGTGTAGAGTGCCCTCTGGTGGACAAACTACACAACACTCATGACATGGTTCAAGCGTGTTTCGTCCGTTTTTATTTTTGAAATATTCATTTATTGGCCATTATAACTGTTGATACCGATAGTTTGGAAAATGCCTAATATCGGCCGATAATATCGGCCTGCCGATATATCGGTCTGGCTCTATTATTAATGTAATTGGAAAAATAATGATAAAGTATTAAATTAGACTTGTAAAGTGTTTGCTGTAAGAAATGTAATTCATGCTGATTAAAATAAAATAAACAACAAATTTTCCAGACAGGATTAGCAGCTATGTTAATGCGATATATTTTTCTTTATGCAAAATATCCTTTTTTATTAATTTAATTTCTTTTGAATTGAATCTCACGAACAAATGTTTACGGTCACATTTCAGCGAAACACGTTTTTGGCAGCTTATATTGTCAAGGAAAACCAATGTCTAATGTAGTTAAACATTGGTTTGTTAGACGATCAGCACTTTAATATTTAAATCATCCGTCTGATAGTAACCTGTCTGTCTTCAGCATTTTAATCAAAGATGTATCATAGCTTGAAAGGTGTCATAACCCCCTTAATGTTTTTTATCCACCAGGTGAATTCAGCCCTTGTATTTGTCAATCACAGTTGCTTTTCATTTAACTGAAGTTGACCATTTTGAACTCTAATGGGGTCACACACCACTGACACAGTTAATGAGATGAAAGTCTTTTCGTTTAAAGCTCAAAGACTGGAGCGACTGAGGAAAGAACGACAGAACCAGATCAAGTGCAAAAATATCCAGTGGAAAGAGAGAAGCTCGTCTCAATCAGGTACAGTAGCGGTAGCCATGCTCACGTTTATTATCTCCTCTCTGTTTCTTGTCCTCTGAATGTTTTTTCCCCTGTTGATTTTTGTAGTAGATGACTTGAGCTCGCTTTTTGACAAGAAGGACTTTAAGGACAGGCCCCGGAGCACAGGCAGTAAATCCACACTCTCGCTGAGGCTCGAACAGTGTCCCCAACAGCTCAACAACCCCTTCAACGAATACTCCAAATTTGATGGCAAGGTGAGCACTTCTGTGTCTAGAGACCAAGTACTTTCCCTCTAAAATTACATGCTGGATTATCCTTGAATACAGAAGGTCAACATGAGATCAAAATATCATATTTTTAAATGTAGAAATAAATGTCCCTTTATCTATAGTTAGACAAAGTAATGCATCATTATCAGTGTTATTTTAGAATTAGTGAGATACTAATATAGTTTTTTATTAGTTTTTATTATTTATTGTTTTTATTTGGTGATTTGGTTGTGTATTTGACTTTTTTAATAGTTTTTTAGGTAACACTTTAGATTAAGGTCTCATTTGTTAACTATCAATGAACAATACTTTCTTACTGTTGTTATTAATCTTTGTTAACATTAGTTAAAAAATACTATTTGTTCATGTTAGTTCACAGTGCATTCTTTAAACTTTTTTATTTAAAAAATGTATTAGTAAATGTTGAAATTAAAATGAACTAAGATTAATAAACGCTGTAGAAGTATTTTTCATTGTTTGTCCATGTTAACAAATGAAACCTCATTGAAAAGCATAAAATATTTTTATTAACTTATTTACAGTTTTAGTTATTTTAGCACATCAAGTTAACTAAATGAAAATAAGAAATGTTGCTTTGGCGACTATCTTAAATAAAATAAGACATTAAAAATAAAATAATAAAATAAAATAAAAAATGCATTTTTTTATTTTGTATTTTATCTAGTTAATGTTTATTTTATTTCAAGTTATTCATTTTTTATGGTTTATTTTCAGTTTTAGATTATTATAATTAGGGATGGGCAACGATTAATCGCGATTAATCGCATCCAAAATAAAAGCTTGTGTTTACATAATATATGTTTGTGTAGTGTGTAGAATTAATTTGTATATATAAATACTCACACATGCATGTACAAAGTATATATTTAAGAAATATGTGCATGTATATATTTTATATATATTTATTCACAATTAATATTATATATAAATATAAATATTTCATATATTAATAACAATTTTTTCTTTAATATGTACATGAATGTGTGGGTATTTATATATACAAATTAATTATACACACTACACACACATATATTATGTAAAAACAAACTTTTATTTTGGATGCGATTAATCGTTGCCCATAATAACTTGGACGGTAAAGCGATTAAAATTCTTAATTTAATTATTTACACGATGTGTAGATAAATTAATCGAATTAATCGCACATTGAATTTGGCTGAGAAAGTCATTATTGTGTTAAATGAGAAAAGCCTAATGTCATTACAAAAAGTTGTTTTAGAAAAAGAAAATAGTTTTTGATTCAACATAGAATTTATTACACAAACTTTTAGGCTTTAGGCGTTGAAATTTGTTTAATTTAATGCATTAATTTGCCCCATAACTAATTAATTAAATTAACATGTTCAATAGACAGCCCTCACATTATTAAGCAGCCCTCACATGAATGTTGCAGGGCTGAACCCTTCTCACCAGTGTTGAAAAATATGAGGCTTTAAATGAATGGCAGAGTTAATTTAATCAAAACAATTATTAAAGAGTCTTTTCCTCATCCTCTAAGCATGCTCTTTGTAAAGTACAGAACAGAAGCACCCGGCGTCACACAGGTTTCTCCCCTGTCTCCGTGCATTAGCGTCACCTTCAGGCTATAACACCTTCGCAGAGAAGAGAAAGACTGCCGTTTTCATTTTTTGACAGTCTTGGAGATTTTAGGTGTAGTTTGTCATTGTGCATCAATTACAGCTGTCTTCATCACCTGTTCCCCTTTGGCTCTTTAGAGTCATGTTTTTACAAACACTCTGTTTTCTGTACTATGAATTTGTCGGGAATGCACATCAGCTTTCCCTCTTCCAGTAAAACCTTAAATATATATATATATATATATATATATATATATATATATATATAAGAAATATATATATATATATATATATTAAAAAAATATATATATATATATATTTTTATATTTTATCTATATATATATATTTTATATATATATTTTTTTTTTACCATCTATAATAATATTTCTGATTCTTTTAATTTAACTAGAATTTTATCTTTCATTGGGGCTCATTTTTTTTTTACTTGTACTGACAAACTTTGAGGATAGAGAGCACTAATGTAGTCAGGATATGACACAGAGACTAAAAAAAGGCCATAGTTTGACTATTTGTATCTATTCACCTTTAAAATTTGCAATATCTTTTCGATTACTTACAGACTTCCTTCCCCTTTCTTTTTCAGGGCCATGTTGGTACAACGGCAACCAAAAAAATTGACGTCTACCTCTCGATGCAGTCGACCCAAGAAAAGCTTCACCCCATGACGGTGGTCACGATGGCTAACGCTCGGGTCCACGATCTTATCGGGCTCATCTGCTGGCAGTACACCTGTGAGGGCCGTGAACCCAAGCTCATGTTAGTAGAAGAAACTTCACACACATCCTTCATATAAGCACTTCTGTCTTCATATTACAGTGCGTTGATGTTAACGTTATACTTAAAGGGGCACTATTCAGGAATCCCGTTTTTGTCAAACAGCGACCCCTAGAGTCACTGTGGAGTACTTGTATTTAACGTTACTGTCGTAAATACCACTTACGCAGAGCGTAACATGCCGGATTAGTATACGATAGTACATTGTGTTTTGTTGAGATTAGGGATGCACCGATATGAACATTTTGGCCAATACCGATAACCGATAATTCTTTATACTTGAAAGCCGATAACCGATATATTGGCCGATAAATCTAAATCCAAATTTTTATTTCATTTTTGAGAGTCTGATTACAAAAACAAAAGTCTCACCATTAAAATCTATATCCCTATCACATCATATAGTTTACATGGACTATATGACAGACTTGTGCTGCACTAAACTGTATTTTCATTTTTTTTTATTATTTGACATTTTTTATTAAAGAGGAATAGCCCCTTGAGATGAGCCATCTCGTTTTCGAGGGGGTCCTCGATTCGAGATTCAAATAAAAAATTGACCTTACAGCAGCTGGAATTTAACATAACAAATAGCAAAAACCAAATAACAAATACACAAGAAAAAAAAAAAGTGCTTTACAGTAGTACTATATAGCTAAATATATAAGCCAAAACCAAACAAGACATTCATTCATACAAGACTCCCAAAAGGTGACACACTCCTCCCTAAATAGAGTAAACCATATCATTTGTGCCAAGACAACATCAAAACACAAGTAAACTCGTATACAGACAAAAAAAATATATATGAAGAGTTCAGATGCAAAATCCTCTAAATGCCATTTGAAATTTTGTTCTTTAATGATGATTTTTATCAAACTTGTGTATTTAAGTTCAGTAATTTCACTTAAATAACAATTAATAGGTAATTATCATTGCCATTTAAGTGAAATTACTGAACTTAAATATACAAGTTTGATAAAAATCATCATTAAAGAACAAAATTTCAAATGGCATTTAGAGGCTTTTGCATCTGAGCTCTTCATATGTACCATGCCAAAAAAATAAGTTACAGTGAGAAATAAATATAATAAAATAAAATAATGCTAATCAAAATTTTTCTAATCATATTTCAAGCAATTCCAAACCATCATGTTGAACAGTGCATCTGAAGCGTCTCAGCTGAAGGAAATAATACATTAATTATCAACTTTAATATATCGGCCTAATTTTCTTATCAGGCCAATAACGATTCAAATAAAAAATTGACCTTACAGCAGCTGGAATTTAACATAACAAATAGCAAAAACCAAATAACAAATACACAAGAAAAAAAAAGAAAGAAAAAAAAGTGCTTTACAGTAGTACTATATAGCTAAATATATATATAAGCCAAAACTAAACAAGACATTCATTCATACAAGACTCCCAAAAGGTGACACACTCCTCCCTAAATAGAGTAAACCATATCATTTGTGCCACTAAAAATTAACATATATCGGCCGATACCGATATGGCGGCCGATATACCGTGCATCACTAGTTGAGATCTACTACATGTTGTTAGTGGTGAGAATTTTCACGTGATTAAATATATAGATCCGACAATTATCCCCATGATCTTTAAGACGGCCACCATTCAAATCCGAAAGAAGTCATATAACCATTTCAATAACTCCGTATACTTCTCCAAATCAAAGAACGGTCATTTAGAGCAAATTTTGAGACCATTTCAGGAGTTTGAAACATCTTCGCTATGAGTATATCGGGGCCTTTAATGGATGCTTCTTTAGGGTGCCATAAATAAAATATGCTTGTTGTCAGTCTGCTTGGAAAGTGCTACTCTACTAGTGATCCTTCCCAGAGGCATTTATATTCCTTTTCCATCTACCTCTGCTGCTAATGCCAGTCTTGACCTTTCCCAGCCAAGGCAGGGATTCCCCTGGGTTTCTTTCTCATCTCCTCATTCAGTGCGTCTCCGAGGTTTGCTGACCGTATAGCGCAGGAATTTTCTCCCTGGTACATGGTACAATATGAAGATTTATACTTCGGTCAGTCTGAGGAGAGGGTAACCATTAAAATGGAGAGAAGACGAGGGAAAAAAAAAAGCAGATTCCCTCTTGGGCAGCTTGGTGCCTCACACAGACAGTCTGGGTGGTTGATGTGAGACCTGATTGGCATAGCAATGAGCCTTTTCCCCCTGGAGGAGGGTCAGGCTGTAGAGAGGAAGAGATACACTACTTGTGTGGGATTTCAATGAGTCTACCACCTCCGTACGGCTTTGGCCATTACTAGAAAGCTGTTTTTGAGTGAGGATCAAGGTAAAGGGATGCCCCTCTTGAATATAAAGATGGTTCTTTCAGGACATTCAGATCGCCCTCTGAACCTCTAATTTCCCATCACCCTTTCTCCTACAGTTCAGCTGACCTGCTTCGTTTGAGTAGTTTATTAAAATGAATCCTAGACTGTGTTTCCATCTAGTATGGAGACACATGGCGTCACAGTAGGCGGAAGTCAATGCGGTTTAGAGCCCGACCGATAAAGGATTTTGAAGGCCGATACAAATATTTTTTGGTTTAAAATCCGATATATCGGCCGATAATTGTTTTTTTTTTTCAGAGACGCGCAACAAAACATGAACAGATTTCCCTAACATTAGTTATTTGTAGTTATTTATGAATTTTAACTAAAATAATATGATAATGCATTTTAAAAAGAAACTTGTTTCTTTTATTGTCACAATTGTGGTTAGCTAGTCTATGATGAGCCATAATTTAGCAATGGATTATGTCATAGTGCAAATTGTAAAACATACATTTTCAATATAAACAGGCCAAGGAGAGATGATCCATCTCATTGCTATAACTGTCACGCGTTATTAAAGAAATACTTCAGTCATGTTGTCAAAAGTTAAAAGGACGGTCAGTCAACTATACTGTAACAACGTAACGTAACACTAGCTAATTCCGCTTCACTCTCGGCTAATTTAACAGCAGCAAAACTGGACATGATAGTCACAAATTTTGTCATGCTTATTTGAGTTTAGAGAACTGATGCCAATGTTCTTTTAATTGTTATTCAAGCAATGTATGTCTCATGACCAACTCAACGAGTGTTGCCAACAGGGATGGTGTAGAGTGCCCTCTGCTGGACAGAACTATACGACTCCAACACTCATGACATCGTTCAAGCGTGTTTCGTCCGTTTTTATTTTATTTTTGAAATATTCATTTATCGGCCATTATAACTGCCGATACCGATAGTTTGGAAAATGCCTAATATCGGCCGATAATATCGGCCCGCTGATATATCGGTCTGGCTCTAGCCGATATTATCGGCCGATATTATGCATTTTCCAAAATAACGGTATCGGCAGTTATAATGGCCGATAAATGAACATTTAAAAAAATAAAATAAAAACGGACAAAACACGCTTCAATCATCTCTCCTTGGCCTGTTATATTGAAAATGTATGTTTTACAATTTGCAGTATGACGTTATCTATTGCTAAATTATGGCTCATCATAGACTAGCTAACCACAAAGCTAGCTAATGCCACTATCATCAGTGGAAGACCGCTAACGTTAACATTAATGAGCTTGGAAACAACAATGAACTTTTTCTGCCTAAATAAAGTAATGATTATTATATTTATAACTAGCATATCTCTAGTTACAGTCCCTGCATTGTAAAATGTAAGTTATACTTGCGAGGAGTGAACATTTAGACATAGAGAAAAAGTATCAAACGTATCTTGTGCAGAAAAGTTAGCTTTTCTTTTACACGTGTGTGAAATCCAACAATATTTAATAAAAAAAACATCATATATTGGAATATCGGATTTTAAAACCCCAAAAAATTTGTATCGGTATCGGCCTTCAAAATCCTTTATCGGTCGGGCTCTAGGTTAGGCCGTGTGTCCACCAAAGCGTTTTTAGCCAGCTGAAAACGCTAGACGCTCTGCTGAAGACGCCGTGCTTTGGGCGCTTGAGAGCGTTTTGGTAGCGCAGCGTTTTTTCTCCGTTGAGACGTTTCGTTGCTATGATACAGAATATCCGCAGCAGTTTGAATGTTGACAGTTGGTCGGTGTGGTATTAGTCCCGCCCCTCCTCCACTGTGATTGGACGGCTGGGTAAAAAGTGACAGTGATGAGCGCTGCGTTTTATCCAAAGTTGATCATTTTTCAACTCCCAGCGACCAGTAAAAACGCCGGGCGCTCGGCGCTTCAGCGTGAAAAAAAACGCTCCCATTGAAAACAATTGAAAACAATTCCACGTCAGGCGCGTGGAAAAATGCTTTGGTGGACACACGGCCTTACACCCACTGTTGGTGGAGAAAACACACAAAAACACATCTAAAATGGAAAAGAGCTGTGGGATCGACTGTAGAATCCAATTAAAACAAGTAAACGGAGCTATCTTTTTAGAGACTTCAGGAAATGGATCGCTGCAATTTGCCGAAACAACTTAACTAGGCAGCGAAATACCAATTCGCAGTTACCATTTTGTCGGATATGTTGTCGAATTTTTCAAGTGGACAACCCAGCTCAGGTTGTTCCTGAAATTCAAAATCCCCCCCAAGCTTAACACAAGCTTCATATTCTCACTATACTATTTGAGCCATATAAGCCTGATTTATCAGATATGATGCACGACAAAACAAACTTTGTGTCTAATGTCAGGGTTAAGAATCAAGACTTTTGAGACCGACAATGATCTTACAAATTCAAGAGGAAATATATCATCTTGGATGGCACAGAATTTGGAGGTGAAACACAAAAAGAGCAGATTCAGGCCTCTTCTCAGTCGGATGTCATCTCCTCAGGCTGCCTGAGCAGAACATGGGTCTGATTAACACCATGACAGTTAGTCTTTACAGCTCAGGCCTGGATTTCGACAGTGTGTCAGAGCAAATTAAAACGCCATCGTCCCAGCAAAAACACCAGAGCAGGCACTGGCCTCGAGGGATGAAAGCTATATCATAAAGACAAAGCTTAACATGCCTCCGCTGGATGAATCGTGGAATAGGTTGCTGTTAGTTTTATATTTCTGATGGATCAGTTTTCCTTAAGGAGTCGATCTATTATGATATAAAACAAAGCTTTGGGCAAAAGTAATCTGGAATACTGCCAGCCTACACTATATATAATGATATAACAAAAGGTTTAACCATGAAACCAGTGAAGTTAACTCTTCCCAGTGCTTCTCTTTTGATTCATCCTCAGTCTGTGCCAGGCTGCATCCCAACAAACACTCAATGTTTTTGCTCCTCAATGAATAGCCCTCATTTACATGCCCTCATAAATTGTGTCTGGGTGCTTTTGTTTCATGTCCCTGTTGTCGTCACCCATCTTTAACAAACCAGAGCGTTTAGAAAGAGTCCTTCAGAGCCACTTTTACACAAAACAGAACTTAGATAGTTAGGTTTTAATCACTTTTGAATTGAAGGGTTAAAAGTAATTTTAGAAGTAGTAAGTGGTCAAAAGTTTGGAATTATTACGATTTTTTTTTTATGTTTTTGAATGAAGTTTCAAGGCTGCAATATTATTATCATTTAAAATCTCTTTTAAATGTGAATAAATTGAGAAAATGTCATTTATTCCTGGGATCAAATTTGAATTTTCAGCATCATTACTCGCATGATCCTTCAGAAATCACTCTAATATGATGATTTGCTGCCCAAGAAACATTTCTGATTATTATCAATCACTGCTTTTGCTGCTTAATATTTTTTGTGCAAACCCTGAAACACTACCATTCAAACAGTAAGTTTTAAAAGCAAGTAAAGACATTTATAATGTTCAAAACATTTCTGTTTTAAATAAATGCTGTTCTTTTGAACTTTTTAATTCATCAAAGAATCCTGAAAAAAATGTATCATGGTTTCCAAGTAGAAAAAACAGTTTGGACATAGATAATAACAAGAAGCATTAATAATAATTGAGCATCAAATATTAGAATATTAGAACAGCAAATACCAGATTAGAAAGATTGTCTGAAGTCTGTAATTTTAGACAATCATTTTCAAAAGACATTTTAAATAGAAAACAGTTCTTCTATGTTGTTTTTACTATATTTTCGATCAAATAAATGCACCCTTGGTGAGCATAAGCAATTTTTTTTTACTGATAGTGCATAATAAATGAAATTCATTGCAATTAATTCACACATATGATATGTGGGACTTCTAGAGCCCGACCGATAAAGGATTTTGAAGGCCGATACCGATACAAATATTTTTGGGTTTTAAAATCCGATATTCTGATATATAGGCTGATATTTTTTTTTATTAAATATTGTTGGATTTCACACACGTGTAAAAGAAAAGCTAACTTTTCTGCACAAGATACGTTTGATACTTTTTCTCTATGTCTAAATGTTCACTCCTCGCAAGTATAACTTACATTTTACAATGCAGGGACTGTAACTAGAGATATGCTAGTTATAAATACAGTAATCATTACTTTATTTAAGCAGAAAAAGTTCATTGTTGTTTCCAAGCTCATTAATGTTAACGTTAGCGGTCTTCCACTGATGATAGTGGCATTAGCTAGCTTTGTGGTTAGCTAGTCTATGGTGAGCCATAATTTAGCAATAGATAACGTCATACTGCAAATTGTAAAACATACATTTTCAATATAACAGGCCTAGGAGAGATGATTGAAGCGTGTTTCGTCCGTTTTTATTTTATTTTTTAAATATTCATTTATCGGCCATTATAACTGCCGATACCGTTATTTTGGAAAATGCATAATATCGGCCGATATATCGGTCTGGCTCTACTTGTTACCAATCTAAGCCTTTGTTTCTTATAATGGGAACAATGATTTGACCTTTTTGAAATGGTGGACATACTTTTCAACAACAACCTTCTCTTTGAGTTTGATCCCTCTTATTTTGTCATGCCTCCACAGAGAAAATGTCAACACCTACTGTCTCCACATCGCTGAGGATGATGGAGAGGTGGACACAGACTTCCCTCCGCTGGACTCTAACGAACCCATCCACAAGTTTGGCTTCAGCACACTGGCGCTGGTCGAGAAGTATTCATCTCCTGGACTGGGGCCCAAACAGTCACTCTTTGTTCGAATGTAAGAAAGCCACTTAAGTCTGACTTTATCACTTTCAGTTTAACTTCTGGCTCTGCGAAGAACAAACAAACCTAAAGTTAACATCAAATCAAAATGTACCTCAATTACTACACGTTATACATAATGGAACAGATTTTTGTTGACAAACTGTATAAATATATTATATACCATAATTTTAACTTAACGTTCCAATGTTTGGGGCCAATCTTACCAACCCTAAACTTTTTAATGGTAATGTATATATTTCGATAAGTAGATACATATAGGTATATACGAACCATATCTAACCACAAATCTATCACTGTCATCATCAAATATTCAATTTATTGATTTTTATCTTGAAGTTTTCCTCCTTTTGAGAACTATCTGAAGGTTGTAGGTTTAAATGCCAAGTCTCCTTTAAGTTTGTTGGAGATTTTTTCCTCGTGCCTCTTCATGAAGCTCTCATCTTTGTGATTAGATTGGATGGTCCCACTTTATATTAAAGGGTTAGTTCACCCAAAAATGAAAATTAAGTCATTAATTACTCACCCCCATGCTGTACCAACCCCGTAAGACCTTCGTTCGTCTTCGGAACACAAATGAAGATATTTTTGATTAAATTTGAGAGCTGTATAACTACCACATTGGCTCCTAAGGGACTGCCTCTTGACGGCCCAGAAAGTCAATGAAGAAAATGTTTAAATATCCCAAGTGACTACCGTGGCTCAACTATATGTTTATCAAGCGACGCGAATACTTTTTGTGCGAAAAAACAAACAAAAATAACGAGTTTATTCGACTATTTCTTTTCTTCCTTGTAGGCCAGAACGAGACTTCCTTAGATTTCCACGACGCATGCGCGAGAATTGCGATCTGCTCACACCAGCTTACACTACTTCAGATCGCAATTCTCGCGCATGCGTCGTGGAAATCTAAGGAAGTCTCGTTCTGGCCTACAAGGAAGAAAAGAAATAGTCGAATAAACTCGTTATTTTTGTTTGTTTTTTCGCACAAAAAGTATTCGCGTCGCTTGATAAACATATAGTTGAGCCACGGTAGTCACTTGGGATATTTAAACATTTTCTTCATTGACTTTCTGGGCCGTCAAGAGCCAGTCCCTTAGGAGCCAATGTGGTAGTTATACAGCTCTCAAATTTAATCAAAAATATCTTCATTTGTGTTCCGAAGACGAACGAAGGTCTTACGGGGTTGGTACAGCATGGGGGTGAGTAATTAATGACTTAATTTTCATTTTTGGGTGAACTAACCCTTTAAGTGGCTTTATGTACTTACATTGAACAATAAGTACAATGTATTATTGTGTTTCCTGTTGTATTGTAAAACTCTTTTGCTGCTATTGAGGTGTGATACGGGTAAGGTGAGGGACAGGTGTGGTGGTATGGGTCGGGTTAAGGTGTGAGGGGAGGGTCAACAGTGTAATTACAAATGTAACTACATAAACTAATTATAGCTGTAATTACATGCTGGTATTTTTGTTTTTTAGAAATTAAGTTTTTATTGGTTTTCTCATGTATAACAAAATATATACACAAATAGATGCAACAATCAAAATAATAACATTGAATGAATGAAGAAAAAAAAAAATAATTAAAGAGGTTATAGTTTATGCACAACAGTATGGGCAAGTTACAACTCAAAGTAACCAACTGAATAAAATTCTCCCACATGTCAACATCTCTATGCTTTCCGTTCACTTTAGCTAACATTCTTTCATATGATACATTCTCCACCATAGACTCAATCCACATTTTAAATGAAGGACATATCTGAATATCTTTCCAAAATCGGAGTATCAATTGTACTGCCGTGAATACACCCACAGTAACAAGGGAAAACTCAATATATTTATCTGAGATTTATCGCCTAAAAGGCAAATCCTTGATTAAAATAGAAGGTCAAATCCCAAACATTCTCCAAGATATTTTAACACAATTTTCCAAAAAGGTTGAATTTTTTTGAACAATGCCAAAGAACATGCATATATGAAGAGTTCAGATGCAAAAGCCTCTAAATGCCATTTGAAATTTTCTTCTTTAATGATAATTTTTGATCAAACTTGTATATTCAAGTTCAGTAATTTCACTTAAATAACAATTAATAGGTAATTATCATTGCCATTTAAGTGAAATCATTGAACTTAAATATACAAGCTTGATAAAAATCATCATTCTAGAAGAAAATTTCAAATGGCACTTAGAGGCTTTTGCATCTGAACTCTTCATATGTACAAATTTCTTTTTTACATTTCCAGCATCTATTAAACAGCCCATTCTAAAAAGTCGCACTGGCGTATAATAATACACATGCTGGTATTTTTAAAATATAAGTACAATGTAAAAACATGTATGTACACAATAAGTCAATTGTATGAAATTATTAATTTCGATGTAAGTATATAGTACTTAAAGCCAGCTAATATAAAGTGGGACCAATTGGATTGCTGCTCTTCTGTGCGTTTGGGAATATCTCTAATCAACTGTTTGGTTAATGTGACTGACAAAGCATTAGGAGACCCCTATTCATTTGAAGTTGCTAATTAGATTTGAATGGCTCTCTGCCAGACTGTCGTGCCTGAGATAGGGAACCTTGCTTTTGGCTGTAAAACTGAATTTGGTTTGTAAACAGTTCTGCTTGTTTGTGTATGTCACAGATTTTTCTTGCACTTGCTTAGATTGGGTGATATTTGCACCAAATAACAAGTAATCATGGATGTTTTTATTAGGAAATACAGATTTTACAGATTTTGGGTGAACTGTTCCATTAACGTTTCACCAGCGAGTAAAGAAATAAGATACACCAAAGTTCAAAAGTTTGAGGTCGGTATGATTTTTGTTTTTTCAAAAACATGAATTCTTGCATTCAGCAAAGTTGCATTAAATTGATCATGTTATAAAAGATTTCTACACTGAAAAAAATGTGGAGTAGGATTTGCTTGAAAAAAGCTATGCAACTTTTTCCACTCAGAAAATGCTAGTAAATTTACAAAGATTTGCCAAGTAAAAACCTAAACATATTTATCAGTAGCTTTAATTAAAAATCTTAAGTTAAAATTTACTTGGAATATGGAATTAAGTAAACTTTCATTTAGTTAAGTGAAAGTAACAAAGAATATAAGTAACTTGGCTAGTAAAAGGTTGATTTAATATCGATTTAGTTGTAATTTCCTTTGCATTACATTTCACTCAAACAATTTTATTGAATTATACCAGACATTTATAGTATGTGTTTTACTTAGACTATCTAAGTAATTTATACATCATCATGTCAGATGTTAAGCATTATGTGAATGCAAAGACCTCAATACTTGGTAGACAATACACAATGACGGTAACATTTGATGGATCGTTTTTGTGTTTAATGTGTCATTTTGAGCATAAAATTTCCTCAAAATGTCACAAAATGGCAAGTTACTAATCCTGACGACAAAATCAGTGTAAATACAGCTGGAAACCAGTGAAAAATTAACCTCATTAATTATTCAAGGTCCAGTGCATGATGGGAACACCAGTATCAGAAAAGTTGAGTAATTTTTACTTTATTTTATTAAGTTGATATTACACTTTCATTTATACTCGCTTGAACTAAGTACTGATATGGAATTTACTTAGTTTTTTTTATTCTTGCCTGGACTAACTTTTTCTTGTAAATTACATTGGGTTTTTTTCAGTGTATTTCAAATAAATGCTGTTCATTTGAACTTTCTATTTATCGAAGAATCCTATGACATTATCTTGGTTTCCACACAAATATTAAAGAACGCAGCTGTTTTCAGCATTGATGATCATAAGAAGTATTTCTTGAGCTCCAATCAGCATATTAGAAAGATTTCTGAAAGATCATGTGACACTGAAGAGAGTAATGATGCTGAAAATCAGCTTTGATCTCAGGAATAAATTACATTTTTACAATATATCCACATAGAAATCGGTTATTTCAGACTGCAATAATATTTCACATTTTTTACTGTATGTTTGATAACCTTGCAAAAACATTAATCATCTACCGACTCCAAACTTTTGAACGGGACTCTTTGCCTGTGGTATAAACTAATTTATTTATTTCTACAAAAGTTGCATTTGTGGCCCAGCTGCTTTGCACTTTTCATTGTCTTTTGTCCGTATTTATTTGTGATTTATTCATCAGCTCTCAGCCGTCGGCTGGTGTTCAGAGCTCTCTGGGTCAGCTGCATGCTCCCTTCACGAGAGGACCACTGATGTGGCACTGCAGGACCCTGGGCGAGAACTGAGCCAGTGCTTGGCCCTCAGTGGGCCATCGGGGCCGGCGACCTCTTCTGACGTGAAGCCTGTCAGAAGCCCTGGCCCGAGGCTGACGGGTCAGGACTGCTAAATGGAAGTGGACAAGCGAGTCCACTGTCCAGAAAGTGTGTGCTCTCCGGTTTCTGGCCTGGGGTTGTTGTTGTGTTGATGTAGTCTATCGCAGTGATGCGTCCATGTGCTCAAAGTTTGACTCGTGGACGGCCCCTCGGCCCCGTTGTGTGCTCTGATAAAGCAAGCCGGCGACCATTTAAGAGTACAATGCACTCTTTCTTCTGACATTAACTGTTACTGTTTACACCAGTAGCGCGAAACTGTCATTCAAGAATGGTCCTCTTGAATCTCAAAGTACATCTGCAAAAAAATATTGGTTTCATTTTTATACTTGAGTGTTGTGGTGCTGTTTAGTTAATCAGTCTGACTAATTGGTCTGAATCCGCTCTCGTTTATTATGTCTCTAAAAGTGTGAAAATATTTTTAAAAATTACAGAGTAAATTACAGAGTAATTGTGTTCAAATCTCTGGCTCGCACATTTTAGTTTTAAGTGATCACCGTCATTGTTTATTATGACAATATGGAATAATTCTAATCATAAGACGTAATAGTAGGCGTGTTATTTTAGTATACTATTATAGTGTCTATTAATATTTTGAATTGGTTTTTACCTTTACATTTTCTGTTTTCATGTTAATATTAGTTATTTTTAGGAATAAAAAAAAAATCTGTCTATTTAGTTTTTTATTATTTTCAGTTTTAATATTTCAAACTGAAATTGGAATAAAATAAAATAAAGAAACGTTCTATTTACATTTATTCTGTTTCAGTTAGCGTAAAGGTTTCTTAATATTTTTATGTAACTCGATGCTTTGTTATCACAACGTCACTTGACGATGATGCATAGTTTCTAACCTCATAGTTTCCACAGGGGAGAAAAAAAAAATCGAAATCACGTCCATCTCATCTTGAACCTAATGGTTTGATATCTTTCATATAATTGAATATGATATGCTCAGCCATTGGTTGAGACTCAAAGCTCAGTCCTGAGAATCTGAGGTCATGATCTCAGTGTTGATGCTCTGATGGACATGAACCTCGCATCTAACTCACAAGTTAAAGATTTATTCAATATGACTGATGATTTCCCTTCTTCACCCACAGAAACGCCGCTCATGGTTTCTCCCTGATCCCAGTGGACAGCCTGAAAGTGACCATGAAGGATATTCTGCAGAAGGCCCTCAAAAAGAGGAAGGGCTCCCAGAAAGGATCAGGTGAGACATCTGAAAGATTCATCTCACACTTAATGTGAAGTGATAGATATGTTTTGGATTCAAGCTTAAATCCCTATAGTTGTATTATCTATTTTGATGTTATTTTACTATTATTTATTTACTATTATTAGAATTAATTGAGCTTTTATTTTTATAGGTTTAGTTTTTGTTATTTTTATTATTTTTCATTATTTTTATTTCCATTTTAATTGTAGTAATTTTAGCACTTTATATTTTAGTTAGTTGCCAATGTTACAATCATTTTTTTTAAATCCAGTAACATATTTTATTTCAATTAACAAAAACAATTCACTTCAATAACAACTCAAATGCCTTTACATATCGGCATGAAAATGAAATGTTGTGGTGCAAAAAAGTGGACTTCAGGGGAAAATAATAAATGCTGTAAGAAGTGTAGCAAATGGTGCCTTTGAATTGTCAGTCGAACTGGAATTTGTGCGTGTCCGTAGTTTTCATCTTAGAAAGTAAGTGAAGCCGTCTGCTGCGATTTGGCCCGATAACCGTGGCAATGTGCCGTCCTAATTTGTCATCGCCGAATGGGCGAATCTGATAAGGCCAGAGACTTTAATACAAAAAGTCACAGGTAACGGATCGCCCCTTTGATGGCCATGATGAGCCGGGGCAGCGGTGAGATAAGAGGGGTGAGGAGAAGAGATTGAGCCGCAGACTGACTCGGAGACGGAGAAGTGCACATAAAGAATGGGAAGCAATGGTGCGGGAACGAAAGTATATTAGAGAGAAAATGGATGAAACTCAGAGAAAATGATGGTGCGTGGAGAGCCACTGGAGCCTCATCTCTCTTGGATTTAGCACACACTGAGGTCAAAGCCTGCAGCGAGAGAAGTTCACTTCAGTAAGGGTTCTGCGGGCGAGCCCTGTCAGTTTAAAGAGGCTATAGTCTTCTCGTTCGCCCCGTGTGTATCCACTCAGTCTCATCAGTATGGCTCATGTACGCCTTCATCAACACCAGATTGACTAGTCTATAGGAGTGGTTCTCAACCTTTGTGGAATCAAGGCACCTATTTTTCAACAATCAAAAATACAAAGGTGTGCACATCCCACGCTTCTCTTGTGAAGTTTTTCTTCTAAAGTGTTTGAAAACTCAGAAGCGAAGACCAGGAGACTTGGAAGTATCTTTTTAAGATGTGTTCTTTATTGCTGTAGTCTGCTTCGTCCAAAAAGTCCGACTAAAGGCAAAATACTTTGTGTTCATATATCTTACAAGGTTACGGGTTACATAAAGGTGGAGACACTCTGAAACAAAGCATGTAAATGAAGCCCTGGATTCAACTCGTTACCGGAAATTCCCCAGCCCTGATCTCATCAGCATAACAGTGTCATGTATAGAATCCAATCAGCCTAATTGTATCACCCATTATCATAGAGCTTATTGAGGTGGCTTTACATAGAGGGGGAGACACTCTGAAACAAAGCATGTAAATGAAGCCCTGGATTCAACTCGTTACCGGAAATTCCCCAGCCCTGATCTCATCAGCATAACAGTGTCATGTATAGAATCCAATCAGCCTAATTGTATCACCCATTATCATAGAGCTTATTGAGGTGGCTTTACATAGAGGGGGAGACACTCTGAAACAAAGCATGTAAATGAAGCCCTGGATTCAACTCGTTACCGGAAATTCCCCAGCCCTGATCTCATCAGCATAACAGTGTCATGTATAGAATCCAATCAGTCTGATTGTATCACCCATTATCATAGAGCTTATTGAGGTGGCTTTACATAGAGGGGGAGACACTCTGAAACAAAGCATGTAAGCATAACTATTCAAAAGACAAAGAATCTCAGTAATCTGCTCATTTGTACCTCAAATGCTAAATTCAGTCTACTAGACTTTCTCAGTTTATATACTGTTGTACTGGAACCTAAATTAAACATTTAAATAAATTTGTAATCCTACACATCCCACGCATCCTACTTGGCCTCAGGTGTAAAAAGAATAACAATAGTGGAAAAAAGAAGTGCGAGGCCCGCACACTGAAAATAACTGCTCCAAACTACTGTTTATTGAAAGCACAACACTCAAATACAAATTTTACAAATCATGTGACACACATTTCAACAAACAAAATATACAAAACAATCCACATACGGGTAAACACTGAAGAATATGATGTTAAATATTCCACTTTCTTTGTCCCCTAATCTCCTAATTTTTTAAGGCAATATTTTTTTAATTATATTAAATGTGTAATTATCATTTTATATTATATTATATTATATTAATTACATTGTATTATATTATGTTAAATTACATTATATCCAGGTCTAGAAATCAAACTTTTGACATCCCCCCATATCCAGGTTTTGTCATTATTTTTGTCATGTTTAAAATGAATTTTATATATTTAATCCATATTATGAAGTTCTTTGATTTGATTTGTAGGTGTTATTTAATAGACTCCTAAACATGCTTTTTTCTCCCCAAATAGTCACATTTTGATTTCTTTCCTCAAATATGACAACAACATGTGCTATTTTAGTACAACTGAACTGTCTGTAGTCATTTTAAAGATAATCAATCACAATGACAATTGCCTTTCACTTGAAACCATTTAGTCCTTTGAAATTCACAAATAGTCTAATGTGAGAATGTTTCGGATGCTATTTTTGGTAGAAACTCAATCCGTTGCCATTTCTTTCTGCAAAACCAAGCAAGTATTTGACAGCTTTTCTATCAACAACAAAGACTATGAGAATAAGAGAAAAATAAATGCTCCGACTTGGTGAGATATGCGTTTCTTTGTCTTTTTAAAGGTATCGCAAACTCTTCCCAGGCGTCTCTGGGGCATAAAAACAAACCCAGAGTTTCTCTTTTGGGATTTGTGACATCTTAGACATGCCTCAGTCAGCTTAAAAAAGAGAGAAAAACTCCTAGCTCTTAAAAGGATGGCCACACTCACTCAGTTATATAATAGCATATTTAGTTTCAGTGGTTTGAGAGTACTTGTGTTTGATGTACAGCCTCATCAGAGACGGATTGATTTGACAGAAACCAGAGAGAGCCCTCAGAGGGAGTTTAATTGGAAATAAACCTACAGAATTGCCCTGTGGGCAGTGAGCCATTGGCCTGTCCCGGCCAGGTGATGGTTTGTTTTAGTCCGAGATGGTGTCTCAGAAGACGTCTTGAGTGGATGTGATGGGGTAGTTGGTCCAGAAGAGAAACGTTAGACGGCGTGGGCCGTGCTCTCATCTGCATTTAGATGAGTATTGATTGTTTATTTACCCGCTGGAGACAAGAGACCAATCCAATCTTCTGTCCACTGTGGTGCCTTCTCTTCTGCACCCGCTGGTCACTGGTTTGCTGTGTTTTTTTTGAGCGATTGTTTTTCCCCCCCCATTATATAGTCATTTAATACCTGTATTTGAACAAACCCTTTGTCTAGATAGATAATTTCCTGTTGTTTTGTCTATCTAGCCATCTATCCATCATCCATCCATATATATAAATCTGTCTATCAATCGCTCCATCTGACTATCTATCAATCTATCTATTGCTTATCTTTCTATCATTTTTGTTTCTATCATCTACCATTAATCCCATCCATCCGTCCATTCCCATCCATCCATTTATTCCCCTCCATCCATCCATCCATCCATCCATCCATCCATCCATCCATCTATCCATATCCCAATCCCCATCCATCCATTCTCCCACCCCCATCCCCATCACCATTCATCCATATCCCCATCCATCCATTCCCATCCATCCATTCATTCCACTCCATCCATCCATTTATTCCACTCCATCCATCCATTTATTCCACTCCATCCATCCATTTATTCCACTCCATCCATCCATATCCCCATCCTCATCCATCCATCCATCCATTTTCCCATCCTCATCCCCATCCATCCATATCCCCATCCCCATCCATCCATATCCCCATCCCCATCCATCCTTATCCCCATTCCCATCCATCCATATCCCCATCCATCCATCCATATCCCCATATCCCCATCCATCCATCCATATCCCCATCCATCCATCCATCCATATCTCCATCCATCCATCCATATCCCCATCCATATCCCCATCCATATCCCCATCCATCCATCCATATCCCCATCCATCCATATCCCCATCCATATCCCCATCCATCCATCCATCCATCCATATCCCCATCCATCCATCCATCCATATCCCCATCCATCCATCCATCCATATCCCCATCCATCCGTCCGTCCGGATCATCTCATTTAGCAGTTAAACGGAGTGAATATATAATGGTAGGCATGTGGACACTAGGAAGGGTGCGCACTGTAAAATATGACTAGTTTTACGAGCGGCTCAGGGTTTGTAAAGCTCGGTGGGTCTGTTGGGGGAGATAAGCGCGATTGAATGCCTCCAATGAGGCTTATCAGGGTAAATGTTGGTGACATTTGGGAGGCGGCGATGGCTGCGGTTTGGGGTCGGTGTGCCTGTGTGTGAACTACAGATGAGCTCAGACGAAAGAGAAAGACCGTGACTGTTATGCTTTATGTGCTTAGGGGGAGTGCAGTGAGACGTAATACAAAGCTGAACATTTTCAGCAGATGCTGTATTTGTGTGGATTTCTAAGTATTTAGCATCAGCTGTCTTATTTAGTCCTTGGCTTGATATTTTAATGACGCACATGAACAAAAAATGATTGGATTTGTAACTCCACAGCACATCTGGTTTCCGATTATTAAAGATTCATTATAAAACAGCTCTGAAACCTGATCATTGAAACCTTTGATGTGTATATATATATATATATATATACACACACACCTGTGACTGCATATCAGTTGAATTCTATTTAAATGTTTTACCTTATATTATTGCCATACAAAACCTTACGGACCCCAAATTTTTGAACGTATTGTATATTTAAATATTTTTTTTAAATAAAATGAATGCATTTATTCAGAACAGGCACATTAAAGTGATAAATAGTGACGGTAGACACTTCTGTTTTTAACCCCTTACCTGTCACCCCCCTTTTTGAGAACGGGGTTAAAATGCACTATTCACACTTAAATGGTTGTAATTCAAGAATGCTTTGGAATATATATATATATATATATATATATATATATATACTCAAGTTTGGTCTTTTTTTTAAAGAAAACAAGAAAACAGATTATTTCTGAAGTGAAAACACTTAAAAAAATGAAAGTATGAAAAAGTTATGGAAGTTTAAATTCACAGTAAATCAAATATACTATTTTACATTTTACAAAATATTTTTTACTCTAAAATTACTCTAAAATCAAAGCCATAAATCTAACCAAGTTATGTTCCAAATTTGAAGTTGATATCACAAAAATTGAAGTTCCCATGAGATTTTGTTTAGGCGTAGTACCAAAAATAGCCACCGGGTGCCATTGAATTCCATTGAATTTAGTTGTATAGATTCTGCCTTAACAAATTAATAAATTTCTGTCCAAATAACAATTTTGTCACAAAATTTGGAACCTTTCTGACAATATGTGTTTTGTCAAGATTAGAAAAGGTTTTGATCATAAATTATGAAATATAATGATGCCCAAAAGGGGAGGAGCCTGATAAAATAAGTACCGTTTCTATTGTAACGCAATGGTTTTCACAGGATGAAAGCTTTCAAATGATACCTAATTTATGATAACTACTAAAATATGTGATATAATAAAAAAGGCGATAAATTTTTTTTATGTTTTAGAGTATTTTATATATACACTCTAAAAAATGCTGGGTTGTTTTAACCCAATTTTGGGTAAAATATGGACAAACCCAGCCATTGGGTAACATTTTTAAATGATAATTGTAACCCAATAGTTGGGTTTGTCCATATTTTACCCAAAATTGGGCTAAAACAACCCAGCATTTTTTAGAGTGTGTGTATATATACTGTATATATACATTATAATTTTTAGAGGATAATATAATATTTATAATATAATGAAATAATAGAGGATAATAGCATAAAAACAGAAGTTTCAATGATTAAAAGTGGGTGCATCGACTTTTTGTGACAAAGATCAGACCTCCTGTTATGATGCAGATTTTTTGAGGTGCACTCTTGTCATAAATTCATCAATTAGTCTTCCTACATAATTTGTGACACAAAACAGGGGTAGAATATTTATTTACAAGTCTCAATATATAATTTGTCATAATTAGATTAGGATTTAATAGAAATATAGTGAAGTAAACTATACCGGGACGGTGACAGTTAAGGGGTTAAATAAATGCTGTTCTTTTGCTTATCAAAGAATTCTGGAAAAATGTATCATGGTTTCCAGAAAATTATGAATTGTTTTCAACATTGATAATAATCATAAATGTTTCTTGAGCAGAAAATCACAATAATTATTTCTGAACGATCTTGTGACACTGAAGAAATAAGGAATAGTATTGATTTAGTATCAGAATAATGACTTTCAATAATATTTATAATACCTTTATAATATCTAGATTAAATGTACTGGCTCACTGTAATGCCTTATTTCAAAATGATTTGTCATGTGCTGTTGCTTTACTAAGTGATCAGACTTAACAGTTTTCACCTGGCGGAGAATAAAATGGATAAAAAGCAACCGCTCACCTCATTGGAAAGGTCGTAAAAGGTCAGATTGTGTGTTTCTGAATTAGTCACAGTCTCTTGCTCTTCAGTGTCACAGCAGTTACAGGGATTCACATTTCTCCCTTAGATTCAGAGAGACACTGTCTGCGCTTCCACCATATATTTTCAACTAGTCCGATTCTTGCACGTCAAGTCCGCAACTGCAGTGTTGTATAGAATTGATTCACTTGGTTTGTGTTCTGATATATCTCGCATTGTGCTGGAGGGTGTCGTGAACATATTTCTTTCTCCGTAGAGGTCGTAAGCTTTCGGAGGCTCTGGTGACATTTTGGAAAACCATGGTATTTGCAAAAGGGTAAATATCGCCTTGAGTGTTTGCCCTATTTAGATTGGCAGCTTCTCTGTATTGTTTTTCTGGCAAAAAAAACGAGGAAAAGACTTGATCCTACCCCTGGGCATTTTTTCCGGCCTCTGACAAGAAATAAACAGTTTCCAATAAAGCCATTTTTTGGTTTTATAGCCATCAATTGCTCCTGCAAGGCAATCGTTATTGAGAAAGGATTGTGAAGATCGGTCATTAGGTCTGAGATGGGTTGATATCATCTGATTGGACAGAAAAAAAAGTCAAATTAGATTGTTTGCACTGAGCAATATTAATCAAGCGACAAAGCCAATAGCTCTGAATCCCATCAGAGATTGCTCTGGTCACCCTGAAGTCATTTATGATGGTTAACCTCTCTCAAGGGCTCTTTGTGATTGTATTAAACTATTCAAAGGTATTAATGTATTGAAAAAGAAGAAACTACAGTAGATAAACCAAGCTACACGTTTCATTGTGTGTTTTTGTGATTCTGAGTATACACAACTGTTGAAATACTGTTGATGTTTTTGAAAGAAGTCTCTTTTTATTTGATCAAACGTACAGTAAAAACTGTAATATTGTGAAATTAGTACAATGTAAAGTAATCTGAATATATGATCTAAGCTGATTTTCTAGCATCATTACTCTATTACTTCTAAAATGCTGATTTGCTGCTCAAGAAACATTTCTGATTATTATCAATGTTGAAATCAGTAGGGCTGTCAAACAATTAATCGCGATTAATCGCATCCAAAATAAAAGTTTGATTAATATATGTGGGTGCACTGTGTATAATTATTTTATATATATATATATATATATATATATATATATATATACACACACATGCATGTATATTTAAGAAAAAATATTATTTAAATATAAAATATGTATATTTATATATAATATAAATTATATATAAATCTATATACTATATATACATGAAAATATTTCTTAAATATATACAAGCATGTGTGTATTTATATATATATATATATATATATATATATATATATATATAAAATAATTGTACACATTGCGCCCACATATATTTTGTAAACACAAACTTTTATTTTGGATGCGATTAATCGCGATTAATCGTTTCACAGCCCTAGAAATCAGTTGTTGAAGTTTGTACATCATATTTTTGTGGAAACTGATTTCAATTTTAGCTGCTTTTGCTCTTTGATTTGAAATACAAATCTTTTGTAACACTTTTAATCAGTTTAATGCGTTATCGCTGAATAAAAGTATTCAGACCTGAAGCCTTTGAACAGTAGAACATGTACACTGTTTAAAAATAAGGATTTTTTTATATTGTTTAAATTGTGAACATCCACTCAGCTGTTAATTCAGTACCTGATTCAGTAAGTAATTCAGATTGAGGCAGATAACCGTGAGTCTATTTGACAGATTCATTAAAAGAACTGCTTCATAAGAGTCATTTGTTTGTGAATCAGACTAGTTCAGTTGCATCAAGAACAATGCAATAGAAGGTCTATTTGTCTATTCTGACAGCTGCTGTACATTTTATAGCGTCGTTTATACATTAATTGTAATGTTTACAATTAGGCATGGACTCATTTTTTAGTTTTAATCAAATTGATGATGCTACTTGCAGTTGTTTCCCATGGGAATGTAAAAGTCGTTCAGAATCAACATATTTGATCATTGATTAAAAGTTAAATCTAATAAAACAAACACATTTATATGGTCTGCTTATGTAGCTGCAACAAGTAAAGAGTCATGCTTGATGGAATAAACACGTGATCTCGTACAATGAAATGTATTTTGCAACCTCATTCAACTAAACCAAACTCTTAAGAGCTCAAATCAAAGCCTAAATACTGTGGGATTTGTTTTAGGTCCCATGTATCGACTAGAGAAGCAAACAGAACCAAATGTGGCGGTGGATTTGGACAGTACGCTGGAGAGCCAGGGAACGCTGGAGTTCTGCTTGGTCCGAGAAAACAGTGAGTTTTGTTGACATTCTTGATGCTCCTTCCATTGCATTTTTAAAGGTGTCCTATAATGTCCTTTTATGAAGTCTTGATTTTGTTTTGGGGTTTTCACGATTTAATATTCAAAAACACATTATTTTTTCCATATTCTCAACTGTTGCAGCTCCTCTCTTCCCAGTCTGTCAGTAACGCTCTGTTTAGTTCCTGTCTCTATCAAGCCCCTCCTTCCGAAAAGCACAGTGTTGTGATTGGTCAACCACTTCGAAAGTGTTTGGGAAATATCCCGCTCCTCACCATAACCGCCAGTTTCAACAAGCTGCTAACTCACTCAACCAGGCCCCGCCCTTTTATTTTGCGTATGTTTGGGCGGGAATTATGTAAATGAAGAATATTGGGAAGTGTTTGGTCCCACACTGTAAAAAATATTGTTGGTAGGGTTGTGACGATAGTATCGTGTATCGACGATAGTCTGACATATCGCCGATGGCAGATGCCTTTGACGATATCAATACGATAATTGTCTCGTTTTACCATAATGTATTAAATTATTGTTATTAGGCCTATTATTATTATTATTATTATTATTATTATTATTATTATTATTATAAAGCTAGTATTGTTATTAAATGAATATTAGGAACTAAAATTAATTTGCCTTGCCTAAATTTACAACGACATCACCTCATAACAATTGCAACAACACACGCACTAATAAATGAGGACTCCTCTAAGAGAATGTTTTTAAAACAGACTAAAAAACATCCCACATCAAAATTTAATTGCAAGATGATCCATTCACAAATTATCAAGTGTGCTCGTTTTAACAGACGCAAAATTCAATTTCCTACAGATCCAAGATGAAAACGGCATCGTTGTTCGTCAGTATTTGTTTTCGTAACACATTAACAAAACGTTTAATGACACTAACACCAAAAACAATACAATTACTAAATAGTATTAATAATAATATCACTAAAATAGTATTATAGTTACCGTTATCATCGTCGTCTCTGAGGGAACGCGGCGTCAATGCAGATGCCGAAAGCAGTCCGTTTTTACTTTCACTTTCAGAGATTGAGCGCGTTTACATGCGACGACGTTCTTAACCTGATTATGTTGAATAAACTTGACAATGCATGTGGTCACGTTTCCTTTATCAGAGTCAAGTCATAAGTATAAGTATAAACCGATCGACTCAGCTAGACGTTTGGCCCTTGCTCTTGTTTCTCCCGGCATTTAAAACACATTAACCCGTAGCCTACTTCGTGCTTACTGAAGTGCGCATGTGAAGTGCGCAGAGAACTGGTAGGGGGGCACATATCGCAAACTCCGACTTTTTCTGACCCAAGAAATTATTAAAACGTGTTTTCATCTCGTGCAGAAAGTCAAAATGCTGCATGTAACGGCATGAGGATAGGCTAATGTGTCGTAAATTTCCCGTTAACAAACAAAAGGATTAGGATCTCTCTTTTTTTTTTTTTACCTCACTATACCAGGAAATAACCTGTTCCTATTAATAAACACTCCACCTTTGCTAGCAAAATAGAAAAAAGATTCTCGTATATAAAACGAAGTAGGCTAATAAAACAAGCAAATTAATGAGTAGGCTAAATAATCAAGTTAATAATCAAATAAGTTAGCCCCGCCCCCTCACGATAATATCGTGTATCGCCGATCTCACAGGCTGACGATAGGACGATATGAAAATGGAGCATATCGCCCAACACTAATTGTTGGTTTAACTTAAAAAAGTAAGTACCTGGTTGCCTTAAAATTTTAAGTTGATTGAACTGGAAAACGTGAGTTAATACAATGAAGGAGATTAATTTAATCATCAGAAACTCAAAATGATATGTTATCTGAACTAAATAAATTATTATAAAGTTGATTTGACAAAAGAAAAAATGTTGTGATTACTACACTATAAAAAAATATTGTTGGTTTAACTTAAAAAAGTAAGTAACCTGGTTGCCTTAAAATTTTAAGTTGATTGAACTGGAAAAAGTGAGTTAATACAATGAAGGAGAATAATTTAATCATCAGAAACTCAAAATAATAAGTTATCTCAACTAAATAAATTATTATGAAGTTGATTTGACAAAAGAAAATATGTTGTGATAACAAATCTTGAAAATATTTTTTACAGTGAGAAAACTCAAGACTTCAGGGAGTTTAGAAACACTGATATAGAGAATAACTCCCGCTGGAGGGACTTTGTGATTTTGCAGACCTTTTTCATACTCAAACTGCAACATTACACAGTAAATAATATTGAAAATGTAAAAAATAGGACCCCAACATTTCAGGAAGAGTTTTTCCTTTATTGAGACGAATAGATGCTCTTTTATGATCACATTCATTCGTTCACTTTAAATGTATAGTGCGACATGCACACCTAAACGACTTCTTTTTCTCTTTCGTCTGAAGGCTCTCGAGGCGAGGAAAGCTCGGAGGAGGACCCGCCTATAGACATCACTACGGTACAGGACATGTTGAGCAGTCACCACTACAAGTCCTTCAAGATCAGCATGATCCACAAGCTCCGCTTCACCACAGATGTACAGCTAGGTACAGATTACAAATCCCACAGACCAACATGAGTTTTCTCTTCAGAATCAGTGGGACAACATTGCGTACTGTAGTGTTCGATTGGGAATCGGATACTTATAAGATTAAAATTTGATTCCTTTTTGTGCATTTTAATGTGACCTTAAATCATTCAAGTGCAAGAAGAGTGCTGTTTTCCGAAAGCCGCCACTCATACTGAATAGTGCACGATACTGAACCGAGTTCTCTTCTTTGCACTTGCACAGAAATACGTACAAACGGACAATTACACACAATAATATCCTCATTAACACATTCAGTTGTGTCTTAAAGGAGTAGTTCACTTTTGAAAAAAACTTTTGCTGATAATTTACTCACCCCCATTTCATCCAAGATGCCCATGTCATTCTTTCTTCAGTTTCAGTGCAGCTTCAAAGGGCTTTAAACGACACCAGACGATGAATAAGGGTCTTATCAAGTGAAACGATCGATCATTTTAAAAATAAATACAAAAGTTGTAAGTTTATAAGCTCAAATGCTCGCCTGATGATGCGCGTTTGTGACTCTCCTGTTCGAACTTGTTCATCAAAATGAACAAATCTTTTTCCGAGTCATTTCATTCGTTGACTGAACCAAATGACTCGAAAAAAGTTCGAACAGGAGAGTCGAGCAAGGCGAGCATTTGTGCTTATAAAACTTAAACTTTTGTATTTATTTTTAAAATGACCGAATGTTTTGCTTGATCAGACCCTTATTCATCGTCTGGTGTCGTTTAAAGCCCTTTGAAGCTGCACCGAAACTGTCTTTTGGACCTTTAACCGTTTGGACCCCATTGAAGTCCATTATATGGAGAAAATCCTGGAATGTTTTCATCTAAAACCTTAATTTCTTTTCGACTGAAGAAAGAAAGACATGGACATCTTGGATGACATGGGGGTGAGTAAATTATCAGCAAAAGTGACTCTTAAAGTGACAGCTGTCTAATACGTCTAACAGCGTTAAACAACAAAAAGTCAAAGCTGTTCTTGACTGAATAACTTACTTTATTTATAAAGTGCAGTTTTATTTTACATTTGATCAGTTTCTGGACCTGAAAATCTTTTTATCTTTGCTCTTTGTGCAATTTCTTTAAAATTCAAACGACACCCAACCCTACTGTGGTGTAATATAGAAATTGTATAATAAAGTGTAGATGCATATAATATTATAGTATTGTTATTCTAATACTATAGTAGGAAAGTATGATATTATATATAATAAAATGTTATCATGCCATTCTGAATATATATATAATAATATAAAATAAAATTATATAATTTAGTGTAATATATACATATAAAGTTTATTAAGGAACAAAATGATAAATTCCCATTACACGAGTTTTCCCTCTTGCTTCTCCTGACTTCTCAGTTTCTCCAACTCTTAAAATGTGCAAAAAAAAAAAAGTTTGGCTGAGGGTCTTCAGATCAAACACAGGACTGTTGTGTGAAAACACACAAAAAATATCCCAGCACACTTGACAGTTGCTACAGTCACAGCTCCATCCCAATTACAGCAGCGCTGCGGGCACTGGGAGTTGTGGGATCGTTTCTGGAATTTCACTCTGACTGACAGGCTGGAATTTTTTTTCTGACACACTGATGTTTGCATGCTATTTTTTTATGTCATGTGAATGATGGACAGCTGTCACATCCATTATGGATGGACTTTGTGTGTGCTTGTGAGATAGACCTGTAATAATATTCCAGACCTCTCTCTCACACACACACACACACACATAGTTTCAGCCTCCATTCTTATTTAAATAGCAGGGGGAATAAATTCACACACCTGTTAATCTTTAAAACCTGGATGCCATTCTTTTGTTAACCCTTTAGATAAAAGTTGACAGCTAAAATCTATGGTTTGCGAAGTGATTTTTATGATAAAACCGTCCCACTTTTTCAGGAGTTTCTGGTGAAAAGGTAGAGATCGACCCTGTCACCAATCAGAAGACAAGCACGAAGTTCTGGATCCGACAGAAGCCGATCTCCATAGACTCGGATCTGCTGTGTGCCTGCGACCTGGTGGAGGAGAAGAGTCCAAGTCAGTTCTGCTCATACTTTAGTAAAGGAATATATAACTAGTTCTGCATCAAACCTTTTTACATTTTTTTTATACCACCATACAAAGATTCTGCGATCAGTAAGACTATCAAGGCTGCATCATAAAATACAGTAAAAACTGTTATATTGTGAAATATTTACAATAACTGTATTCTATGTGAATATAAGTTCAAATTCAATTCAATTTTCAATTTATTTTCAATCATACATGCACAACAACCAAAAAAAAGGGTGTAGGCTGAAGCCTATGTTTATTATACATACCTTTTGTACATATTACTCAATTAGCGGCACTTTTCTCTCTGGATTTAACTTTCAAAATAAACGTGAATTTACATAAGAACATTTCCAAGATATTCATACATGATTACAAAGATATACATCTCAGACATTATTTCAATAGTTAACATATAATGTAAACAAATAAATCATATTGGGTTTTATGATTATTTATCACCTTGCTTTTTTAAATTACATAGTGAATTACACAATTACTCCTCCTTTTACAGATATGCATCTATTTTTTGTATTAGTTCTTGCTCTTACTTTTTTAAACCTCTTCATTCCTCTTAGTTTATACTGACTTTCTCTTATTTCGAACAGCCTCTGAACACAATTTGGAAGTAAATTCTTACAAGCTTTATACATGGTCGGTGCAGTATAAAGGTCAACTAAATCAAAATTTGAATTTACATAATTTACACGTTTTTTTTACAATTTAGAAATAATAATTCAAATATAATTTGTTCCTGTGATCAAAGCTGAATTTTCAGCATCATTACTCCAGTCTTCAGTGTCACATGATCCTTCAGAAATCACTCTAATGTGATGATTTGCTGCTCAAGAAACATTTCTGATTGTTATCAATGTTACAAACAGTTGTGCTGAAATAATTTAACCCTAAAACCGTATTCTGGACAAATGTGGGCTAAATAGTTTTGATTTATTTTTAAAAAAATACTTCCCTTGATCTGAGCGGTACAAGACTTGGCTACTTTTCCTAAGTTTGCCTCCTGAACACACACAATTTTTTTTTTAAACTAAATTCTTCAATGTTAAGTGGGTGAAAAAAAAACTCCTTAATCTTGTATTCGGGTCAAAAATGGGCACCCATAGAAATGAATGGGTAAAACTGTAATTTAGAGCATTCGAAAATAAGACAAAATAAGACATCAGGTGACAGAAAAGTCACTTCATCTTTAGCTTTTAGCTCTAAGTACTTATTGGAATGATATTTTAATGTAGATAAAACCACAGTAATTAATTTACATTGAAATAATTTACATAGAAAATAAGGTACTTTTTGAAGTAAATAAATTCAAAAATACTCCCAAAATTTAAAAAAACACCATAAATGGATAGACAAAACATTATCGAAGACAGTGATATAACATTTATAATAAATAAAAATTAGGATCACACCTGAGTCCTCTGTGCCCACATTTGTCCACAATTACAGGATTAAGGGCTATAAAGTGAATACCGGTTTGAGGGTTAAAGTACTAATTTGTTTTTTTTTATCAAAAACCTTAATTTCTTTTCGACTGAAAAACGAAAGATGTGGACATCTTGGATGACATGGGGGTGAGTAAATTATCAGCAAAAGTTTTTTTTTTTTTTTTTAAAGTGAACTACTCCTTTAATATAAAGTGGGACCGAACATTTTAATTAAGTAACATTAACAAAGGTTTATAAATGCAGTACTAATATGTTATTGTAAAGTGTTGCCAAAAACACTCTCGCCGCCTCAGAGAAAAGGCGTCTGGTTTGTGTATAAACTCTTTTGATGTCCCCACATCAGTGCGACTGACCCATATAGTTGTAGCACTGCAAACTCACCAAGGGGTTTATATTGCATTACACTTACAGGGAACTCCGTTACAGAAAACGAAATCTATTTATGCAGCCTTTCTGTAAGGTTTGCATTGGTAAGTGATGCAGACATCTCTTCTTAGCGGATATGACAGGGACACGAGCGCAGCTCTCCAGACGCGCGCTGCTAACAGTGATTGATGAAGTGAAGACAGATTGCTGAAGTCTGCTCACGGATGCTCCGACTACGCCTGGAAATGCTCCAGTCTCACAGTGGGAACTGAGCGTTTGTTTTTGGAGCAGGGGCATTTATTTTATTATATGTCCTGTGCTCATGTTCCAAGATGTCAAAGCTAAACTTAATTTAGGTTTAACAGTGTCATATTTTATTCAGTTTTTTATGCACCCAACAACACCCTAATGTTTTTCAGTAATGGTTCATTCATCAAGGATGCATTGAATTGATCAAAATTGACAGACATTTATAATGTTACAAACTGTTTGAGCTTTCTTTTGATCTAAAAACCCATCGAAATAAGCAGCATTTCAACATTGATAATGAGCAGCGAATCATCATATTAGAGTGATTTCTGAAGGATCATGTGACACTGCAGACTGGAGTAATGATGCTGAAAATACAGGAAATATATTCATATAGGTATCCACAAGTTTCCTACGCCCCATGAGGCCTTGCGTCAAAAGTAGGCGCGACTTCCGGTTCGAAGTAAACAAAGCGCGATTTGACATGCTTGACACTCGTTCGTTCAACAGTTGACAGTCATTCAAGTTATAGCGATCCAAACTAGCTAACGATGTGGTAACACAACCTCAACCAAATTCAGTACCTTTACCCTCCGCAGTAGTTGATTGGGAGTATTATAATAACATTATTAATAATCAATACTCATCAAGGCTTGGTGACAGACAGTTGTGCGAGCTGACAAACAATTAAAATAAAAAATACACACTTAGTCATTGTGCTTTGGAGTTTATTCAAAATTATAAATGAATGTGCTACTTGAATACATTAACTGGCACATTTGGTATTCTGTCAACTCCTGAGTTTAGCTGTAACATCAAAGAGTTTATAGAATATTAAGAATTTAAACTAATGTACACAGGAAGATTCGTCGTCTTTTGGGAGGTGATGGAAACTACAGTCGTTGGCAGGATCAGAATCGGGCTCTGGCAGGATCACTCTGATTTCTTTTTCAGCTTATGTTCAAAACAATCACGTTTAAGCCACTGAATTAGTTTAGTCCGGTTATACATACAACCGCGAACAGCACATGTTGTCCCTGAGCTCCGTAACGACATCTCTCATAAAGATTTGAGTCTTTAAATAGTAAAATTATTCTCCGGAAAACAGCTAGCCTCTTCGCTAACTAACACACAAAATACCATTGGAATGCTACTTCCGCCGCCTCACCGGAAGTTTCACCCACTTTATTTTTTACAGGAGCGCACCTCGGAAACTTGTGGATAAAAAAAATGTGTGGATGTCCCAAATGTAGATTAGCTGTATTTCAGCACCATGGTGGTCATTCGGACATTGCATCCCCAATCGTGTTCTGTGTCTCAGAAGATTTGTATGCTTTCTTTGTAGGTCATGCAATATTTAAGCTCACATATCTAAGCAACCACGACTACAAAGCCCTGTACTTCGAGTGTGATGCTGCTACCGTCAATGAGATTGTGCTCAAGGTAGGGTTCAACTGAGACTTTATATTTTTGTATCTTGTAAAGTGCCCCATAATGCTTTTTCAAATGTTAACTTTCATTGATGTTTCTGAATGTGTCTGATCTAAGTGCATGACAAATAAAGTTATCGTCTCCTAAATGAAGGAATTGATTCTGAAACAAGTTGAGCAGTATCGGCAGTTATAATGGCCGATAAATGAATATTTAAAAAATAAAATAAAAACGGACGAAACACGCTTCAATCATCTCTCCTTGGCCTGTTATATTGAAAATGTATGTTTTACAATTTGCAGTATGATGTTATTTATTGCTCTTGTTTCCATCCACTTGTCAATCGAATTATCTGAAATTCGGTTAAAAAACTCATGCGGATAAAGCTGGTGAAAGTGTGTTTCCATCCAACGGCTTTAAAGCGAATAAAAACCTGTAGGCCTACGTAATGACGTCACATGCTTTTTTGCGATCAAATTGGTATATCGAATTGATTTGAGACATTTTAAGGTGTTTCCATTTATTTTCGCACTGAATCGAACAACACTTAAGCAAACTTTTGCGAACAAAGTTTTGTTGGACAAAACGGATCGCGCCATCTACCAAAAAATGATCAATATTTCACAAGTTGAAGGCTAATAATGCTTATGTGCCAGCTGATAGCGACATATGAATGGGATAATGTATGCGAGGCGGTTGTTGTATTCGCCTCACAACCGCCTCGCTATATATTATCCTGCTTATTACATATAAATCAACCAAATAAATAAATCAATCAATAATTTGACACAAAATATTGACTTAAAAACGAGTTTATTGATTTAAAAACGGGTATTGCTTCTGCTAAAGAAAATAGTCTGTTCCGTCTCTGAACTGCGTCCATGGCAACGGTGTGTTATACTAGCAGCGCCGCAGTCTGTTAACTAGAAATAACAAACCACATTCTACATTACAATTCAACCAAGCCACGTAAAAACAAGCAAAACTAACCTAAGAAAACAACGACGCTATAAACATTGCTATGATGATGACGATGCACGTATGCCCGACGACAGCGGAGGTGACTGCGGTGTGGGAACGACAGCGCTCCATCAGTTCTGGGAGATCGTGGTTCACGGAAACCCTTTGGTTGAAGCATCTTTTTGCTTTGTCCACTTACATCTGTCTTTGTTGACATCCGCCATATGTGCGCAAACAGACTGGCCGGAAATGAACTCGTCTTCTGACGTGTTGCAACCATAAAAGGGCATAAAACTTAATCGCAATTCATTATTTATTCGGCAAATAACGTTTCCATCAGCTTTTATCGCATGATTAGCCATATATCGATCAAGAGAAAATTCGATGAGACCGAACGTATTTCATTTGAGTCGAATTTTACTGTTTCCACAAGGCTTTTTTCATTCGATATCACTTAATTCGGATAAAAACGTGTCGATGGAAACATGGCTATAGACTAGCTAACCACAAAGCTAGCTAATGCCACTATCATCAGTGGAAGACCGCTAACGTTAACATTAATGAGCTTGGAAAACAACAATGAACTTTTTCTGCCTAAATAAAGTAATGTTTACTGTATTTATAACTAGCTAGTTACACTCCCTGCATTGTTCATGGAGTGAACATTTTGACATAGAGAAAAGGTATCAAACGTATCTTGTGCAGAAAAGTTAGCTTTTCTTTTACACGCGTGTGAAATACAACAATATTTAATAAAAAATATATATATGAAGAGTTCAGATGCAAAAGCCTCTAAGTGCCATTTGAAATTTTCTTCTAAAATGATCATTTTTATCAAGCTTGTATATTTAAGTTCAGTGATTTCACTTAAATGGCAATGATAATTACCTATTAATTGTTATTTAAGTGAAATTACTGAACTTAAATATACAAGTTTGATAAAAATCATCATTAAAGAAGAAAATTTCAAATGGCATTTAGAGGCTTTTGCATCTGAACTCTTCATATATATATATATATATATATATATATATATATATATATATTAACATTAATGAGCTTGGAAAACAACAATGAACTTTTTCTGCCTAAATAAAGTAATGTTTACTGTATTTATAACTAGCATATCTCTAGTTACACTCCCTGCATTGTTCATGGAGTGAACATTTAGACATAGAGAAAAGGCATCAAACGTATCTTGTGCAGAAAAGTTAGCTTTTCTTTTACATGCGTGTGAAATACAACAATATTTAATAAAAAAAAATATATATATCGGCCGATATATCGGATTTTAAAACCCAAAAATATTTGTATCGTATCGGCCTTCAAAATCCTTTATCGGTCGGGCTCTAGTGAAAAACCTAAGAAGTCAAAGCCTAAGAGGCCAAGAAGTACCCAAATGAGAAACTTATGATACTATTCTACTACATATATGAGCCACTTTCAATATATGTGGAATTGCCCTTTAAAAAAACATAATATGGGGGCACTATACTGTTTTTACTTCTGATTTTGTGCATTTGAATAAATTTGATCCCTTTCACAGCAAGTGTGTTACTTCCTCTTCCTCTCCCAGGTGAACTACATCCTGGAGTCTCGTGCCAGCACGTCGAGGGCGGATTACTTCGCACAGAAACAACGCAAACTGAACCGTCGCACGAGTTTCAGTTTCCAGAAGGACAAAAAGTCGGGCCAGTAGGGCTGGCGGCCAAAGCGATCAGAACTGAACGGAGAGTGAGACGACGTAGAAGGATTCCAAGAAGGATCATGGGATAAATATGAGACAGACGTTCGTGTCTCATCCGGATGGAGAAATCAGCCTCTTAAGGTCGGCCTTTCCTGGACTGACGGTCCTTAATCATATCAGAGCACTAATGCTCTCTGCTGTCACTCGAATGTACTAGAAAAACCAACCAACAATCTAATTGAACAATTATATTAACGTTTGAAGCCACAGCCATCGCCCCCAGAACAGAGAAAACCATCAGCTGGACTCTGGATGCCAAGGACCGAGAACTTGCTGCTGTTTGCGTCAGTTTCAAAGACTCACTTCCACTGCCTATACACACCAACTGTACATAAACGCACACCAAACCAACGCAGTCGGAACCTTAAAAGCCCGAAAGAGCAAGTCAACCGTATTATCTGTTCCCATATGTATCAAAGATATTAACTTAAACCGCATCAGACTCTGACAGGGAAAGGGATCGTGATTTGTTTTTGTTTATTTGTGTTTTTTTTGTGTTTTTTTTACGAAAATGTAAATAGCAACCATATTCAGGGTCTGATGACAAACCCTCTCTGGCCATAGTACTTTAGTGCCTGCTACAGATCAATATGACAACTGCGTTCTTCGAGATTTTACGCGTCGGGACTCTTTTTACCAACAGAGGAGGCTCGTAGGTTAAGGAATGACAGATTTTTAATGATCAAATAAGAAATGAATACGTACTTTTTACTGTGACGTGCTTTTTTCCCCTCTGCATTGTATATTTTGACAGTCCAATCGCCTTCTATCTCTTTTAGATGGATGTTTTGGTTCATTCGGACTGTCCTCTTGGGCTGCAATGGGAATGTATGACTGTTTTTACCACATTTCATTATAAATGTTAAAGATAACATTATTATACTTGGTTCATTTCATCTGTGTGTGTCGAGATGGCTCGTTCTCCGCACCAAACCTGCCGTTTCTTTCTACAAATAACTCCACTTCAATCGCTGCTGTTGTTAAACTGGATTCAGGGTGTATGTTCTATCCAAAACGTTCTGACTCAGGTTTCCGACTGCCATGTTGTCTTGACTGATCTTGTTTCTTTTTCTTTTTAATTTTATGTCTGTCAAAGCCAGAGAGCGATGAGTGATACTCAGTTCAGCGCTGACTGGATGGACAAATAGAGCGTGTGTTCCCGTGATGGGGATAACAGCTGAATAGACATTTCAAATGAAACTTTATTTATAATATTACGATGACCTGGGGGGTTATCATGCGGCCTATGGAATCAACAATATTTGCTACAGTACATGTATACTGTATATAAGTAGATTTTCTAATTAAAGACTGAACTACAATATATTTTGTCCTTGTGTTGTTGTTTTATTGTGTTTTCAATATTTAAAGAGGACCTATCATGCCCTTTTTCGTAGTCTTTGGGTTTTCATTCTCAAAAACACAGTATTTTCCTCATATTCTCTATTGTTGCTGCAGCTCCTCTCTTCCCAGTCTGTCAGTAACACTCTCTTTAGTTCCTGTCTCCATGAAGCCCCTCCTTCTAAAAAGCACAGTGTGCTCTGATTGGTCAGCTGGATCCGTGTGCTGTGATTGGTCAACCACTTCGAGCGAGTTTGGGTAAGTCTGTTTTCAAAAACTTCCACTTTGAAAACAGTTTGCTTTTCAGCCACCCAAAACGCTGGCATTGTGTAAACGAATGGCCAAATCGCATTAAAAGTTTTCCATTTTTAGTTGAAAATGGTGTTGTGTAAACAGTCCCTAACTCAAATAGGCACAGCCCCTTTATTCTATTTATGAATGATTTAAATGAGGAATATCGTGATGTGTTTGTTCCCTGAAGACAAAACAAGACTACAATGTGGGGCGTTTCTGGGAGTTCAGAAACAGTGACACAGATCTCTTTATTTGATCTCTCAAGTATTTGTGTCTACAGTGTAACGCGAAATAAAAGTTTTCACGTAACGTGAAATAAATCAATAAGAGCGTCATCCAACATACCCTTTAAAGTCCCTATGAAATCAAAATTGACCATACTTACTTTGTTTGCCTGAATCGATCGTTTTGTGGTGAACAATTCATACATGCAATCAATCCACACAAAAAATTTTTTTGGCTTCGTAATCAAATTTTGAAAATGCCCCTCCCTTCTGCATTGGAGGACCTTGCCCGATGACGTAGGCTTTATGGTTTGGGTGTCTCCTTAACATCCATGACCACGCCCCTCCAACTGACAGCTGCCGTGTGTTTGCGAGCACCGAGCGAGCATTGATTGAAAGCGTGTGTAAACTTGCGTCATCCTCCATTTCAGAGTGAAACACCCATTTTTCTAGATCCAATCAGGTGCTAGTTGGAAAAAAAAAGCCACGCCCACTATTTTGCCTCATTTAGTATTCCGTTTCTCTCGGAAATCCGTCACAACACTGGAGAAAAGTCGTTTGCAACTTCCGGTTCACGGGGACTTTAAGAGCAGGTGCGCATGTTGCATGGTGGCGGATTGTTATTATTATGGCGGATTTACCAGGCGCGTTAACAGCCGAGGAGACCGACGTTCTTGTCAGGGCAGTGAAAGTTATAATCATGTGTGGAGTAGCGCATTGTAACAGAAACGGCCTGAAATGATTTAATTTTGGAGAAATAAGCTCAATATAATGTAATGTATTTTTTCAACATGACATCATGACTTTTGCGTAAACATACATGCCACTTTCGAGTCAAGTGGCGTGTTATCTCTACGCATTTTGATCTATCCGCGTGTATGTCTACGCCATTAACGTCCGAGTGATTCCGTGTGTCTGCACGCCGTCAAATGTCCGCGCGAAATGAAGCAAAATGTAGATCTACATCTGGGGAGCAATCTTTTTTTTTTTCCTAGGATGGTAAGGGAAGACTCATAAATGCCATTAACCCCAGTGACTGGTAGGTTTAGGGGCGGGGTTGAGGTAAGTCATACATTTATATATACAGTAATAACGTTAAGTCAACGGCGTTCATAAACACACTGAAAAGCGATTATGCATGTTGATACCACGCCAAAAATGGAAATACGAATTGGCGCGTCATACACACGCTACTTTAAAAAAAAAAATTAATTTCAGCTGGCTCGGCACCAGCTGACAAGATGTAATCAACGGCGCCGAGAGACGATCGAGTAGTGTCCGAAAGTTGTGTTTCTATTATGCTGGTGAGGTCACTATATAGTGCTCTACTTTGCTGAAAAATTGAGATATATCCAGCTGCAGACCCGCAGCACCACCAGTTCTAGAACCCCAGCGCCAGAACCGGAAGTGAGGGAGGGGCGGAATTATTATTATTGCAATATAATTATTTTTGCAATAATGTAAGGACAAAACGGGCCTGAAAGTGAGTTCCTCATTTGATACATTGTAAGTTAAATTTATACAAGATTGTTGTGATAAAACTGGGTTGAATTGGTCATTTTGTATAGATTTTTAACAAAACAATGCCGAATTTTCTCTTTTAGATTTTGACATTATTGTTTTTACACGAAAAATGCATGCTGCACATGTTCTTGTGGAATAAAGTATATTTTATAAAAAATACCCGTGCGTATTTTTTTATTAAACAATCAAAAGCATCTTACAAATACATATCTTCAATATCAATTGATATCAAATATCGATTTTTGTAAACACAATAAATAAATAAATAAATAGAACACAAAATATCACAGAGTTCTAATGAGTTATTAAATTGTGTATAATTTTGAAAACCTTCAATGCTTGTCTTGTTTTATATCTTTCAAAGCTTTATTATACAAAGTTTACTCCTTCATAAAAAAACAAAACAAAGGTCTTACCTTCCTAAATCTACACATATGTATAAACTGCTAGCTAAAATTATTAAACTGTTATACATTAAAATGCCCATAAGTTTCAAGTATTATTTTTTCACCATCATGATCAGGAATTAACTCATAATACAATGAAACGAATAACTGAAACTATATACAATTATATTACACAAAATCAATGTTTTAAAATGCTTATTGTACTGTAATGTAGTACCATGACATACATAGAGAGTAGGACGTTTCTTGTTCAATAAGCTGTTTCATGTGTAAAATACCCTCCAAATTACGTTAGGTGGCCTTATTAGGTTTCAAACCTAAGCTCCGCCCCTCACATACGTTCCTGGCGCTGGTGTTGGTTAGAACGTAACTCCGCCCCTTACTTCCGGTTCTGGCGTTGGGGTTCTGAAACTGGTGTGCGGAGAATCTGCAGCTGGATAATATAGGAAAAATTGGGGTAAATGTGTAAGCTAGATTTAGGCCTATGTTTTTTTTATATCTTCATGGACACCACAATGATTTCCCTCATGTGTTAATATGTATGATTTGCAAAAATAAAAACTACTGCATCTGTGTTGATGAGAGAATCAAAGTGTTTGCGTGTTGTGTACCCGCTACATTATGGCCAAGCATGCGCGCTTAAAGGTGGAATACCTAAGATTTTTGCATTAAAATATCCCAAAATCACAAGGCCAGTGTTATATATTTAGTTATGATGATAACTCACAATATTCCAAATGTTTTAAACAATGTTTAAATCGCGAGAAAATTGAGATTTTAACCAAGGAAACGGGGCGTATGAACAGGGGTGAGCTGGGAGTCGCCAGTCAATCGCGTCATATCCGCTTACCTCGGTTTCCGCTCGTATTGCGTGTAGTCCTGGACAAATGCGGTAGTTGTAGTTGTGCGTTAGCGTCTATCAAGCAACAAACGTCAGCTTGTTTCGCGCATTTGTTATGGAATGGAGCACAATTATTCTTTTCATTTATTCTCGGAATGTGAACTGTTGGCTGTAAAGGGGGTCGCACACCGGACGAGAAGCGTCGCGCCACGTTTAGGACAACTCCACAGTAACGTTATCGAACACCGGACGCGCACTTTCTCATCAGTGTATGGCCAGCAATATTGTTATGTTTAATGACAGGAAATGAAGATAATGTCTGTTCTATGTTATGATTGTACTGTACAATTAAATACAATCGTTGCTGAGTTTGCATTCTGAAAACTTTACCTCAGAGCATCCGTTCACTGAATGAATTGAGAATCTCACCTGAAAAATCTAATAATAACATCAGCAATTGTCATTCAAGCAGCTGATTTCTGTAAATTACTGCAAAACTAAATGCATATTGAAGCATAGGGCGAAGTCAGGATCCATTAGCAACGATTTGAGACAAAAATAATTAACATTTTATATAAAACTATGTAAATGGTGCTCTGTGGCGCAGCAGGGTTTTGAACACGGTCCTGAGACGTTGCTGGGCGCCGCGGACAGACGCCGAATGGCGCCGCCGGTATACACTTATAGATAATAATGTTCGAATTTTAATAGTGTTCGAATTTTAAAGATGTGGCGCGACGCGGCGCTGCAGCTTCTCGTCCGGTGTGCGACCCCCTTAACGTTAATTTTGTGAAACTGTAGCTGTGGTTACTTACACGACATGAAAAGATGTGTCAAATGTACATTAAATTGATTTTTTATTTTTATAAAGTTACCAAGGAGGACCAGCCACGTCAACTCCTTGCAAGAGACCTGCCCCCTTCAAACCCTCTCCACCATAGCTTCGTCCAGTGACTCGTACAGTAACTAATTTACTTTTAAACCTGACTTTTCTTGCGGTTATTTCAGTTTAATGAAAAACAAGCATGTCATTAAACGCAACGTTTATAGAAATCGAACTTTACCTCATCCATGACAACTAATTTTCAATTCCCGTCTGACTTATTTATCCACGGTGGAGTTGAAAACAACAGTTCCCATCATTCCGCGTTCCTCCACGTCGTCATCAAGCAAAGCCATTGTTGTTGTTTTGAATGTAGCGCCCTCTAGCGGCATTTAAATCTTAGGTATTGTAGCTTTAAAATAGCATTATGAACAATGCGCAACGCGCCACTGACTTTAGACCAGCAATTGTTTTCTAGAACTGCAGAATACCACCAGGGATTGTTTGTGCTGGAACACGCCTCCTTTATTGGGGCACAAGTTCATTCCCTAGTTTACCGACGCGTGTCTGTGGAGGGAAAAGTCCGCTTTGCGCGGGTGCAAAATACGAACGATACATGCGTCAGTGTATAAAGTCAAAGTGTATAAAGCCCTATGTGTGGTGTTGTTTATGTAGAGCGCTTGTGTTTTAATCACAGCTAGCTTAGTGTCCTAAAAGGTTGAGCCTATGTAGACGGAAAGGCAGGTCAAAGGTTTTGCATTAAAGCTACTGTTAAAAGTAAAACTGAAGTTTTGTTTATACTGCTCTCTGTATAATTTGAGAAATCTCTTTGTTCCAGCATTAATACAAAGGCAAGTTTGGGAGCCTCAGGCTAGTGCAGGGTCTCTCCTCTGTCACATTTAGTTTGCCTTGCTCACCCAACCCTACAGGCCACAAGAGAGCTAGACGTGGAACTGAACATGGAGTCGTCCAACACTCACTCATCTCTGATTTGTATAGTCTTGATCTGCAGCTGTGGTGCTTTTTTGTTATACAAACAGAATTGTGCAACTAAAATGACATGTAAGTAGTGACGGAAGAGCTGATGTACAGTCAAACCAAAATGTATTCAGACGCATTTCTCCCATTATCACAGTTTATTCGCTATAGTTTAGAAAATGGTAATAAAATACGTCAAGAACTTTTGGCCCATTCGGTTATGTTATATATCAGCTGTTAAATTTAACAACACAATTAGATAATAACAATCAATGAATTACCAAGCAATGCTTCATTTTGTTCAGTCTGTGGTGTAAAAAGGTCGCATTAGCAATTAAAGAAAAAAAAACTTGATCAGGTCCATAGACATACACTAGACCTCACCTTGGGGTTCTAAGCATGCGTCAAAACCGCCGCCATCTTGGAACAGGGGTCTTGTCATAATAGCTAGGTAATGCTGCTATCTCTGCCTTTACGTCGAATTCATTGATGGTGGCGGACTTTTGTGCAGCGTATGATGTTCACGGATGAAATCTGAACTAGGATGAATGTTTTTTTAAAAAAAAAATTTTTTTCTTTCTCAATGATAAATACATGTCTGACCGTTGGAACAAACCAAAAAAAAACCAAAAAAAAAAACAAGAAAAATCGCATTCATAATGATTTATGGTGATTTTATTTCCGTTAGACCTGTGTCTACTACATTGACGCTGATGCATTAAAGTGGAGAGGCTTCCCTGTTTCAAGATGGCGGCTCTATTGACGCATTCGTTCCAATGAACTGCCATAGCCAAGGTGAGGTCTAGTGTATATGAAGAGTTCAGATGCAAAAGCCTCTAAGTGCCATTTGAAATTTTCTTCTAGAATGATCATTTTTATCAAGCTTGTATATTTAAGTTCAGTGATTTCACTTAAATGGCAATGATAATTACCTATTAATTGTTATTTAAGTGAAATTACTGAACTTAAATATACAAGTTTGATAAAAATCATCATTAAAGAAGAAAATTTCAAATGGCATTTAGAGGCTTTTGCATCTGAACTCTTCATATGTCTATGGATCAGGACAAAGTGCCCTGGTAGTCACTGCATGAAGACTTTTTGCGTATAATACAAGCGGCAACGTTCTAATCTGAAAAATGAAGCCTACCCGGAAGTGCGAAAAACTGCAATACATCTGAAGTCCGCTAGAGGGAGGTCCCAAAAGGGAGCAAAAATCCATAAGATCGCATGTTAAAATGTCTGTTTTCACAGCATAAATTCATGCTATTACAGTTTGGTCCCATGGACTTTTATTGTATTTTTCGATGGGTTCCGAGTGCCTAACAACTGTGAGGGGGGTGAATTTTTTTCTGACTCATTAGTTTAGATCATATTTAGATATTAAATGTATGACAAATAAGGGCGGTTAACTTTGATTGACAGCTGAAAACGGGCTGCGCCGAGTGGAATTTGACGTCTCGGCGATGATCTGACACATAGGCCTACCACCTTTGTATCCTTTCTGAACATTTGTATTTTGTATTTCTCAAGATTTTCCAGCATGGAGATATTCCGATCTGAACATCCATGATGTAAAACTCCCGTGCTGTTTTAAACCGGGATCATGAACTGCAAATCAGAATACGAGTGTTTGTTTGGCCCACGATCAGATGATTGCATTTCACTTCACAGTTTAATGAAAAAGACCAACTAGACGATTTTTATTATTTAAAAAGAAAGCAAGCATGCAGCACGTCGTCGATGACAGGTATAGCCCCTCTCCTCTGGGGATAAACTGAACCGGTGTGTGTATCAGACACCAGCTGGCGGAGGACTCATCCTCACACACGCCTCAGTCTCGGGGTTCTTCTGCAGCTGTGGCCCCTGAGATCTTTTTCTGCCCTCCATGAGAAACGCAGATAGACACTGGATAAAAATATCCTGGGACTTCGCCACAACCAAGACAATAAAGTTAATTGAGAGTGACAGTCGTGGAGCCGGAGATGTATTTCTCAGCTCTTGTTGCAGGAGGAGGAAGAGGCTTGTTTTGTCTTCCTCTGGTGTCTCAGTGCTGTGAACATCTCTTCGGTTCTGTCACGTCGGTTGTTTTGGCTCTTCATCCTCACTGGAGTCTTCCAGACGGTGTCAACTTGGCTTTCGCACACAGTTGTGTTGTGTGTTCTGCTGAATGCAATTGTTTTGATGGTAGTCTGCTTTTCAGATCATGCCGATGCGCTCAGTGTTAGTATCATTTCTGCCTGTGATTTGTTTTAAACAGATTAAATGTGTAATTTCTAATTTCAGTGTCAAAATACGTTTTTTTTTCAACCTTGGTTTTAAATTAAATGTTAGGCTACCATTTACTTTTTCCATAGAGTTCAATATGTTACAAAATATTTGTTTGTATATATATATATATATATATATATATATATATATATATATATATATATATATATATATATATATATATATATATATATATATAAGAGTTCAGATGCAAAAGCCTCTAAATGCCATTTGAAATTTTCTTCTTGAATGATGATTTTTATCAAACTTGTATATTTAAGTTCAGTGATCTCACTTAAATGGCAATGAAGATTACCTATTAATTGTTATTTAAGTGAAATTACTGAACTTAAATATACAAGATTGAAAAAAATCATCATTCAAGGAGAAAATTTCAAATGGCATTTAGAGGCTTTTGCATCTGAACTCTTCATATATAGGCCTATATATACAGTATATATATACAGTATATATATATATATATATATATATATATATATATATATATATGTGGAGCCGGAGAGAATGAGAAGAGAATGAGAGAGAGAGAGAGAATGATCCCACAAAGATGGCAATATTTGAAATCCTTGCGGGAATATTTTTGGTCTACATGAGGGTTTAGGGTTAGATAAAATACACAGTTTGTTCAGTAGCCTATAGAACTTGGATGTCATATAATGTATAGTTTCTGCAGTAATGCACTAGTGCTTAGCAACACATGAATTAATATAGACCAAGAGCCACATTCATAACTCCACATGTTTGTGTGATTTGTATCAGCAGCCTGGGCCAGTAAAATGTATTTTTCATGTATTCATTTTTTCTTCCGTGTCAGTGATATCCTCCGGTGTCCAGCTTTTACTGTCTATCCAGAAGGACAGGAGCTGCAGCGCTTCAGACGGACGCGGACTGCCCTCTAGCGGCGAACCGAGCTTGGGTTTTATATTTAGTTCTTCAAACACCCCTTCAAACAGCATTTTTCACACGTTTCAGAATCACAGGTCTGCTACCCGACCCGAGCCCGACGGGTCCCGAAAAATGTGCGGGTTCGGGTTAATGTGATCAGCCTCGGGTCGGTCGGGTTCGGGCTTAATCCAAATGTAGCCTAATTGTCGGGTCGGGTCGGGTTAAGAATGAACTGTGGGCTTCATTACACCGATCTCATTAGTTATGAAATTCTGATCTGGGGCATCAAGAGCTTTCAGTGTTTGTCCAATACTGTGAAGAAAACACTCAGTCAATGAGATTTTATCTGACAACCATGACAATCACAATCTCTTTCACACTCAAACACACATGGATATTTCATCATGTTTTAATCTGTGGATTGCAGATAACGTTTGATGAAGAGCAAAAAAATGTCCTATTGAACTTAAGCAATACTTACAGACGGCAGCATTGGTATAATCTGCTGATATGAAAGCTGTTTTGATGCGATACGCTATTAATCAAAATATGAAACTTTTGGGCCTTTTCTAATATAAAACCATATGCAATAGCACAATCACAGTCAAATTACCATTTACAATCGTTAGTTAAAAAAGGTTTTAAACATGGTTCCAGAATAATTCCACAGCTTTATGGACCTGTACCATGGTATTCGTTGAAGGTCATTTTGATGAACGTATAGGCCTAGGCCTATATGAATATGGTCTCTCAGTCTCCCAAATATGATCATCCTGGTGTGAGGGACCCCCATTCTATTTTTTTTTTTTTTTTACTGTAAACTTTTCCACAGACCTCCTATTGTGGTTTAGTACTCCCTGTGGCCCCTGGAGCGAGCCCCCTTTTTTTAAACTGCCCTGCCATATGTATGAAAGTATAAAGTACCATATATTAGGCTACATTACTTTAACTGAGGGCTGATAACATTAAATTATTAAAATAAACAACTGATTAATTATTCAACATGCACAACCCGCCTCTATATCTTGAAATCTCGGAATTAAATCTAGTTTTGTATTACAGCAATAGTATTTTTTTAATGTTTTTGTGTGTAATTGTTAGAATATAAAACAGATATTAAAAGGCAAAGACTTCATAACAACTATAGGCTACATCAGCAACAAAAAACAGAACACACACACACTCACACCCCTACCTCCCACCCTCTCCTCTCTCAGTTTCAGTGACTGGTTAGAATAGAAATGGCAGCTTCTGAGGATCCCTAAACGACTCTGGCAAATTAGGGAGAAATGCTCCTTTGAAATGGATTAACTGATAACGGGAATGTCAACAGTCCAGTCGTGAGCTGTAACGACAGACAGAAAAGGAACCAGTGGCGTATATCTTTTCAAACAGCAGCGTCTGTCTGTCTATCTGTGTGAAGTATATTGGGGTAAGAGAGACGTCGATTAGCATTAGCACTGTTAGCTCCGCTTCTGCTTTCGCCCGCCCGAGCTTTCGTGCTCTTCGCGCCGCATTCTCTCCCACTCCGCCGCGCTCCGCTCTTACGCGCTGCCGAGGCTTCTGCGGCTTCTGCGGCCGCTGCTACGCCTGCTGCTACCGCTGTGGGCTGCGGGTCATGAAAAGCTGCTTTTGTCCGAAAAGGAAGGACGCAGTGCATTTTACAGTTAAGTCAATGTGGAGTGTAATTGTCATATTGCTATTTGCACATATATTAAAAAAATAGGAATATTGAGGAAATTAAATTGGGATAGCTTGTTAGCTCGGCTAGGCTAAGTATAGAATCTCTCTAAGGAGTCTCCTAGCAACCTGCCAGCTAATGCTAATGGCTAAAATTGGGCTTCAGCCAAATGATAAAACTGACTATTATTTATTCATATTATGGACTCAATATATTATAATAAGTCCTAGATAAGTGTTTGAAATGTTTTGTGAATTGTTTAGCGGCATAGTAAATAATATTGTAATGTAAATAATACTTATTTATTACATGTTTGCTTTTGTATCTTAACGTTACATATCTGGTCATTTAAACAAAACTGGAAATGTTTCATTGTTATGGGGGAATATAAATAGGGATAAGGTGTTATTAATTTATTATGCAGAGCATTGCTTGTCTATTGGACAATATTTAATCGCTTTGTAATCAAATTTAAGAGTGTCGTCATATATTGTCATTTAAGAGTGTCTTTTAATTCTGTGTTCATGATTCAGATTAGGGTTTCCGAGGGTCTTAATTCTCCTTTATACAAATTAAGGCTTAAAGAGACCTAAAGAAAATGGCCCTGTTATCCAATACATTGATAGCCTAATAATCTTTAAATTAGTATATATTTAACGTTACTAGAAATTCAAATGTAAAACGAAGCCTAGAAAACGTAACAAAATTAAGTGAGTGTTTATGTTTATTTTTTTGTAAAATGAATTAAAAAGTAATATTTGTTCAGTAAGTTGTATTTCCAAACGTTTAAAGAGTAGATGATACTCCTTAGCTTAGACATTTACATTTAGATAGCATATTGATGTAATGTATTCTCATCAATTTATTCCATAAATGTTCTTTACTTGGTCTTAAATGTACCTTCATAAAACCTACAGAAACCCTGCAGATGTCTGACTTGTTAGTGTCAGTTGTTATTAAATTTACAGGGAGCAAGTGACTGTGTAAACAGAGGTAATGCTGTAAGAAATAAATGCTCTTCTGATTGGCTCTTTTAAAATGTTGAAATTGAATTTTCAGATCAGATTATCACCAAGATGCCTAATGAATTTGATAAGGCAAGTATGACATACCAATTTTGTTGTCCAATACTCCAGCATGGGTTAGAATAATCAGCATGTTGTTACGGCCAGTGTCTCTCTACTGAATGCTGCTCTTGTTTGTGAGATTTGGAGCCGTAATGTGCTAGGCTATGATTCATTTATAGACCAAGAGCTGCTTTGTATCTGTGCAATAAATGTTGGTCTTGTATGTATTTTCTATAATGCTCTGAGTTGTGCCACTGGTGTTGTCGTTTCATTTTGATTAGCACCAGATCTCTGTTGATGTTTAGTTTCAAAAGGGATAAAATTTGTTTTGTATAGCTGTTATCATAATCTTTATGGGTTCTTCCATGTACTTTTCACTTTCTCTTGGATTTATCATATCCCTGACCACCCATCCACCAATCCATCCATGCATGCTAGAACCTGTGCTCATGGATTTTTACATTTATCAACATATTTTTAGCATTTAGTCTGTCGAATTACATTTATGCATTTAGCAGACACTTTTACAAAAGAGGAACTAAAGCAATTCATCAAAGTGCTAGCAATATCCGTATCATACAATGCTATAGGTTTATTTTAGGGATGCACCGATATGAAAATTTTGGCCGATAATTCTTTATATTTGAAAGCCGATAACCGATATATCGGCCGATAAACTTAAATCCCAAATTTTTATCTAATTTTGAGAGCCTTATTACAAAAAAACAAAAGTCTCACAATTAAATCCATGTCCATGTTATAGTGTTGTATAGCCAATATGACAGATTTGCGCTGCACATGTTTTACTGAACCGTATTTTCATTTTTTGAAGAGATTTCAATCATATTTCAAGAAATTCAAAAACATAAACAGTGCTCAGCTGAAGGGAATAATACATTATTTATCAGCTTTAATTTATCGGCCACATTTTCTTACCAGGCCGATAACGATAACATAAAAAAAAAATGAACATATTATATCAGCCGATACCGATATGCTCGCCGATATATCGTGCATCCCTAGTTTATTTGACAACTATATTAGGAATAACTTTAAAAAAAAACACATTATGAATTGACAGCATAAATGCAGTGGCTTCTGTCAGCTGGCTCAAGCTTCTCTCAATCTGGCTCTGGGCCGTCCTTATTGTTGAGCCCTGCAATATCTCCCAGACTCCTCGGTTGGCAGTGTGTGTTGACAGTGCCAGCATCTGTGCCATCTGAGGCTTCTCTGTCCTCCTGGCAGATGAGTGATATGAAAGCAGATCTGCCCCTAATGTTCGAGAGGCATCGCAGAGCCTCTCCTGCTCATGTTTCAGGAAGGATGCATCTGTTGTTTATGATGACTGCTTTGGTGTGCATTTGTTTATGAAGATTCAGGCTACTGGTTAGACATAGCCGGTCCGAAAGACCTTTGCTTCATTGTGATTTATCATAGGAAATCATTGATGATTGTAACGGTCCTTTTTTTGGGAAAGCCTTGCTAATACTAGTGTTCTTCTGCCAACATTTGATTGTTTAATAAGACTATTCTAAGACCATGTTTATTCAAGAATATGTCCTTCTTAGCTATGTACACGTTTACATGCATTTTCTAAGTCCAATCTGACTGCAGATTCCAAAAGTAGGCTAATGTTTATATTATGTACCCTAAACTTTCCAATCCAAATCAAATACTCCGTCCTTAGCTGTGATTAAATGGACTAATTTAAATATAGTGAAATGAATCCAGTCCAACTTCAGATTCGGAAAGTTTATAATCCCATGCATTCACATTAGGGCTGCACGATCTATCAAAATCAAACCGAAATTGAGATTTGACGTTGAGCGATTATTAAAAAGCAAAGGCTACGCTTTCCCCCCTGATTTTTCAATTGAATAAATACACTAAAAACACCTGTTCAATTTCTCATTAATGCAATTATCTAATCAACCAATCACATGGCCGTTGCTTCAATGCATTTAGGGGTGTGGTCCTGGTCAAGACAATCTCCTGAACCCGAGACTGAACGTCAGAATGGGAAAGAATAATAATCAATTTCTCATAACTATTTGAAAATTAAATAGATTGAAACAGCAGTTGTAGCTTTGCAGTTTGTCGTTTTGATTGTTTATAATATTGCGAGTGCTCTAGTTTTATACTATGAAGTTTTGCGTTGTTATATTTTTGAAAAGTAAACTTAGTGAGAATTTTATCCCTTGCTCAAACACTGACGCTACCGTTTTATGGTTCAAAACCAGCAGGTTTAAGTGTTTTCTTGCCCAGAACAGCCTTTTCCTGGGTAGAATTGAATTGGACCAAGCTGGGCATATTATTAAAAAGGGGTTAGTGAAATCTCAGGATGTTGCGGTCTTGATTCACATTAAACTAAAATACAGTATATGATTTCCCTGACTGCATTCCTTCCCTGTTGACGAATGCAGTCTATTTTCTCACTGTTGACTCCAGAGATCATCGTGTCACACCTTTTTTTTTATCCCTCTCTCTTGGCTCTATAGATTTCTCACATGCTCTCAGTTTGATCTCGCTCTCTTTCTTCTCGTCTCTCTGCTGTTTGCTTGGCTTCAAGCTGCTTCTATGTGCACCAGTGATTTGACACAGCTTCTTTGTGGCTTGTTTGCCGAGCGCGGAGGGCAGGCCTGGTTGCCAAGGTTGCCTCCAAAGCGCTTAGCTTCATCTTAAGACTGTGAATCATTTGTATTCAGCGACATAACTCTTCAGATTCTCAGGAAGAACAAACCCTGACTCCAAAAAAAAGTTGATTTGTGAAGTTAGTGATGGAGACGAGACCAGAATGCCTTTACTACAATGTGTGTAAATCACTCGCATATGTGACCAAATTGAACGTTAGGCAACTAAAAACATCTTTAATTAGTCAATGCTATTAAGGATTTCAGTCACCTGTGATTCAGTGACAGTTTGGCGCAATATAAATTCATTGCCTGTTGAGCTTTGCGCACCGTCGCTTGGCTGAGAGCGCCCTCTGTTGCTTTCTTTCACAAACGCACACACACACACACTCAACTTTCACACATGCCACGCAAAGAGAATTGACAATGCAGGGCTCGACAATGAGGACCGCCCGATGGGTAAGAGAGATCGGGCCAGTGCTGCATCGTCATGACAGTTTATCTTTTGCACGTTAAGCTATGCCAAATTAAAGCAACACTAAGTAAGATTTTTTACCTTAAAATAATGTTTCCAAAATTGTTTCAGTGGTTCATTAAGTCGTAACAGGGTGAAAGGCAGTTCTGGATTCGCTTTGCGGTCCTATATCTGCTATAACCACGCTTTGTAAGATTGCCAGATCGGGTCACGCGTTTCTGTAGTTCTAATGAGATATAAGTAGGGTTGGGTATCGAGAATCGAGTATCGATTGGAACCGAGACAAACTTTTCGTTTTTCCTGGAATCGTTCAAAAGTTAAAATTTCGATTCCTAGTTTCGATATTCACAGTCCGCCGAGCGGAAGAAGAAACCGCTGAACAACACCAACGAAGAAGCGTCTACCGGAAGTGTTGGCATAACCATGCGAGTCGAACATGAGTACCTTACGTCGGCGATCCAAAGTGTGGCTTCACTTTTCTAAAAATAACGAAATCTCGGCAAAATGCAAAATTTGTGACAATAAGGAGTAAAAGGAGTTCTGTATTTTTACAGAAGGAGTATTTCCTTCAGAAAGGCCGTTGGTTAGCAAGGTTAGCTAAACTTTTTTGACCCTGCCTCTTAAAAGAATCGGAATCGAGAATCGTTAGGAACCGGAATCGAAACAAGGAATCGCAATTGGAATCAGAATCGTTCAAATTCGAACGATACCCAACCCTAGATATAAGAACTACAAATTTGACTTGCTTTACGTCAAGCGTTACATTATTCATTATTTAGTTTTTCTTCGTTTCTGATGTCGCAATACATCATACTTTCATGAAATCATCATGCATCATACTCTAGCTTGTCTGTGGACTTCGTTCATTCCAAAGACGGTGCTTATAAACAGTTAAATTATTTACCATAGCGGTAATGGACAATTCCGCTTCCTACCTGTAGGGTGACCGCAGAGAAAAAGTTACTTGGTGTTGCTTTAAACATTTAAGTGAATAGTGAATTGAGCTCTCTTTCATGAACGGACACAAGCCCACCTTGGCGAGTATCCTAGTAAACATAGTCGCTCAGGCCTATGTGTTAAGTGAATGGAAACAGTGGAGAAAGAAAACGCATGTGTAACAGTATCAGTGAACCGGATCTGTGCATTATGTCTTAAAGTGACAGCAGCCTAATATTCCAGCTGTCTGTGTTTTAATGTTAATCACAACAAAAAAGCACTTAATGATCTTGACTGAATAACTTTTGTAACATAAGCACTGTAACTGTAATAAGGATTCATCTATATTTAATTTGTACAGTGAAGACTTTATTACATTTTATTTTATTATTCAATTTCTGTACCTAATCTACCTTATATGTATCTAACTACTGTTAGATTGACCTGAAAAACTTAAAAAGCACTGTTTATTTAATTTTCTAACTTTGTTCTATTGCGTTTATTTGTGCTATTTATGTAAAACGTCAGTTCAAGTTTTCATCCATTAGTGTCAGTGTAGTCAAAGCGAGTTCGATACTTTTTAGGCACCGACCGAATTGCCTCGATACCATCGAGTATCAAAAAAATGTCTTGTCGTTCGGTACCAAATTTCGATATCTGAGGGGTTCATCTTGTCAACGTCATTGAAACGATAAGCATGTATGATGTTCCCAAATCAAGTGCTGGCCGTAGTGAGGCATCAAGGATAAACACTAGTTTACGTCGGCTTGATGGCCACAGCGTGCGATGACCGCAATGCAATGAATGCCCGATTCCAGAAGAATTTTAACGGGAAAAACGGAATTAAACTCGCATTAAACTAAGCATCTTGTAAAGTGTGCTCCTCCTTAAGGTTAGCTGCATTCATTTTTCCCTCTTCACATTAATGTTACAGCCTCTGCTATAACATTATCTAATTGGTATCGAAAAAAGTATCGTTCAGGAACCGATATCGGTACCCTACAAATCAATAATTTTATATTGATATTATAAGTGTGTTTTACACTGTGCGCTGCACACTCATGCCTACACTGTAAAAAAATATTGTTGGTTAAACTAAGTAAAAATAAGTAACCCGGTTGCCTTAAAATTTTAAGTTGATTGAACTGGAAAAAGTGAGTTAATACAATGAAGGAGATTGATTTAATCAGAAACGCAAAATAATAAGTTATCTGAACTAAATAAATTATTTAAGTTGTTTTGACAAAAGAAAAAATGTTGTGATTACAAATCTTGAAAATTATTTTTTACAGTGTATCAGTTTTTACTCGGCTCTTTGTTTAATCTGTTGATCTCTGGTAGACATGCAAGTTTTCTCCGTTTACCCGCCAAAACTGTTTACATTTTACCGTAACTTGTAAGTTCTTGTTCATCATAAGCTCTCAGATGCTCCGGAAGCGTGAAGATGAGTGTGTTTACTCATCTCAAAGTAAATAAACAGACTAAAAAACAGAATCTTGATAATTATAATAAGATATTTTTCCCTTGAAGTAGTTAGAGATTAGAGGAAGAGTTGACATGGAAAGGCTAAAAGAGGCTGTGTTTCATGGCTTGTCGTCTGGCTCGGTGTCTCGTCTCCTCCCTCTTGTTCTCTGTTCAAACATGTCTTTTACACAGTGACTTGGTTTCATTTGTCAGCTTGTCTTCATGTTTCGGCAGTGCCGTCACGTTTTTACTCTGCTCTGTGTTGTCTCAGAGATATGTTTGGGTATCAGCTTGAGGAAATGTGAGTGTTTTTGACTTTTTAAACCTTTTATTGCTATTTGCTAACAAACAATATAGGCAATATTTGGCTTAATTTTATATACTCTAATTAAGAGGGCATTTTAAACGAAGCATTGTGGAAATTAACTGAATGTGAGTCATACAAGTCATTTTTCACTTTAAGTCTTTAGATAATTTGTGTGTTCCATAGCTTGGTAAATTAACCTAATGTCATTACATTTGTGTATTGATTCAAGTCATTGTAGTGTCATTACTACTAATTTGAGATCTAAACTAATTTAGAATGGCTTTTAATACGTAGTAGTGGTGGGACAATTTCCTTTTTTTGTTTATGTTGACTTTTCTTTCCTTTTTTTGTTATATGTATCTAATATGCTGTTTTATGATGTGAAGCACTTTGGATACCTGACGGTTGTGTAAAGCGCTATAGAAATAAACGTTGATTGATTGAACGTTGATTACTACTAGCAACATAAATGTTCACCATACCCAGATAGCAAACTGACATTGAATCAACGTGAAAACATGACATCTAAACAACGTTGATATGACATTGTTTTGCTCATCGAATTAACGTTGAACCAACGTCAGACTTTCAAAACTAACGGAAAATCAACTTGAAATCAACGTTGTTTCAACGTTATGAAAGCAAACCAATTTTCGATTTTCATTTATCTTTGAAGAATGCCGCGTCTGACGTTGGTTCAACGTTAATTCGATGAGCAAAACAATGCCAGATCAACGTTGTTTCGATGTCATGAGAGACGTCGTTTGTTTCCACGTTGATTCAATGTCAGTTTGCTGTCTGGGTAGTTAATGGATTGTACGTTAGAAACGTTATACCTATGTGTTCACTTTCGAATGAGAACTTTCTCCTTTTAGTATGTGTATCCATTGCAGTCTGTGTAGTTTTTAATCACATTGCTGCATAATTTAACTTCTTTTAAAAAATGCCATTTTATTATATTAGCACATCATGCTGACATGGAAATCCCCGGTTCATTCCTATGGGATGTTATGAGCCGGCAACCGTAACCAAGGGTAGAGTCTAACAAAAGTTAATTTGCTTTTGTAGACAAAACAAACACTATTTAGACTCATCCGACATGTTCTGTCAAGTTCGTTGTTTAGCGTGTAAATGTTTTAACAACACTCTTGTCTTCTCAGAATTCCTCCATGATGCCTGAGGTACGGGACCTTTCAGACGCCCTGCCGGAGATGCCCATGGACCCGATCACTGGCGTAGGAGTCGTTGCCTCGAGAAACAGAGCTCCCACCGGCTATGATGTGGTGAGTGTCCTATACAGTAATGCAGATGGTGAAGATAGAGGAGAAAGTGCTTAAGGAAGTAAAACTCTTTGTTCCGCCAAAGCATTTGTGAAGATATGACATCTGTTATTCTATTTTTTTGGGGGGTTTGGTTTAGTGCCTAGCATGCTGTTTCTACGCGAGACACTATTGTTGTGTTCAAAAAACCTAGGGAGTCATAGATTAATACGGGTTCTCAATGCCGATTACATTAATTCATTTAGCAGACGCTTATTTTTGTAAGAGCAACATCAACATTGATGATAATAATGTCTTTCTTGAACAGCAAATCTGTGTATTAGAATGATTTCTGAAGGATCATGTGACACTGGAGTAATAATGCTGAAAATTCAGCTTTGATCTCAGGAATAAATTATATTTGATAATATATTCACAAAGAAAACTGTGTTTTTAATCAAATAATTGCAGCTGTACTGAGGAAAAGTTTGGAGTAAAATCTTACTCCAAACTTTTGAACTATATAAAGGATATATAGTTTTTGTACACAATATTTTCAGCCCCAAAATTTTGAAACACAATGTTAATTCATTTATTGTTGGTTGATTTTGGAACTGACACAAGGGCAACTAGCACTAGCATGGTTAATTTGGGAAAGCATATTGTTATTGTGCTTATTGATAATGGTCAAATACCAGCTAAATATCCTTTACTGATATGACCAAAGTCTTATATCATGAAATTAGTCATTTCCTTATGAGAACGGTATATAATAAACAATAGTTAATTTTGCTTTAAATAAAGTTTCACAATTTTTGAGAACATTGAAATGTAATAATTCTTATCACTAATTTCAATGTCACAAAAACAAATATTAGCTGATGTAAAAAAAAAAACTGCTTACTGAAGACAAGTAAAATTATAATTACTTCAAAAAAAAACTTCAATCTCTAGAAATAAGAAGTGCATAAATACTACAACTTCTACACTGTAAAAATGAATATGCTTTATCTAATCAATAAAATTGTGGCAACAGATTACCAGGAATATTATTTATTAAATTGAACAAATTAGAATTGAGTAATAGTTAATCAAATTAACATTCTAATTAATTCTAATTTGTACAATTTAATTAATAATATTGCTTGTAATATGTTGCCACAATTTTATTGATTAGATAAGCATATTATTTTTTCAGTGTACATAAATTGAATAAAGTAGTTAAATGTACAAAAAACATAGTCTTCACTGTGTAAATTAAATATAGCCTACATTTATTCTTATTAAAGCTACAGACGTGATTGAGTGAGTGATTTTATTCGCCTTTCTTTCATTTGATTAACATGAATGACACAGACGGCAGCGGGTATATTAGGCTGTTGTCACTTTAAAACCGAATGCACTCATCTACAGTAGTCAACATTTGAAGTGGATAAAAAAAGTTTACCTAACACAAGACATTGTTCAAAATTCATGTATAACTGATGAAAGGTTTTGATCCTTGCAAAGAGGGACATTTGGAAACATAAGTGTGTGTTTTTGACGTTCAAGCTTAATAAGTCGCCTGAAAGAACTCAGTTCAGTTCTTGCATGAGCAGTGATTTATGTACACTCGGACAGTGCACGTAAATATGAGTGAAATAGACTGCTGTAATATGAGATGCCTTGTGTAATTGTTGATATGTAATACTAGAACGATGTTGGATGTATTTCTCTTTAGAGTTGGTAATATCAACAAAGAGCCCTGTAGACATGCACACAAACCATGTTGATCTCAGTTGCAGAAAAGCCCTTGTCACGGAGGCCACAGTTAACAGGCTGGGAGAAATACGATCTGTATGTGGTTGAAAGGTATGACGTTAAAGGCTCACAGCTATGCAGGCGATATCGACGTAATCTGAACTATCAAGGGGATCAAGGAGACGTCTTTGCGTACAGTGTCAACGTAACGTCTATTTCATTTTGTAAGACGGTTTTCCCAAAACCTTTTGGAAAAATGAAACCGCATAGCATAGGATCGTCAGGATTAAAGGAGTCGTTCACTTTTGAAAAAACTTTTGCTGATAATTTACTCACCCCCACATAGGGATGGGAATTGATAAGATTTTATCGATATCGATGCCACTAACGATTCTGCTTATCGATCCGATTCTTTAACGATTCTCTTATCGATTCCTGATAGCACTGTGTGGGAAAAAGTAGTCATATGCTTTTTTGGGGGAAAGAAACAATTGGTTTTATTTGTTTTAAACCTTACACTTGACTAAGTAAACTGTACTTTTGATGTAATTTATATAATAAATGAAACCTTATGAGTTCAGTTCAGTGTTGAGTTCAGTTCAGTGTTGGGAGATCAGTTCAGTTGTTTTAACCATTCATTAAAACGAATCGGTTCAAATGAGTCATTAGTTCGCGAATTGAACGTGTCATTATCAGACGTGTGCGCGTTCCGACACAAGATGTGTGTCATCACAGAAAACATTTCATCTTTTGGTCGTTTTTTCCGTTTATTTGAAGTGTGGTTTATGTCAGCTAAATGTGCGGACCGCTTTTCAGAGAAGATAAGGCAACGTAGACCTATTTCAGCACAATTCACACCCAGCGGTAATTCAGGAAAAACAAAACTCCGAATGCTACACATGAAACTTTAGTCTCCCGACCTTACTATTGTGTCGATTATTTTGATTAATATGTGCGAGGGAGAAAGAGAGAGCAAGACAGCGCTTAGTTTTGAGCAGTGAAGCCAGAGAGAGGTGCGCGCGCGCACGACCGGGGCTCTCTCTCTCCCTGCTCGTTCAGTTTAACACGAGCCCTGTCACGAGCGCAGCGGTTCATAACTACAGAGAGAGACAATTTTACCGGTACTCACCGATCAAATAAGGCTTTGGTGGTACAAAAAAAAATCGCTTTGGACGCCGTGCTGGTGCTTAATAAAGGACAAAGGGACAGTTGTTAGTTCACTGTCTGAAGCCTACATACTGGTTGACTCAGAGCAGGAGCATCGATAAGAGGAATCGTTAACGTCGAGCGCATACAATATCGATGGATCGTAAAATTTAGAACCGGTTCTCGAGTGGAACCGGTTTTCGATTCCCATCCCTACCCCCACATGTCATCCAAGATGTCCATGTCTTTCTTTCTTCAGTCGTTTTTGCTGAAAACATTCCAGGATTTTTCTCCATATAATGGACTTTAATGGGGTCCAAACGGTTCAAGGTCCAAAAGACACTTTCAGTACAAACTGCAAACTGTTCAAAGGGCTTTAAATGATTCCAGATGATGAATAAGGGTCTTATCTAACGAAACAATCGCTTATTTAAAGGTATAGCGGAGGATTTTCTTTTTCCGGGTGGGTAGTCTATACTATTGGTCCACCTAAGTGTCAATCATTCTGGTGATATGTTTACGTAAGGCCGTCGTAGGCTACGTGCTCATCCCTATGTAGTTTTCACTTTCAGGTGTATTATGTCAGAGTTACGGTTTCAGCCATTCCTTTGAAAATGGCTGAGGGTCGAAAGAGAAAAAATGTTTACGAAGTGTATGATAAGAAGAGAAAGGCCGCAGAATATAGAAACAAGATCAGAGTGATTTTGGGTGAATATCACACGCTGGCGTGCGCTAAAAGCACAGGTTGGGCTTCTCACTGATGCCGCAGTCGCGAAGATTCTACCAGACAGGTAAAGTTTGTCACGCTATTTGGGGAAATCCATTTAAAATCACTAGTAAAAGTTAATGCAAGCTACAATGCTAGCCCTGGCACGAGTCATGCACCGCATAGACACGGTAAACATCTCAATTTGTCTAAAGTAGCCTTTTGTCCAAAATGGTAAATGGTATCACGCTGAAATATTCTAAAACCTTGTGTGTTTATTATTACACAAATGCAACAAGCTACTTCTCCATATGCAACTATGTATAAAAATAACGTATTATTAACAATGAGAGATATTAGGTTAAGGACCAACGTAATAGCACTGCTTATATGTTGCTATGTAACGTAATTGCGATTTGCAAAATAGTTTCCTCAGAACGTATTTCGTGTGATACAGGGTTGCACATATCATGTCTTGAGTCCTCGGTCACTCAATCGATCAGTATAAGTAAATAAAACACGGAAGGGCATTTGACATGTTGTCTTTTTTATGAATGTTTTTGAGTTAGTTTACAATTTGCAACATAATTGTGTAAGGCGTAATAGACGTTCCCTCTCGGGAGCAAGAGTGTTGTGTTTGTGCATGTGCATTTTTTTAAAAAATTGGAGAGGGCGGGTCTTCTCTAAAATTCGGAAAGATCCTCCGCTATACCTTTAATATTTAAATAACAAAGTTTAAGTTTTATAAGCTCAAATGCTCGCCTTGCTCTGTTCTGTGACTCTCCTGTTCGAACTTGTTCATCAAAATGAACAAATCTTTTTATGAGTCATTTGGTTCATTCAAAGAACAAAACGAGCGAATTGACAAAGATTCATTCATTTTGATGAACGAGTCTGAACAGGTGAATCACAAACGTACATCACAGAACAGAGCAAGGCGACCATTTGCGCTTATAAAACTTAAACTTTGTTGTTATTTATTTATTAAATGAGCGATCGTTTCGCTTGATAAGACCCTTATTCATCGTCTGGAATCGTTTTAAAGCCCTTTGAACAGTTTGCAGTTTGCACTGAAAGTGTCTTTTGGACCTTGAACCGTTTGGTTCCCATTGAAGTCCATTATATGGAGAAAAATCCTGGAATGTTTTCATCAAAAACCTTAATTTTTTTTCGAATGAAGAAAGAAAGACATGGACATCTTGGATGACACGGGGGTGAGTGAACTACTCCTTTAATGTTTACCTGATGCACCTCATGAATAGCGGCAGCCTGACATGAACGTCACATAACACCGTAGAAAGTACATTTCTGATCACGGGCCCGGTTTCTGACGTCTTGTGCCGTATTATTATTTTTTTGTTGTTTTTTTGGGCAGGAACTCACACATGATTTGGATCTACTTTGGCAAGAGAAGACGCAGTGGGGTTGTTGTGTTTCCTTTAGCTGTCCCGGTCGTTGTCGTCACTCCAGCGCGGAGCTTAACAAAGCTTCCTGTGTGGATTGCGAGAGTGTGTGAAAGCCGGGTCTGTTGATAGCACCCACTCCACCCCCAAAACGTCTTCTCAAATGGCAGAATCGCTGTAGTCGACACGCAAAGCATCAGAACTAGAGAGGGAAATCTGTTGTTTCCAACACTAACAGTGAGCTACTTGTGTCTTTCTCTCTGTTCAATATCAAACTACAGAAGTCTGCGGTTTGACTCTTGGACAACCCCTGAAATCTGGGCTCTTCATTGAGTCATTACTTTGTCAGATATCCTATGAGGTGTCTTTTAATTGGTTCAAATGAATGGAGGCCTTGTTATTTGTCTGTTGTTTACAGGCAGTTCTTTCGAAAGGATTTTGAAGACCGATACCGATACAAATATTTTTGGGTTTTCCGATATTTTTTTTTTTTTTTTTCAGAAACGCGCAACAAAACATGAATAGATTTCCATAACATAGTTATTTATGAGTTTTAACTAAAATAGTATGATAAAGTATTTTAAAAATAAACGTGTTTCTTTTATTGTCACGACAGAACAGAGGAACATCAAAATATATTAAAGTTCTGATAAATAAAATAATAATTAGTCCCTACATTGCCTTATAAGCTACTTTATAATTACAATGTCAGCTTGCTTATCCCTTTACCTGCCCTTTTTAAATTCTTTCCATCAAGCTACATCACACCATTTTCAATCATTAGTTACGTTTGATACTTTTTCTCTATGTCTAAATGTTCACTCTATGAACAATGCAGGGACTGTAACTAGAGATATGCTAGTTATAAATACAGTAATCATTACTTTATTTAGGCAGAAAAAGTTCATTGTTGTTTCCAAGCTCATTAATGTTAACGTTAGCGGTCTTCCACTGATGATAGTGGCATTAGCTAGCTTTGTGGTTAGCTAGTCTATGATGAGCCATAATTTAGCAATAGATAACATCATACTGCAAATTGTAAAACATACATTTTCAATATAACAGGCCAAGGAGAGATGATGATTGAAGCGTGTTTCGTCCGTTTTTATTTTATTTTTGAAATATTCATTTATCGGTCATTATAACTGCCGATACCGATATTTTGAAAAATCCCTAATATTGGCCGATAATATCGGTCTAGTTTTTTTTTTTAATTATTAATATCAAACTGCCTTCCTCAATTTTAAATTTCCTTTAAAGATGGGCAAAAAAAGGTTTCAATAGCCTATTCATCCAATATATTATACATTGGTACAGATGTTATGAATATTTGCTTCACCAGTGATTAATTTAGCTAATTAATGGTGCTTTCAAAGTAAAGCATTATTATTATTGCTCAGTCTTGGGCATTTAAACAAATCGAATGGTTAGTGACTTCTTTTTATATCTACTGAGAAGTTAGCTGATACTGAGCAGGACAACGACAAAGTTTAGTGCAATTTTACAATTTTATTACAGCAGGAATTAGGAAATACAGGAATAGAGGAAGTACCATTTTAGCTAGCCTTGACTTCTTACCTACTGGCCTTGCATTTGCTTCCTCAAAGCAATGTACGCCATGGGCAGAGAATTGGAAGATAAAGCTGAATAATCTTCAATGGGGTCTATAAAATGTAAACTTTTTTCCCCCCACTCTGTAAAAAAATATTGTTGGTTTAACTTAAAAAAGTAAGTAACCTGGTTGCCTTAAAATTTTAAGTTGATTGAACTGGAAAAAGTGAGTTAATACAATGAAGGAGATTAATTTAACCATCAGAAACTCAAAATTATATGTTATCTGAACTAAATAAATTATTTAAGTTGATTTGACAAAAGAAAAAATGTTGTGATTACTACACTGTAAAAAATATTGTTGGTTTAACTTAAAAAAGTAAGTAACCTGGTTGCCTTAAAATTTTAAGTTGATTGAACTGGAAAAAGTGAGTTAATACAATGAAGGAGATTCATTTAACCATCAGAAACTCAAAATAATAAGTTATCTCAACTAAATAAATTATTATAAAGTTGATTTGACAAAAGAAAATATGTTGTGATAACAAATCTTGAAAATATTTTTTACAGTGCAATTGTTTTCTTTTTCATGCCAAATTATGTCATCAACGTGAATGAAATGTGAAAAATCTCAGTATTTGGATTGTGTCTCTTTTGCTTTAATCGTTTAATGACAGCAGCATTTGTTGAGCTACATGAACAAATGTGATGATCATGTTTTCCAGGTGGATCTGAGATGTTTCATAGAGCATCTTGAGCCTCAATGCAAGCCAGGACTTAAAGGGATACTCCACTTTTTTTTTGGAAATAGTTTACCATTTTCGAATCCATTCAGCCGATTTTCTGATATTTAGAAGAATATCAGTAACCAGACAGTTTCTGGTCCCATTGACGTCCATAGTATATATTTTTTTTCCTACTATGGAAGTCAATGGGACCAGAAACTGTCTGGTTACTGATATTCTTCTAAATATCAGTAAATCGGCTGAATGGATTCGAAAATGGTAAAACTGAACCGTTTAACTCTGATGGAGTTGTAAAATGAGCCCAAAAAAAGTGGAGTATCCCTTTAAGTTCACATGGTCAATGTCACAATTTTACTTACATTTCACAGTGCTGGAAATTGAAGACTTCCTAAAACCCTTTAAAGGGGTCATGAACTGGCTTTTTAAATTTTACAGGGTGTCCTTTTTTTTAAAAAGTGATAAATCAAAATTGTCAAATTTAAGGCCATTAAAAGTGTTAAATGTAATCTGAGAGGTATTATTTTTTAAAAATTAGTTTTTTTTTTTTTTTTGACTATCAGGTGTCCTATTTTGTGTTTGCGTTAGTCCGTATAAATATGGGCTTTAGCTTATCTGGGCACAATCAAAGATCTTTCATCTCTGTCTATGTTTGATGCTGACGTCATATTCAATGGCTGGACGATATATAGAGGCTATATAACCTTGATATAAGTGATCACCCGGATTTAGACCTACCTATATTGTATTTATATAAAGCGTTCACAGGCAAATTTGCTTTAGCCTATGTAGATCTATATATTGCTTTTATTTCCCTTTTATTGAAATCAGGCAAACATAAATGTCAGGCGACACGATTGCTGGCTGCATGTCAATATCCATGGATCACTGGATCTTTAGTAAGTTGTTAGGAGTCCAACTATATTGAGTCCAACATTTCGTTTAAATTGATCAAATTGTTAGTTTTAGTCACATTTTCGTTTAATAGTTTCCCCTATTAAATCCAGTCACGCAGTAAATCTTTTGCCTCTCAGTCAGGCTGAGGGGGGTTGTACCGGCGGTAAAAGTGTAAAACTTTGGTCGCAAATGCAATCCACTAAACATAAAAATGGAATGCGTGCTCTAAATCTATTCATTTTTGTATGTTATAAATGTCAAAATCTGTGTTCAAAATCTGAATGTCAAAATTCTGAAGGTAGTAAAGAAGGTATTAAAAAGTAGTAAATTTAACTTAAGGATTTCTGTATATACCCTGTTTTATTATATTGTTGTCTGAGGTCAACTTATGACGTTCGCTTGGTTTTTACATTCAAAAACATCAACATGAATAAGTAATAGGCTATTTTGTACCCCAGTTTTGAGCCTAGCTGAAAAATAATGCTAAATTAGGAACTGGTTTGAACTAAATCAGGACTTTTTTCTGATGGGTTATTAATGTGAATAAATGTTTTGTCGTTGTCGTACTGAATACCTTTTAAGAACAGAATCAAACAAGTAACCTTCTTTTTTTTTATTATAATGCATAATCCAATCAGTTTTTCTTTTCATTCCTTTTAGGTGGCACAAACCACAGATGGGATTGATGCAGACTTATGGAAAGATGGCCTGTTCAAATCCAAGGTGACCCGCTATCTGTGCTTCACCAGAGCATTCTCCAAAGAGAACGTGAGTCTTCAGTTCTTTATTAGATCATTTCCTTTAATTATGGTAACATTTTACAAATATTTCTAATTTGCAATCAACTTTTCTTCCCTATTGTGAAGTATATCTGAGTGTAACGGCTTCTCAAGCAAGAGAAACTGTTGGGTGGTGGGACTTTATTTGATTGGATAATTGGATTGTTGTGTTTCGTTATCGGTCGAATTTATGAGAGTGACAGGTTGTCCCGCCCTCGCGCCAGTAAACGCGTCATTAGAGAAGAGAAATATGTCATGCCTAACAACGCTTTATTTACAATATAGCACAACCAAATTTGCTTAAACATACTTTAGTACTGAGACACTTTAGTTTAAAGGCTATTGAACTTTTTAAATATCCAGAGCATGTTCATGATGGAGTGTTTATATAATGTTATATCTTGTTAGAGTTGAAATGATCTCTGTAATATGTCACAGAATCTCTTTTTTGTTTTTTTGTTAGACTATTTTGTTCATCGTGAAAACAAAGCCGCTTCTTCTTCCTTCTGTCCCTGCAGGGTTTAGTCTTAGTCTTCTCAGACAAACCAAAGCGGAAAACGCTTTAAAATGTTTGTGATTTACTTTTTTTTCCTGATTTTAAATTACTTCTGTTTTTTTGTACTATTTTTTTTTTGTACTATTACTATTATTTGTAGGGCTGTCAAACGATTAATCGTGATTAATCGCATCCTAAATAAAAGTTTGTGTTTACATAATATATGTCGGTGAACTGTGTATAATTATTTTGTATATATATATATATATACACACACACATGCATGTATATTTAAGAAAAAAATATTATTTATATAAAAAATAATTATATTTATATATAATATATATTATATATAAATCTATATACAGTATATACATGCAAAAATATACAAGCATGTGTGTGTATTTATATATATATATAAAATAATTATACACTGTGAACCCACACATATTATGTAAACACAAACTTTTATTTTGGATGCAATTAATCGTGATATCCCTAATTATTTGTTTGTTTGTTTGACTTCATTGTCTGTCAAGATTTACTGGACAGAAATTCATCTTTGACACTGGTATCAAGACATAAAACAAATGATTGAGCACTCATATATGAATAAAACAAATTAATACAATATATAGCCTACATATGATATTATTATGATGATGATGATGCTTATGTGTTAGAAATAAGCATGCAACCAAGCACATGGCTAGAGCGGTGGTCTATTGACTTTCTCTTATATGTTCTTCCTGTATCTCTCCTCAGAGTCATTTAGGAAATGTGCTCGTAGACATGAAGCTCATCGACATCAAGGACACGCTGCCTGTGGGATTCATTCCCATTCAGGAGACCGTGGACACACGTAAGATGTTCCTCTTGGTCATTTACAACTGCTATTTCAGCCAGAGCATAACTGATGCATCTTTAAACCATATTTTCTAATTGATATGCATATGCATAGCATCCTAGGGTGGATTTGATGTTGAAATATGAGTATTTTGAAGTCTTTTTCACAATGCAAAAATGCGGAATTGCGCTTGCGTAACATACTTGCGTTTGCATATTTCAGGCTTAAAGGGATAGGGACCCCAAAATGACAATTCTGTCAGTAATTCTTCTCCCTCATGTCGTTCAACCCCGTAAGACTTCATCTTCTGAACACAAATTAAAGGGATAGTTGACTTTGAAATTAATGTTTGATATGTTTTATCTTACCTCAAGGGCATCCAAGATGTAGGTGTCTTTGTTTCCGCAGTAGTTTCAATTTTGATATGTTTAGGTCAAACCGTTCATATAATGCAGGTCTATGGGGTCCACCCATGGGTGAACTATCCCTTTAAATCCTAATGTAGTAATTTCATATATTTTCCCTGCATGTTTGCACAGACACTCAAGATATGAAACCATTATTGTAGCTTAAATAAACCAGTGACACTCCAGACTAGAGTTAAAGAGAGGTTTGTTTGTGGTTGCTTTTAGACATGCGGTAAAAAAGCTGAACCTCCATTGTGGATTTAGTATCTCGTGTTCAATAATTAATCGAGTGTGTTATGATCCTCTGACCTCTTTCTGTTGTAATCTCCATCTCCCTTTCACTTTCTTTAACATGTCCTGTTCCTCTCTCTCTCTCTCTCTCTCCAGAGGAGCCGGCGTTCAGGAAGAGGAGGTTATGTATTAAGTTCATCCCGAGAGACTCCACCGAAGCTGCCATCTGTGATATCCGTATCTTAGGACGCTCTAAACAGGCGCCGCCACAGTATACGTTCATAGGGTCAGTTACTCTACACAAGAACTCGTGACCTAGACTGACTTCCTGATGTATTTAAAAGACAGTTCGGAAGTATTCAGTGAGAAAATGAATTGTATTCTGCTGGTGGGAAATGTGAAATTGAACAGCATAAGTGTGACCTAACAGCTTTATCTTATTATTATTTAGTGAGTTAAGATTTCAGAAAACCTCATGGCATTTTTTTAATGAATTTAAATGTTTTATTGTAATTTTTATATTTAGTTTAGATAAATATTTCTGTTAGATTTATGTACTTTATTTAATAATAATGATAATATATTAGTCTGTCTGCTCTCCTGGATACAACAGGATACAACTGCAGTGATGTCACATAACAAAAAATGCATCATAATAACTGTATATTTACATGATTAAATATTTTTCTTCCACCACGAATGAACTCAACATACAGTATATATTTTAATTTTTAATAATACAATTGTATATAATATATATATATATATATATTAATATTATACAATTCTGTATTCATTATATGAATATTGTGATATACTAATAATATCTTTTTTAAAACTTTTTTTTTTTACTTCTGATAAAAAGTAAAAAAATCTATTATCTAATTAACTTTTTATGGTTAATTTTATGGTGGAAAAATAATTGTTTTAAAAAACATGCACGTGTGTCGTTATCATTCCACTCTCTGAAAAATATATATAATTATTAGAGCATTATTCAACATCTTTAATAATGTCTTAAGGCCAAAACCTATTAAGACACCATTGTTTGTAAGTATTTTTGGCTACTCTGGCTGTACTTTGAGATCTCCTTTGTTGATATATGTGACCCTGGATCATAAAACCAGTCATAAGTCGCACGGGTGTATTTGTGGCAATAGCCAACGATACATAGTATGGGTCAAAATTATAGATTTTTCTTTTATGCCAAAAATCATTAGGATATTAACGAAGATCATGGTCCATGAAGATATTTTGTAAATTTCCTACCGTAAATATATAAAATATTATTTTTTGTGAGTGAAAGCAGCACAATCGCAAACAGAAATGGACAAATACTGTCCTAACAAACCATACACCGCTCTCAGTTGATGTATAAATCTCAATTTTATTTTGGACAAATTAGTGGTCCAGGGTCACATATTCTTATTAAATACATCTGTGTTTTGTGTTTCTGAGTGTTTAATTTATCCTGAGTAAATGATTTCCGGTTTGGTGAATTGTGTATTTCCTCTTAGAGAGCTGAACAATATGGGGATCTGGTACCGGATGGGAAAGGTGCCACGGACCCAGGACTCTTCACCTGTACAGAACAACTCCTCCACCACCAACACCACCAATAACATCCAGACTGTCACCAACAACTCCACTCCAGCGCCAGTCATGCCCAAGTACGTGTTGGTGAAGTGTGAACCGTGTTCGTAGCGACAGCTGCAGAATAGGAAGAGAGAGAATGAGACAAACTGAGAGGAGGAAGAGAAGAGGAAGAGAAACATGGCATGGAAAAACACTTTAATTAGCTTTCTTTATATACTGACATAAACGAGCTTGTGTTTTTTTTTTTTAGGAAATTCCACAGTAAGTTATAGTATATCCCATAGTTCCACACTATCTTAAAGGAGTAGTTCAGTTATAAAAAAACATTTGGTGATAATTTACTCACCCCCATGTCATCCAAGATGTCCACGTCTTTCTTTCTTCAGTTGAAAAGAAATGAAGGTTTTTGATGAAAACATTCAGGATTTTTGTCCTTATAATGGACTTCAATGGGGTCCAAATGGTTCAAGATCCAAATGAGAGTTTCAGTGCAGCTTCAAAGGGCTTCCAGACAATGAATAAGGGTCTTATCAAGCGAAACGATCACTCATTTAATAAATAAATAACAAAGTTTAAGTTTTATAAGCTCAAATGCTCGCCTTGCTCTGTTCTGTGATGCGCGTTCGTGACTCTCCTGTTCAAACACGTTCATCAAAATGAACAAATCTTTTTCCGAGTCAATTCATTCATTTTGTTCATTGAATTTACCAAATGACTCGAAAAAAGATTTGTTTGATAAACGAGTCACGAACGCGCATCACAGAACAGAGCAAGGTGACCAATTGAGCTTATAAACTTAAACTTTGTTATTTTTTTTTTTTAAATGAGCAATCGTTTCGCTTGATAAGACCCTTATTCATCGTCTGGAATCGTTTAAAGCCCTTTGAACAGTTTGTAGTTTGCACTGAAACTGTCTTTTGGACCTTGAACCGTTTGGACCCCATTGAAGTCCATTATATGGAGAAAAATCTATCAAAAACCTTAATTTCTTTTCGACTGAAGAAAGAAAGACGTGGACATCTTGGATGACATTTGGGTGAGTAAATTATCAGCAAAAGTTTTTTTTCAAAAGCGAACTACTCCTTTAAGGATCTTTGATGAATAGAAAGTTCAAAGATCAGCATTTGTTTGAAATAGAAATGTCTTTACTGTCACTTTTGATCAAGCAGTAATAATCAAATTAAGAACAAACATGCTGTTTTCCATGATATAACTGGACTAATGAAATGTTTAAGAGTGCTTTCACGTGCTATTCTTGTGTATGTTTACGGGCTTGTTTGTGTCTCAGGGTTTTGTACGCCCCGGAGCTTTTTCTGACCCTAATGGGAAGTGTCTGTTCCAGCTGTTTCCCTCTCATGGTTTCCTCTCTGTCTGTCTGCTCTCTTGATAGCGTCCTATTATATATAACAGGATACAACTGCAGTGAAGTCACATAACCAAAAATGCATCACAATAAGGGAGTGACCGTCTCTGACTGGTCCCTGAACGCATGTCTGGGAACCCATGTCATTATTCACATATCGCAATCTTAGAGGTTGAAATGGTCATGAAAAACTCAAACCCTTGACTAAGATAAGTGAACTCTTAAATAACAACACTCTCGTTCCTGTATTGGACGTTATAAGGGAAAGATTATAATAATGCTATAAATTCAGTCACTTTAACCCCTTTAACACTTTTTAAAAGAGTATTATCCTATACTAAACCTAAACTAATCTTGACAAACTATATATCATTTGAAAGCTTAGAATCTCTAGTTGTCATACATGGCAATTGATTTTCAAAATATATTACAGAGGAGCCATTTATCAATTTGCAACAAGAATATTTTCATACTCTAAGGCGTGTTCAGACCTTTATTTTGGAATTGTGATGAGCATGAAAAATCATGACAGAAGGGTAGAAACCTGTTTGTTTTCATGCCAAAAGTTCAAAAGAAAGCCTCCATTCAATTATTTTATAATTATAATAATTATTATTTCATATGGAAATGGAGGCGCCCTTATATGGGCAGTAATGGAGTCTGGTTGTGCCCTAGTGAAAAAGTTTGGTACTGCGCCCAAACAAAATCTCACTGAAAGCTCATTTTTTGAGATATCAACCTAAAATTTGAAACACAACTTATTCAGATTTTTGGCTTGGATTTTTTTTTTTTAGCAGTTTTAGACTCGCCAGGTTTTGAAAATATATATTTTATATAAAATATGAATAATTAAATTTTTTAATTCACTTCTACAAAAATCTGCCAAATGTCTTCTTTAAAACGAGACCATTTTTACGTCTATATTCCAAAGCATTCTTGAATTACAACCATTTAAGTTCGAAATGTGCATTTTCATCTATATTCAAAAAAGGGGGGGTGACACTTAAGGGGTTAATTCAAGTCAGTTATCTTTACCACATTACAGTGATTTAACACAACTAAATTCTGTATATCCACCTTTTCCCTATGCCCATCGAGATTTTGCACGAATAATGTGAGTAACTTTCATTAAACTGTAAACAGTCAGTGAAAGGTTCGCTTTACGAATAGGGGTGTAACAATATATCGCAATACAAAAATGCAACAATACGTATCGTGAATAGTCCACCCAAAATAAAAATGACTGTGTGAGTAGTGTCAGTACTACATTAAACTGCTATATATAATGTAATGGGGAATATTTGTGGGTCCTGACAATGCCAAATATCTGTTACCAGTAAAAAGTGACCTACATTTATTTTAAATAGCCTATATCTAGTCAGTGACGGAGCGCAAGTATATTCATCTAAAATAATTCTAGATTTTCACCATATTATTATTCTGGTGTCACCATTGTCTTTGGGAATAGTCCAAGCCTATTCATTTACACACACAATGTAATATCAAAGTTAGCATTTTATTCAACAGTACATTTTTTTTATTACCTTTTACCATATGTAGGTATGTGGACAAAAAATTAAAACTCAACAAATAGACAAATGGATAGCATATGTGGAAAGACCTGGGTACCCCCTATATGTCAAGTATGAAGAAAGTTACAACATTTTATAGTTCAGTAATCAGCGCCTATTATCGTCTCATTTCTAAGGTGAAAACAATAGAATTTAGTTGCATGAAAACAAATTGTTTTTTTTTTTCTCACAAAAATGCTCATAACTTTCTCAATATTCAAGATATCTTAATGAATTTTCTGTGGAGATGGGTTTCATATAGTTATTTGGATCTAACGTGGGTTTCATATAGTTATTTGGATCTATACTTGATTTTAACACGCATAAAGACTGATCTTTTATGGTATTTTTCTGACGAGCAGTTGTTGAAAATACAAATAATTGAATGGAAAACAACGATCCAAGGAACATTATATATCCTTAATTTAACAGATTTAACAGTTGTGTAAGAATATAGAGTTAAAAATACTAACGCTGGTGGAGGAAAGAAAGTGGAGGAGACCACACAAATGATGAGTGTAGCCGACACGACGCGCTGCATTTTGACAGCTTTTTTCCAGGTAACGTTCAGTGGCGGTAGTCATAAAAAAAGTGGGGGAGTTTAAATGGCCACGAAATTTTGTACAGCACACCACAAACATATGTTCTTCATGTCCACCTTCCTCTGAAAAGTGTCCAAAGTGGGTAAAAATAATTTCTTGACAGTTGAATTCTTCCGTATTGTTCGAAATCGCCTTTCAGGAGGAAAATGCAGCCCGACTAGAGAAAATTGAGAACAAATGTGCAGTCGAAAACCTTAATGATGTGATTGGCTAAAAATAATCAAGGATTCCCACAGCGAGTCAATGAAAACGGCGCATTTTAGGAGACCCGCTCAGAGTGATTCGGGAAAATCCGCCACAGAGATTTGAAACACAATGGCGGCCACTATTTATGGATATGTCCACATACCTACCATATGTCTTAGAATATCGCAATAATATTGTATCGTGAGTTCAGTATCATAGTATGTATCGAATCGTGACATGAGGGTATCGTTCCCTATAAGCATTCTCAAAAACTCACCCTTCACCCAAAAACATTAAACATTAAAAGGACATTTTATTAGTATAAAAGCATTAAAAAATGACTACAACAGACCATGAATTGATTATTTCTGCAACAATATAAAAATTAGTTTGTGTTAAATATCACTAGTAATATACAGTATGTCTGTATTATGTAACATTAGTTGCCTTAATCAAAAATGTTAAATAACTGAAACACTCAGTGATATTATTTCAAATCGATTTCCATCATTTGACAGATAATAAATATTGTGTTTTCTTGCTTTAGAAACATTGCAGTTAGGGTTGGGTATCGAGAATCGAGTATCGATTGGAACCGAGACTAACTTTTCGTTTTTCCCGGAATCGTTCAAAAGTTAAAATTTCGATTCCTAGTTTCGATATTCACAGTCCGCCGAGCGGAAGAAGAAACCGCTGAACAACACCAACGAAGAAGCGTCTACCGGAAGTGTTGGCATAACCGCGCGAGTCGAACATGAGTACCTTACGTCGGCGATCCAAAGTGTGGCTTCACTTTTCTAAAAATAACGAAATCTCGGCAAAATGCAAAATTTGTGACAAAAGGAGTATTTCCTTCAGAAAGGCCGTTGGTTAGCAAGGTTAGCTAAACTTTTTTGACCCTGCCTCTTAAAAGAATCGGAATCGAGAATCGTTAGGAACCGGAATCGAAACAAGGAATCGGAATCAGAATCGTTCAAATTCAAACGATACCCAACCCTAATTGCAGTAAACACTGAAAACAAACCTGGAAAGAGGCGCAAGGACTCGGGGAATAAACGAGAGATTCTTAGTGCATCCCAATGATTTATTCATGGGATATATTGTAAATTGAATCACAAATGCGGAGAATATGCTGTTACAGCAGAATACAAAAGAAAAAGAAGGAAAGAATATAATAATGCAGCGACTGAAAAAAGCTCTTGTCATAGCAAACGCTGACGGATGAGGATTATTTGTAGTGCAACCTTATGATTTGTTTCAGTCTTTTCACCCGAATCAGAAGTGCCTCCCATGATCTAAATCACAGAAGAGGCTTGTTAGGAAAAAAGTGGGTAGATTTGTTTGTTTTGTCATGATTTGGTATTAAGTGTGGAGTTTCCCTTACAGCTGCCAGCAGAACACCTACACACTGAACACATCAAGTCATGTGTGTGTGGTTTAGTCATGTTATGAGTGTTTAATGGTGGGCGTTGAGCGTTCTCCTGTTATTAAGTGGATCTGTAATGCACAGATTTATCTAAACGTGTGCAAGCAGCAGGGATCACGTTACCGTTACACGTCATCCTGAAAAATACAGTTGCTAATGCTTATTGTGTGTGAACACTAATTCCTCTTTCACATCTCTATGTGCTTGAACGGACACACACACTTACATTGTCAAAATACCCATCTTGGTAAGAATTCATGTTAACACAGTCAGTTATGTCTAAGGCTGCATTTACACTGCAGGTCTTGATGCCCAAATCCGATTTTCTGACTATATCCGATTTTTTTGACGACCTGCTTGCATCATCTTTTAAAAGTGACCCATATCCGATTTTTGCATTTACACTATAGACTGCTGAAACTACCAAATGTAGACGTTCTGACTCGGGAAATTAAGTAAAACAGCACAAAATGCAATGGATACAGATGTGAATAAAATTATCCAGTGTTTTTCTTTCCACAATATTTAGAAAAGTCATCAAAACATTGGCACTGTAGCCACGAGCGCTTAAAGGGTTAGTTCACCCAAAAATGAAAATTAAGTCATTAATTACTCACCCCCATGCTGTACCAACCCCGTAAGACCTTCGTTCGTCTTCGGAACACAAATGAAGATATTTTTGATTAAATTTGAGAGCTGTCTCACTACCACATTGGCTCCTAAGGGACTGCCTCTTGACGGCCCAGAAAGTCAATGAAGAAAATGTTTAAATATCCCAAGTGACTACCGTGACTCAACTATATGTTTATCAAGCGACGCGAATACTTTTTGTGCGAAAAAACAAACAAAAATAACGAGTTTATTCGACTATTTCTTTTCTTCCTTGTAGGCCAGAACGAGACTTCCTTAGATTTCCACGACGCATGCGCGAGAATTGCGATCTGAAGTAGTGTAAGCTGGTGTAAGCAGATCGCAAATCTCGCGCATGCGTCGTGGAAATCTAAGGAAGTCTCGTTTCTGGCCTACAAGGAAGAAAAGAAATAGTCGAATAAACTCGTTATTTTTGTTTGTTTTTTCGCACAAAAAGTATTCGCGTCGCTTGTGTTTCGAAGACGAACGAAGGTCTTACGGGGTTGGTACAGCATGGGGGTGAGTAATTAATGACTTAATTTTCATTTTTGGGTGAACTAACCCTTTAAAACGATGCCTCATATCTCGTGAAATGTCTTCAAATACAGATTTATTTCTGTAACAACCCTGCATTTTCGCCTGCACTCTTCGCCCCAAACACTCAAAAGACAAGAAACCTCCGCATTGCTCCACTGTGTGTATCCTTTCTTCCATCGCGCCTGTAATGACTGGCGACTCGCATTACCGGGGAATATCCCATTTGTCTGCTTACATGGCACACGCAAATGCACGATTCATATCCGATTTATTAACACATATGAATGAGGCCTGAATCCGATCTGGGAAGAAAAAAAATATCGGATTTGGGTGTAAACGAGGCCTAAGTGAGAAAGAAATTGGATGTGTCTCATTTTATTGGATCCGTGCATTCGCTCTTAAAGTGAAAGCAGCCTATAAATATCTGATTATGCAAACCATGACTCAAAATCCATAGTTTTGTGATTTGTTGAACCACCAAACCGCTAAAATACCACTGATTCTTGCGTTAAAAAACAGCTCTATGTAGCGCAACAGATCGTTTTATTAAAAAGCATTAGTATTTCTAACTTGTTACGTCATTGGGCGTTTTCACTAGAGCCCGACCGATAAAGGATTTTTAAGGCCGATACCGATACAAATATTTTTGGGTTTTAAAATCCGATATATCGGCCGATATTTTTTTTTTATTAAATATTGTTGGATTTCACACACGTGTAAAAGAAAAGTTAACTTTTCTGCGCAAGATACGTTTGATACTTTTTCTCTATGTCACTCCTCGCAAGTATAACTTACATTTTACAATGCAGGGACTGTAACTAGACATATGCTAGTTATAAATACAGTAATCATTACTTTATTTAAGCAGAAAAAGTTCATTGTGGTTTCCAAGCTCATTAATGTTAACGTTAGCGGTCTTCCACTGATGATAGTGGCTTTAGCTAGCTTTGTGGTTAGCTAGTCTATGATGAGCCATAATTTAGCAATAGATAACAACATTATACTGCAAATTGTAAAACATACATTTTCAATATAACAGGCCAAGGAAAGGCCGTTTTTATGTTATTTTTGAAATATTCATTTATCGGCCATTATAACTGCCGATACCGATATTTTGGAAAATGCCTAATATCGGCCGATAATAACGGTCTGGCTCATTTGTTTTGGAAACTGGTGCGTTTTCTCCCTCAGCTGGTTCGTTTAGACATATATGAACACCGGCAATCACGCTCAGATCCGCACCAAAACAATCTGAGATCGGCTGAACAAGATGGTCTCGGCCAGATTGAAAACGAACCATTTCGGTTGAGGTGAGAAAGCAATCCAACCCAACGGACCAGCAAACCAAGCGCTACCATAGTTCATAACGGGAAATATGTTATATAAAAGCAGCAGTGTCTACATCTACGCCTCTTCATCTGTGTATTTACTTTTCTCAGTGCATTGAAAGAATGATGTCCCAACGAAGCCTTGATTCCCACTCTAACTGCATTAGAAGTGATATATATATCATATTAAATGTCATTAAATATATATAATTTATCAGGCGTTTGTGTGTCACAACAGATATAGATGAACATAAACAGGTGAAGTCTGACCAATAAGAGGACGGATTTACTCACATGTGACTTACTTAAATTCTGGTTAAAAGTGTTGCCTTGTGAAAGTGAAACAATCCATGAAGAAAATGCAACATTTTGACAAATAAAGCCCCCGTTTCAGAACAAATCAAATGATCTACAGGTCTGAAAACGCCCTTAAAAACAACACTCATGGCGAGATGCGCACAAGACATTTCTCTGAGAGGGGTTTCTAACAGCTTATTTAAAGATTTGCCACTAAAAACAAAGCACAAATGCTGAAAATATCCTTAAAAAGCAAGAAAATGTTTTTTTTTATAGTGTGTAGATCTCCTCATGTGATCTGAGACAGAATTATCACAATTTGCATGACTGTATTACAGATGCAACCCTCAGTCGAGGTCAAGGTTGCCAGTCAGATGAATGCAGGAACATTTAGTATGATTTAAAAAGCACCCCGGTTTTGTTTTTTACAGCTGAGACACAAACAACTCTGATCATTTTGAGGATGAAAGAAGATTTCTTGAATAATAGTCTTCTATTTCTGTTTCTCTCTATAGGCACATATCCATGACCCTGCCGGCATGTTTCAGGAAAAGCACAACCAGACCAGACTTTGAACACCAGAACTCCAACCTCTATGCCATCTCTGGTACCAGAACCACACAGAACACAGCTGACCCAAACTGAACACCCTCACATCAGTGCAAACTAGAAGAGCTCCAGTCTAGAAATTCACATGCGTTTACAAATTCATTAAATAGAAATAATACGTAGTGGAGTTTACTCTTTCTAATAAAAAAAGTATCGGCTACATGATAGTATATTACAGGTGAAACTCAAAAAATTATATCGCGCAAAAGTTCATTTATTTCAGTAATCCAACTTGAAAGGTGAAACTAATATATTATATAGACTCAGTACATGCAAAGTGAGAGATTTCAAGCCTTTATTTGTTAGAATTGATGATCATGTTTCACAGCTTATGAAAACACTAAATTCAAAATTAGAATATTGTGAAAAGGTTTTCATATCTGTAAGCCATAATCATCACAATTATAGCAAATAAAGGCTTGAAATCTCTCACTTTGCATGTAATGAGTCTATATAATATATTAGTTTCACCTTTCAAGTTGAAATACTGAAATAAATGAACTTTTGTTCTAAGTTTCTAAGTTTTCAGTTTCACCTGTATATTATATTATATTATATTATATTATATTATATTAGTCTCCCATGATTCTGAAGACAACTACACTTGCTGCAGTCTATTTAAAAACATATTTCAGTTATTTGAATTAAAAAATGTCACTAGTTTCATAACTGGACAAATACATTTTGTATCATTTGTCGCCACCTACTGGTGTAACAATGTTGATACAATCTTTATTTGAAGCATAAAGTTGCTTTCAAAAGGTGATTTGCTCTATTTTGATTGTTACCGTACACATCAGTGTTTATATCCGAACTATAATCTTTTATCCCAGTACTTCTGTGATCATTGGAATTATTATTACAAAAATAATGATACTTTGTGGTTGATTTTATATTTACATGACTTTAAATGGCTTTAAACGATATTTAAACGACTAATCGTGCAGCTCTATATTATATTATTAATTTATTAATTTTCACAGCAGTTAAAGTAAATTATGTGGGTTTATTTTGTTAGTATATATATATATATATATATAAATATGATTCCAAGTATCAGAATAACAGAATTTAATCATTAATTGCAATTTATTTGTTTAATAATGATAAAAATGATTTGATTTGGTTAAAAATGATGATTTGGCTACTTTTCATAGCCATTAGAATTTTATTTCGAGTGATTTATTAACATTTTGCTGATTTTTGTGCTGGACACATTCGAGGTAACTCTTGTTAATTCTGATCTCTTGACTTCTCAGCTATGGATGGAGTGCCTTTCATGATCTCGGAGAAGTTTGCGTGTGCCTCCAGTGATGTGAGTCTGCTTTCATGCTTCATCCGCTCTTCAGCAGTCTGTAGATGTGACTAAACAAAATACTTTCAAAGGATAAAATGCCATTTGGCAGTAGAGAATAATGTGTTATAGGTAACTGGTACAAGAGCTGGTGAGGAGAACTGTGTGTCTGTGTTTCAGTTGCAGCAGGTTGATCTAATGGGCATCAGAATCAAGTCACTCGCAGAGATCGAGAAAGAGGTGAGGGCCTGTTGAGTTTCAACCATGACAATATAGGGTCCTTTTCTCCCCATTTAAAGGGATTGTTCACTTTGAAATTAATTTTTGGTATGTTTCAGCTTACCTCAAAGGCATCCAAGATGGACGCGTCTTTGTTTCCACAGTAGTTTCAATTTTGATATTTTTAGGTCAAACCGTTCTTGTCTCAGTCATATAATGGAGGTCTATGGTCACCACCTCAAAGAACATGCACAGAGAAGTCCAAATTAAACATGATTCAATGACTCGTAAGGCCATCAATGTGTACTTACATTTACGAGTCATTAAATCATGTTTAATTTGGACTTCTCTGTGCATGCTCTTTGAGGTGGTGACCATAGACCTCCATTATATGACTGACAGAAAAGAACGGTTTGACCTAAAAATATCAACATTGAAAGAAACTACTGCGGAAACAAAGACACATACATCTTGGATGCCCTTATAAGCTAAAACATACCAAAATGTAATTTCAAAATGAACTATCCCTTTAAATGCAAAAAAAAAAATGCTAACAACACTTAAAAATTAAAAACAAGAAAAAAGTATTTAATAAGATTATTTCATTCATTCAGATCTATGATGTATTATTTTAGCGTTCCCTTTATTTTTTTGAGCAGTGTATATATATATATATATATATATATATATATACAGTGATGTGAATAAGTTTGGACACCCATGCTATAGTTGCCCAAAAAGAGGATAGAGTCCCATAGAGTCAGGCAGATTTTTATTTTCAAACTTTATCGGGATGCATATTATCCTGGATCCATGAAATAACTGGCCTTTTAAAAATAAAAATCCGCCTGACTCTATGGGAATTTATTTGTCCTGATTTTAAGGAAGAACATTTATTTATCTATGATACATTATTCATTCACAAAGAAAATTGGTGTCCTTAAAGGTTGGATTTTTCCTCATTTTTCTAATTAAGGCATTAAGATCAATTTCCAAAAGATGATATTTTTTTTTTATTCCTCTTTTTAGGCAACTTTAGCATGGGTGTCCAAACTTATTCACATCACTGTATATGAAAAGGCCTCAACGCACTATAGTTGTGATTATCAAGAAGTAATTCTATTGTTTACAGAATACTGGTTTGTTGAGTTCCTCATTCATTAAGGTTACAATAAATTGATCAAAACTGACACATTTATAATATTGCAGAACATTTCCAATTTCTTTAAAGAATCCTGCAAAAATATTAAGCGCTTTTCAACATTGAGCAGCATATTAGATATATCATTTGATATAATTAGTTTTGAAATGTTGAATTTTAGATGATTAGAGTTGTGTCTGCAGTACCGATGTGCGAGCCACTAGAGGTCAGTGTTGTGTTTAACTCTTTCTGTTTGTGTGTCAGTATGAATACAGTTTCCGGACGGAGCACAGCGCCGCGGCCCGGCTGCCGCCCAGTCCCACCAGAACGTCCCTGGGCTCGGAGGCCTAAGCGTAGGAAAGACGGAGAGGACTTCTGAACACCTGAGCTGAGACTCACACACCTCTCTGAGATTAAAACACAAACCCATTGGAGAGGATAAAATCAAGAAAAAAAAAATTAAGAAATGTCATTTCATGTGGTCAAGTTCAGTCTCTTAAGTTGATGCTGCTTTTTCTTAAAGAGATGCTCAGTCTCTACAGCGATCGATCAAAACCACTACAGTGTCGTGAAGGGGCCGGATGGGAAACGCCTGTGCTTTTATTATTGGCTTCTTCCGGCGGCTGGACCGAGAAGCCGTTACTGTCGTGACTTTATGAAGGGTCGGACTTGGACGTACCCGTGAGCCCCAAAGTCTTGGATTTGGAAGAGTATTTTATTTTTTTGTATTTCATTCGCTTGCTCGGTTTTATTTAGATCGCAGCGACTGCATGACTCGTGTGTTTGATCCTCAGATCACTGCACTGTTACAGGATTTCGATATGTTTGTGTGGAAAGAGCGATGAGAGAGTAGGAACACTCCAGCTCTGAGCGAGCCCTTGTACATAGACAGCCGATGAATCAGGAATGTGCCGTTGTAGAATCGCGTGTTACTCGTTTTCCCCTTTCGTCTTCCCCCGGTCACCACTGATCCAGTTTTACTGAGATTTGACTCTTTTTCAGTCTGTAATAGTGTTCGACGGTGCTCAAGCACTTGGATATTGTTTCTGCCGGTCCATTTTGTGGCTTCTGAAGTTTGTGGTGACATTTTGTTTTTTTAAGTGTAATAAACCAGTGAATATTTTTTGCTCAAGTTATATTTCACCCCGAGATCTAAAGAAAAAACAATAGAAATTCAATTTTGCATAAAGAAAGATTTTTTAAAAATGACTCAATTTCATTCCTGAAAAATCATTTTAAGTAGTTTAAATTCTGTAAAACGAGGTAGGCTGACGATTTGACAGTGTTTTTCATATCACATTAATGATTTTGATAATCTCATTCTTCTTTATGCAAAATACAGTTTCTCGTTTCTTTCTTTTGATTTTCAGGGTGACCTGAGGAACTCTTGACAGTTTTCTGGGAGATTGACCTGAGCAAATTTGTTAGTAAAGCGTTCAGCAGCTCGCACAAAGTCGGCCACTGCTGCTGTGTTTGATACGGTGACGATTATGCGTGAAAGAACAGTGTTATTATTTCTGAAAGCGCAATCTCAGGTGAAAGTGTTGACACCACGTGTCTGCGTCCGGTCAGATGGTTTGACACCTTCACTGTGAGACTTTAATCTAACACTCAGATGGGTTTCTATTTCTCACGTTGTGGGTAATAATGTTTAAGCAGCTATATTGTTACATGTTCTAACCACTATTGTGACTTTTATTATGTATGATTTCAAATCTGAAATTAACCACAAATCTGACCTGACCTTCTCTTTTTATTGTTTCTCGCTGTGGAAGTCGATAGCTTGAGACCTTCAATCCTGGTTTTCTAGGCGTCTATCAAGCCTGTTTTTACGTAGATCGAAGGCCTTTATCTGTCTGGAAGCTTGTTTCCGCCCTAGAATGAAAAATATAAAAGGTAATTACGACTTTTTATCTCACAATTCTGACTTTTTTTCTCACAATTGCGAGTTTACTTCTCGCAAATCTGACTTTATTTCTCAGAATTGCGAGATGTAAAGTCATAATTGCGTGACATAAAGTCAGAATTGCGTGACAAAGTCAGAATTATGTGATATAAAGTCGCAATTTCGTGTTATAAAGTCTGAATCGCGAGATATAAAGTCAGAATTGCGAGATTTGAACTATTCTGAGGGGGAAAGTTACTATTTTTTTCCCCTTAGAATTGGCCTAAGGGGGAAAAAAGTCGCAATTGCGAGTTTATATTTCACAATTCTGAGAAAATATGTCAGAATTTCGACATATAAACTCGCAATTATGTGTTATAAAGTCAGAATTGCGAGATGTAAACTTGCAATTGTGAGAAAAAAGTCAGAATTGTGAGATAAAAAGTCACACGCAATTCTGACTTTATATTTTGCAATTCTGACTTTAAATCTCGCAATTCTGACTTTATATTTCGCAATTCTGACTTTATATCTCGCAATTCTGACTTTAAATCTCGCAATTCTGACTTTATATTTCGCAATTCTGACTTTAAATCTCGCAATTCTGACTTTATATCATGCAATTCTGATTTTCATCACGCAATTGTGAGATAAAAAGTCTATAATAAAAAATTATTTTTTCTTTTATTTTTATTCAGTGGTGGAAACAAGCTTCCATAAATCTGTCTGGAAAACTCTCATGTTTATATCTAAATAAAATCAGAACCAAAATTATAGTTTATCAACATCGCCATCTGAATTCCACGCTGATTTCTTCAGTCAATTCAGGCATTTGTTTAACAGAAAAATAAGGCCCTATATGAATGCATGCAGCGTTATCTATTTTTTCAACATTAAAATGAGGATTTAATTAGCTATTTCATAGTACTCTTTGATTTAATTATTTAATGATTTTATATGAAGACTAATTTAAATGTTTAGGAATGTAGCTAGTATGTTGCCCCTGGTTATTTTTTTTTTATTTTTAAATTTTTTTTGGGGGAATAGTTGAGTGTGTTTTGCAGGTTTGGTCATGCAAACAAATACAATAAAAGATGTTGAGTTTCTGCACTGCGTAAATAAACTCCTGTTCACCATTTTATAAACCATATCATCATATCATTGTTTTGCCTCTAGATGAACCTGCCGTGTGCGTTTGTCATTTGCGTCGTCTTTATTATAAAAATGTGAAAGCCGGTGTTTACTGCTGGTTGAATTTTGTGCTTTATTACTCTATAAAAATACCGTAAACTCTTAATGCATTTCTTATCAACACAGAAACAGAAAGATTGAAAGCTCTTCGGTTAGTGAGTACTGCAATGAGTTTGACTGCATGTGATGCTTACTTTTAGATATTTGTGCACAGTGGCACATCTTACCCCTATGTGTGCAGATGAGATGGTACTTGTTTACTGGAACGTTGCCTCTGTTTTGGGTTCACAAACGCTCCGAGCTTCCTGTGGCCGTTTGACAAGTCACTTTATGTAGATCCAAAACCACAGGGAAACTTTCAAGACTTCAAGCATAAAAACGCTGCAGGTTTCGGGGGAATGTGCTGATGTTGGTGCGGCTTTTTAACGAGATTTTAAGAGAATGAAGAGCCGAACAAGAAACGGCAAAGCACGTTTATAGACAGTGATTGAGCATTTAAGAAACCACACAAAGGTTATTTCATTTTCTTCTCTCTTAATCGTGACATCTTGGTTCTGGTAAATCCTTCACTTTTACTGTAGTTCAGTGTGCATGCATCTCTTTTGCAGAAGTATTTACTGCTTAATTTCTTCCGTTTTAATGAGGTTGTGGTTTTGAATTCAGAAACGGCTCGGCTTGTTTGTTTTTGGGTTTCTACCACTTGACAATATCACGTACTGTGTCCTACAAAGATCTGATTAACATTCTAGTAGAAACCATGGCCAGGACTTCACTCTTAGAAGAAATGGTTCTATTTAGAACCAGAAATGGTTCCATCCCCTGCTTCATATATGGAACTCCAAAATGGTTCTATATAGAACCTTTTTTTTTGGGGGGTAAAAGGTTCTATTGGCCAAGTATGGAACCCCAGGGTTCTATATAGAACCCAGAGGAACCCTTTTTTTAAGAGTGTATAGAACCTTTTAGGGGTTCCAAATACGTAGCGCTGATAGAACCTTTTAAGGTTCTATATAGAACCTTTTCTTCTAAGAGTGTAGACTCTTGAGAGCTGGATTCAGATCCAGGTCAGTCTGAAAAGCAACTGAAATGGAGTTTATGCCAAATTTGTTGCAGCATTCATTTTAGAAACTTCATTCAGAGCCATGGGATTCTGGAAGATTCTCCAACAACCAACAATCCAACAAAAGAAATTGAACACCATCTTGAAAGACACTTTTAGGTGAGATCCAGGTAAATGACCGCCACAACAAGGCGTAAAGCACAAGCATGTGAATAAAATGTCTGAGCTTTAGTAGGGGTAAGATTATCAGTGAAAAATTACTTGAACTTGGGACTGTTAAAATATTTTTATGGAATATAATGCACAAGCCTTAAAGGGAGAGACTTTTGTTCATCTTCGGAACACAAATGAAGGTCTTTTCGATAAAAATCTGAGAGCTTTCTGTCCCTCCACAGTTGCGTAACTGTCACTGGAGGACAGAAAGCTCAGAGTTCATCAAAAATATCTTCATCTGTTAACTAATGTATTGCCTCTGAACACTTCTGATGTCTAGTTCTGCCGTCATGGAAAGAAAGTTGGGCTTCCTACCAGACGTTTACAGCGCACCTCAAAGACCTCCCAGTCGAAATCAGCCTCTGAAGCTTGTGTCATTTCTACTTTGATAGTCTTTTGAAGGTTGTTTTTCCATTAGCTTCAGAGGAACCTTTTCCACAGGACAATAAAACAAGTTCATAATGAAGCCAAACCATGAAAAAAGTCATTAAAGCAAAACCTCCCAGCAAAGAGATCTGATCAAATGTTATCTGACCTTTATTGGACTTTATAACTTCCAGAGCGACAAAAATGACAAAGAAAAATTTTTTTTTTAAAAGGTTACATTGATTTCAAAGATACGTTTATGACCGGTTTCACAGACAAGGTTTAAGCTAGTCCCAGACTAAAATGTATGTTTGAGCTGTTTTAACAACACAACTTGCACTGATATATCTTAAAATATGTCAGTGCCATTGTTTTATCTAAAGATTCACACCAGTAATGTTTTTGTCCTATGGTACAATTATAAAAGCTATACTTAAACGTCCTTATTGAACTAAAGCGTAATCCTGGCTTAATCTAAACCCTGTAAAACCAGGTCAATAATAATATGTTATTCAATATGCACTACTTGCCTAAAAATAATGATGAAAGTTAGACTTTTAAAATAGTAAATAACGTTTATAACGTTTTTGTTTGGTTCCCAAAATAAATAACCTCATGGGACCATTCTGAGAACGTTCCCCTTCTGCGTTTGCTGGGATATTGCATTCATTGAGCAAGTGCCGTCAATCATCGTTTTAATTAGGTGTTCGAGCACGAAGTGCTGAAAACCTATTGTATTTGCTAGAAAGAAAAAAAAAA